TACCTGTATATCCAAGGAACTTCCAAATAAATATTCCTTCCTCTCCACCTGCTGTTATGATAGTACTACCATTATCAGCACAATCAATAGAATTTATTTATGAGGAATGACCAATGAAGACCTAACAAGATCCTGGTCCCTTAACCTAAAATTCATAGTCCCAAACCTTCAAATACTATTCAGCACCTACAGAGAACAGATATTTCATATTTGGTGAGACAACAAAATCATTTAATGATTACTTATGCATAAATGTCTATTCTCTCAAATAGTATGCTGTGATAGTGTCATTAACTCTTTCAATTCCATAAATAATAATTCTACCATCTGTGGTTCCACACAATAATTCTACATTATTCTCTGCCCATTACAATATTTTCAAATTGAATCTTGTCTAAATCTTCAAAATTTGTTATAATGATGAAGTATCCCACAATTCAATATTTGTAGAATTCTCAATGATTGATAAAATAGCAGAATCCTTTGAAAACTGTCCACAAACATTTTGAGACTATATTGAATGTTGGATGGTTTTGATAGGTTGATAATCTCTACTGACATCATAAATTTTATAGATTGATTTGGCATCTCCAATAACTAATTACTATCCATTAGGACTATATTGAATGCTTTTGATCTCTAAATCATGATACTTTCCTTCAACTAGAATTGATGTCTGCTCAATATCAAATATTCTATGTGTTCCAGACTTGAATCCAGCTGCAAAATACATTCCAATTGGAGATGATGATAAACAAACACATTTATCATCTTATGGGAATGTGAATTCATAAACCTAGTCAGATTTCTCAATGTCCCACAACCTAATTGTGCAGTCCTCTGATAATGTGATTAATAACTTTGAATACGGATGCACCTAAATCTAATTGATCACATTTGTGTGTGATCTTATAACAGTCTTGTAATGATGACTACTGATATCTAAGATGCCTAATCCTCCTGTTGAAGTTCCACATGCCACTTGTAGACCATCAATTGATATGTCCAATGAAGTAATTATGCCTTCATGTTTAGCTTCAATGTAAAACTCATTGAAATCTAAGGGCCAAACTCTAAGGTATTAATCTAAACTACCAGTAATACAGAATCCAGCAGATAAGCATACTGCTGTGACTGCATCATTATGTACTTTATACACTTGCATTAATTTCTGAGATTGATAAGCAACTTAAAATAGATACCCATTCTTAGATCCAAAATAAATGTTACTAACATTTTGATCTTCGTAATTGAATTCGAAATCAAAGTTAGTAAATGTAGTATTTCTGGCATGATGATTTAACACAACACTAGCTCCAGGAAGATGTTCTTCTTTGATTCTCCAAAATCTGATATTTTCATGTCCACAAGACAGTATTTTATTATTATCAACAGGTGAAAATTTGATTGCCAATATATTACATGAACTTGTTTATTTAGCGAATAGAATGGGTTTTCTATTGGTTTCTATTTTCTCTAAACCCCAAACAATTATAATTTCTCTATTATGCTCATCTTACCCTACAGTTACTAACATTTTTCGATCTTAACTAAATGATATGTAATTCAAATGTTAATATGGAGTGGCAAATGCACTTAAGCAATCACAATTATTCTTCCAGATTCTTATGATAGCATTCTTTTCACTCTATCCACTCACTAACCATTCGCCATCCTTACTTACATCCAAACATGAAATAGCCTTAGAATGCCCCATAAAAAACTTCTATTTTCCATCTTAAATATTGCTTTAAACCAATAATGACCCTGCTGCATATGTTATCTGCTTCTGAGTTTCTGTTTGTCTACCCCATTTAATATCAGGACAAGAATTGACTGTGAATCCAATAATTTTATCTAATTGTTGGATTGGATAAGGTTAAAGGGGATGATCTTGTGCATCTACTGACTTGCTCTGGGCTACATTATAATCACCAGGTCTCTTTTTCACTAATTCCTCAATTTATTAAGTATTATGTTAGATTGAATTTTATTTAAAGGACTTTTGCGTTTCTTATTTGTACTTCTCTTTATTATCTTAGATTTTCTATAAGTTTTCCAGAATGTCAGTGGTCACTTCTACCAAAGGTTGTTTGAAGACATGAGGGGAGACATCCAAAGTAGGCCAATATGCAATCTAATATTCTTCTGTCCATTTTTATCCTTTGGCTAATTTAAAGAGCATTTATTTTGGGAGAGTTTCCCAATCATAGAGATTGTCACTTGTGTAGATACCTCTAATGTTCATGGAGCTGCAAATTTGAAATGACTTTAATGAATGAATTCCCTTGAATTACTTATACAAACTGCTTGGTAACAATCCAAAATTACCCAAAAAGTATTCAACATCTAAAATCAAGATAGTCCATTTGTTGGGAGCATTCTTTGGGTATGGAATCAAGAGTTGTGATTGCTGAACCTATTGATTGAATTATTTGGAATGAATACTTTGTGGACATCATACATGTTGGAGACTGTTAACTTGATCAAGGGATCTCTGTCTTTAATTTGCAAGTCAAAGTGGATTGTGAAATATCTGCCTTTGATTGGAATGAATTCAATATAAATATATCGGCCAGTCAGTCCTAGTTGTTTGATTCCTTAACAAGGATCTGGAATCTATACCATATTATTTGCAGATATTGCTCCTAATAGTCTTATTATCTTTCTTCCGATTTGATTATCCTAATGATCGCATCACATATTTTTACTTGGACAACTGAAACCTAACCTTTGGATTGCGTATGCGCTATCTCGAATACACCAAACTACTTGAAAACATCAACGAAGGGGTGTTACCAATTCATTTATTCAAATTCAAATATTATTTATTTATTAATTTTAAGTTATATCCGTTCGTCTGTATAAATATTTATTATACATCTGCGATTATCAAATTATCAATTTAATATTTGTAACATCATCCAAATAAATCATTACTAAATTCAAAGACATTCCACACATTTTTACTTTTTTTTTCAATGGACAAACCCACAATCGAACAACTTTTCAAAATCGTATTTGACATCAACAAAGATCAAAATCTAATTTTCTGCCATGCCTGTCAAATTAGATTCCCCATCGTGGAACCAGAAGAAGCAACCCTCTACATCCACCATTTCTCCAAAGAACATGTGTATAATCTAACAACCATCGCTACTAAAGATATAGTCAAGACTAATGAATCTACAAAAAAAGATAATCGAGTGCTATAAGTGATACCCCTCTTCGATTTGGAAAAGGCACTCCACATCCAAGAACAAAAACCCAAAAACGGTAATCTGTTTATTCTAACCCCTTTTAAGTGCTTCATCAGTATCTCAAAGAGTGCATTACCAAATTACCAAGCATCTACGAACAACTAGAACTAAATAACTTGGAAGCTCACATGAGCACTCTGAGGAGATTTTATCTGCACCTCCTTAACCACAACACATCAATATTGACTCCAGAGCTGTGCTTCTCCTTTGTTGATATCTATAAAACTGAAAAGGATTTTCAATTGATTAGGAAATTTGTCAAAGCATTCAATTTTCCCTTGACTCCTGATTAAATGCTAATTCTAAATCCCCACAAATAGACCTATCCAAATTTGTCCCAAGATTTGTAAGTAGAGTTTTATCAAATCTTCATTAACGACCTCATTGATTTGGGATTATGCAAAGAGTCCTTGGTCTATCATCTTGCCAAAATTGGAACACCAATTAGTAAGATCATTGATTTGAAACTCTATGAAATTAAGAATAAAATTAATGAACTCATTAGCCGAGGCATTAATGAAGATCAAAACATCTTCTTTCTAAACATCATTGAAAAACTGGAACGCTATGAAAATCTTAATAATCACTCCTACGTTTTTACTAAGTGGAATACAGAATGCCAAATGAGAAAATGCGTCAGACAGATCAGAAATAAGCTTAGATATCAAACAACTGACGAGAGATATAAGGTGTTCTTAGCCACGGCTTCACTCTAGTAGATACAGAATTGGCAGAAGATTCAGACTCAAAATGAGAAGAATAACACAACTGATATGATATCTATATTAGAAACAATCAATGAAAATAAAAATTAGTCTAGAAAAAGTAAGAAATTATTTATCCAATCATATATTTTACCTAATAAAAGTCAACCCAATTTGGACTAATTTGAAAGAAAAGGATAGGAAGAAACTGAAAATAATGAAATCGATATCAGTATAAATGATTCTAAGTCAGAATGTGATTTAGAGAGAGGGTTATTTGTTAAATACAGCAATTAAATGGCAGATCAAAATTCAACTAAATAGAATCAGAATGATACAAACAATTCATTGTCTTGTATAGAAATATTTGATAATTATAAGTGGAAAGCTTCACTTAAAAAGTCATCTAAAAGATGAAATTATAATTAATATCTATATTACAATCCCATTATTATATTATTATCTCTCATATTGTATTTTACGTTTAGGATGAGTAGCTAGTGAATTAAACAAAAACCTCTCTTTAATTATTAATCGTTCTAGATTGAGAATGTTTAAATATTTTGCGATTCAAATCGAATGTGAAATAATATGGAAAATTTTATTAATAAAAAATATTATAATGAATCATCTGGGTGTTGGATAGTAATAAAAAAAGACTGTTATTTGCAATAACACTGAAGTTTAGTTGGCGATACCTTAACAGCCACAGAATATTTAATTTACCAGACAACCTCACGTTGTTTATTGTGCTAATTGTAACAATCAAATTTAAACTCATGTTTAATTGAAGATTGGCAAGGGTCAATTGATGATGGCCTTGATAATGTTGCCCAAGCTGCTATGGTAATAATGATGATCCTTTAGGTTATTAGTGCTTGTGTGATCCCCCTATTGATGGATGATTGCAGAGATGCAGTTCATTTATGTCCTGTTTGCTAGGCCGAAGTAGGAAGAAAGAATTTCATCTTTGAATGATTTATGCAATAATGAAAATCAACTTAATATATAATTAAATTATTTTATCAAAAACTACGACATGATAGGGAATCTTATGAGTTAGGAAAGCTTTCCAAATCAAATATTATAATAATAAATTTAATTATAGAATGTCTATAGGAGTTTTGATGGAGCAGATTCAAGAATTAGAGTATTATTTATATATATATATATAGATGGATCATATTTTAAAAGTTCAATCCTAGTTTATCAAATGCTTAAATAATCTTATACGCCATTAAAATAATAAGAAAAAATAGAATATATTAGTGTTGCCTTACTAGGGGACTCATTTATATGTATAATAGATATTAAAATTTATTCAGGTTCACTTTAAAGATGAAATAAATCTTAAAAAAGCAAAAGTGTTTGAATCCACTGATAGTACTTTTGGGCAGTTTTCTTTCTTAAAACCTCAGATGCCATTTATTCCTTGTAATACAATATTTATATTTAGTTTCGCCTTACTAAACTATAGCTCCTCATTATTCATAAGAAATGGCATTTTAGAGAATGAATCCTATAATGCAGAGTCAGGACAGGTTTATAGCTTAGCCCAAATAAACCAACCAACAAACTAATCATTTCAAAGTGAAAGACAAATTTATCGTATTTTCGGGAAAACCAGAAGAATCACAATCAATTCATTCGGATGAATAAGATGAAGATGAAAAGCAATCGGATCATTCATTTTCAATCAAAAAAAAGAAGAAAATCAGTAAAGTGAATGATACTAAAAATATTACCAAAAATTTTTCGAAGGCCATTATCAGTTACATCACTCAAAATAAAGATATCGGGTTGAAACTATTAGACCCAAGGGAATTTGAAGACTTTTTATAAATATTGAAGGAGAAAAAAAACAAGATGACAAATATCTAATAATTAAGAGAACTGTGGGTTGATTGTGAGGATGATAAATTAAAATAATTTAATAAGACTTTTAGAATTTTCAGGTAAAACAATAACATTTAACTTAATAGTTAATACTTCCTAAGGTAGCAATCAGTGGCATACATCTATAATTCTCGAATCATGAATACAGGTTGGCACTTAAAATATAGATATAATTTGCTTCGAGCACTACGAGAACCCCAAAACTTCAAATACATTAAGGATATTTGATATATATTAAATATATATATAGATATATATTTCATACATATCATAATTTTGATTTATGAACTATGCCATCGCTCTTAATTTCTTAAATTGATGTAACACCCATTAATTACATAGTTGAAACCAATTCTGACTATAATATCTAGAACATTTTGTTGAGTCCCTCCCTTCCACCAATAGCTGTACTGTAAATGGCTGGTCTTCCAACAAAAACGCATTTAGCACCTAAAGCCAAGCATTTATAAACATCTGATCCATTTCTTACTCCGCTATCCACATAAACTTCCACAGAACCAGCTGCTGCCACTATTTCTGGTAGCATTTCAACAGTGGATCTCACTGTATCTAATTGTCTTCCACCATGATTTGAGACCCAAATGGCATCAACTCCATGTTCAACAGCCAATTTAGCATCTGCCCCACATTGAATTCCCTTTAAAATTATAGGAACCTTGGTGATTGACCTTAACCACTTGATATCATTCCAATTCACTGTTTAATCTAATTACTCTGCAAAAAATTTCAACAACCCAGATCCTTGATTGTTGGCGACAGATTATAGTTAGATATTTGCCTCTTTTGCTAATTCTTCTAGAATTTCCAACCTTAAATGAGGAGGCAATACAAATCTTATTTAGCTATATGTTTATACCTTTATTTTTCATCGGCTTCTCTCTTACCCAATATTGGTGCATCCACTGTTAATACTAGACCTTTGAAGCCTTCCTTTTCTGCTTTCCTTACCAATGCCTCTGTTAATTATCTATTTTTTTGTATATACAATTATTAGAATCTCAAGCCATCTTTGTTATGCTTAGCCACTTCAGATTGAGACAAGGTAGATAATGTAGTCAATGTAAAGGGAACTTTCCATTAATGAGCTAATGAAGCAGTTACTTCTTCACCCAAAGGATGAGCCTTAAGATTACAAATAAACTTATACTAATTTTAACATAGCAACAGGAGCTATACCAAGTGGTAAATCAATTTAATGACCCAATATTTTTGTTTTAGTACAAATTTTAGAGACATCTCTCAGCACTCTTGGATTCAAGTAAATTCTTTAAAATGCATCAATATTCTCCTTTTTGGTAATTTCTTCGTTTGCTCCTGATCTATAATATTGATATGCATTCGAATCTAGTTTAACTGAAGCTAATTATTCTAACTCTCTTAAAGAAATAAAATTGGTAGCCATTAAATAAAACTTAGATATTTTTATTACGCATTAATATCAAATAAAAAATCCTTAAATGCCTCAGAAGAAGAGTCATCAAAATAAACAGCTTAAGATATTCTCAGACAAGTTAGGTATCATAGTATTAGCAAAATATCTAAAGGGTTTACGTATTTTTGAAATTACTCAAAATTTAGGATGGCTTACAAAGATTTCTAATTGTTGATCAGAGAATCAAAATGATTTCTAAAATTATTATTTAGTATATAAAATAAAAGGAGGAATAAACAATTAGAAGTTCATAGGAAGATGATAGACTTCAAAAATATCGGAGAAATTGTATAATGTAAAAATGAAATTTTTAAATAAATGATTTTGGGATTACTAAGATTTCAAAATTTAAGTTTAATTTGTTATACTAATTGGCAATATGATAAATTACATTATTTTCGTTTTTTCTCTAATGATTATTTTATTTTTTAATGTTAATCATCTATTATTTGATCTATTTAGGACGAGAAAAAGGATGAGATCAAAAATGATCTTTTGATATAATTATAAACTTTGATATTATAAAGTTTGTGTGAAAAGTTAATAATAAATTTAGCAATCATTAAATATAAACGATAATTAAATGCTTTCATAAAGCAGTAGTAGAAATCTTTTGGAGAACCCAATAGGACCTGTTTTGCGACATGATTCTAATCCTTACAAAAGTTATGAAAAAGATCGGTCGCCTTCGAGATTATCGATTGAATCTGAGCAGTAGCTTAAGAGAAATAATAGTGATGGTATAAAGATGAGTGTTCACGACATGGGAGAAAAAAAGAAAACTATAAATTTTAATATTGCCAGAAGGAAATCCACAAGACCATAATAAGTAAGAGTGTTGTAAAATAAAAGTCAAACAAGCGCAAATCAGATTAAGCAAGAAAATTCGAAGGATTGTCAATCTTAAGAACCATGCAACAGAATTAGCTCATTTAAAAGTTTGCAAATACACTACTAATGAAATCATACATTTTATCTAGACATAATAAGTACCTTCTAAATTAAGAAAGCTACATGCAATCTAAGGTTGATAAAACAAAATACTAAAGTATAAATATTGTAATAATAAAACAGATCAAAATTAAAATAGTACTACCAATATATTTGCTCCAGGGAGTCAACTAGTGATGGTGTGGGATGTGAGTGCCACATTCTTCCATTGTTTTAGTTTATGGCTCTGTCCATTTGTATCATCTTTTGTAGATGATGATAGTTATAGTGCAGCAGAGATGTTTTTGATCATTCACATCATAATTGACATCATTATCAATTTGAATAGACCAATAATGATTTAAGGAGAAATTATTTTCGATAAATTAGAAATTATATCACATTATTTTAAAGGACAATTGGTGGAAGATCTCATAAGTTTAACAATGTGGTTTTTGATGTATTTTGATTTCAATAAAATACCTGTCACTAATGAGATTATAACTGTGATACTCTTAACGATTACCATTTTAAAAGTAAAACGAAATTATGAAAATTTTATAGAATCTCTATATTTATAAGGGGCTGTCAATTAATTGGTTGATCTGATAACATTAATTATGATGATCTACTTCTTTGCTCATTTAATGGCTTGTGTATTTCATCATGTCGGTGATATCACATCCGACTCTCAGAATTGCTGGTTAATACATTATAATCTTCTGCACAAGCCCATCTCAGTCAAATATAACCATTCTTTTTATTGGGCTACTATGACAATGGTCACTGTTGGTTATGGAGACATTACACCTCAGAATGAAGCAGAATTGGTTACGGTCAATTTACTAATGTTGCTATCGAGTTGCATGTTTGGGTACTCGATGAGTTCTATTGGAATGATTCTAAAGAGCATTTAGGATGCTAAGTATAAATGCAAACGATCTCTCATTCTAATGAATTCGTATATGAGATAGAGTTAAGTGGATTTATAGATTTAGAGTAGGGTAAGAGACTTCATTAAATACTAAGTTGAAATGGAATCAAAAGAAAATAATGAGGATGTCAATCAAATTATTAATGATTTGCCCAATTAATTGAAGTAGGAATTGTAAACTAATGTATAAATGAACATCATGCAAAAAATTAAAATAATAACTACCCAATTTACTAAGCAAACCTAATCGGAAGTGTCCTAGAATCTCTTATAACTTAAATTCACACCTGGAGACTACATTTATCACCAAGATTAGTTTGACAACAACTTGTAATTATTAAACAATTTATTTTCTAGATATTATATAAAAGAAGGACAAATTTAAATTACAGAAGAAAAGAGTGGAAAAGTATTATAAATAATTAAATCTTCTAGTACTTTTGGAGAATATTCATTTTTCACTGGCCTTACTACTAAAACTTGTGCATAAAGCATAGGATTCTCTGAAGTTTATTAAATCAAAAGAGACATATTCCTAAAAATTATAAAAAGTTCCAATAAAGATTTTGAGAGGTTTCACAATATCAAAGACAATTTGATCCTTAATTCAAATTATTTTGTGATCTTTTAAAATTGTAACTTCTGTAAAATGTATAATCACTCAAATATCGATTGTCCTCTACTCAACTATAAGCCAGATCCACATATCCTATCCATAAGAGAACAAAGGAAATACCCATTCTAATATAGGAAATCCTTTATGAGAATGGGAAATAAGATAAAATCCTTATTCATTCAGTAACAAATTACCAAGGCAGTAGAAGACTTTTTGGAAAAGCAAAGCACATTCCACGAAGTAATCAGAGAAATCCAGAAGCATTCAGAGGAAAGTCCTCATACCTAACAACAATAAACAGTTTAAATCGAAGTCAAGGGCACCGAAGATCAAGCTATTGAAATTTTGGGATCTCAACTAAATCCTTCTAGTACTGCTGCAACCATTAACGGACCTCCGTCATTAGCTATGACGAGAGGGAAATCAAGCAGATATGTTTTTAATCCTTCTTCCAAAGCGTCTCATCCCAAAAATTACTTTGTTATGGAGAATAATCATATGGACGTGACTAAGGAACTTATATTAAAGGAAAACTCATTTATTTACTATCTTTATTTCATTTACTAATTTCACTCTAATGAGATAGATCAGATTAAAGAATATCAGAATTACATGCCCCAAAATAATTGTTCCAATTCTATCAAATAGAGAGACAGATTTGTTGATAAAAAAACTGCTATGCAAGCGACAGATATGGTTGGTCAATCCAAAACCTTTATTAGTATTAGGAATAGAGATTTGCACTAACAGTAAACCATTTATCCTCACTATTGATATCCGAATATCGTGGCGCAACAATATTTTGAATAAATCAATCAAGAATAATCTATTTACTTAAATATTAATATTTATAAATAATGGATTCACCTAGTATAATAGTCTTGAATACTGATATGCCAAGGGGACCATAGCTTTCTCCAAGATCTTCCTATATCAAGTATGTTAAGGATTGTTCATCCTCATATATCGTATAAGAGAGTGAAAGAAATTACGATGAAATACTCAGTCAAAATATGAGCGAATCTCATTAAGAAAATAAATTAGCGCATATGACATCTAGTAGAAGAACATCAAAAAAGTTAGAACCATTAAAATTTACTTAGATAGCTAAATAAAATAAAATCATAGAGAAATTCAAAAACAATCTGTTATAATTCTCATACATTATGCCATAGAAATTTAAAGCTAAATTGTTATCAATTGAAAATTATTTATAGAAGGACAAATTGAAAAAAGCATCAAGTAGATTATATTATTAATTTTTAGATCAGACCAGAAGTAAGAATTAAAGCAATATCATCTCTCCATCCAACATATTTTTATTTTATTGGGAAATTTTTAATATTCTCTTACTATTTATATCTCTCTGGATATGTGCCCTTATTGTATCGTTTCCAAATTCATAGGAAATAAGTTTTCAATCTTTTGGCTGTTTATTTATTACAACCAACATCATTGAAATAATTATTTCAATAAACAAGGAAATTTATATTGAAGGTTAAATTATAAATACTCGAAGTGATATTCTGCTTAATTACATTGCTAAGTCATCTCATATTGACATATGCTCAATATTAATATGGATCATGATCAGTTTTAGTGCAATTGAATAGAATAGCATTATTCAAATGCTTGCAATACTTCTTGTGATTATCATATTCGCTCGGATCTTTAGAGTGTATGATTACCTCGTTGAATAACTGTATTAAAAAGGATTCGGTGGTTACGCTTTTGATCTTTTAACATTAGTAATAAGTATATTTTTCTTCGCTCACATTATGGCTTGTTTGTGGTTGATGGTCGGATTGAATTCAAGTGGCGAGAGAATGAATTGGATCAGAGATAATGATTTGGAAAATGAATCAATTTGGACTCAATATAATCATGCATTCTATTGGGCCACAATGACGATGGTTACTGTAGGATACGGAGACATTACGCCGAAGAATAACTACGAGATGACATTTGCTAATGTTGCTATGTTTTTTTCAAGTTGCGTATTTGCGTATTCAATGAATGCTATCGGAATTTTACTGAAGGGGTTTAATGATGTTAAATAAAATTACAAGTAATAATAAATTAAAATATTAAAGAAAATCGGTTGTAATCATGAATTAGTATATGAAATCTAATAATGTTGAGGATTAAATACAGAACAAAGTAAGAAATAACCTAAAATATTTAATATATAGTTAAGATAGTGATAATAATGATGCGAACAAATTGGTTAATAAACTATCCTTAGGACTTTAATAAGAATTGCAGGCAGATATATTAGGAAAGATAATTAAAAACATCAAAGTTTTGTCTTGTAATTTCAGTAAACAAATTCTACAAGAAATTCAAGGATTAGTAAAGATAGTTTAATTTTCGCCGGGGGAATTCATTTAAAAAGGGGAAAACGTACTAAATGATGATGATCTATTTTTGTAAGAATTACATAATAATTAGGTTTTACATAATCAAAGGGAATGTGAACTTCATTTCAAATACCACAAATTCCTTGATTTATAAATTAGGGCCAGGGGAGACATTTAATCAGTATGAATTTTTTACTGGTTTTGGTGATAAGAAAATAGATATCATTAGTGATGACTTTTGCTAATTAGTGAAATTAAATAAAGCATAGTTTATAAAATTGATATTGGAATCGAAGAAGGATTGGGAAATATACCATTCGATTAAAGACAATGCTGCAAATAACAATGACTTGATTGATTTAAATTATAAATGCTAATTTTGTTAGAGGAGTACGCATTTAAGACAAAATTGTCCTCTTCTCTCTTATTAACCTAATATTTAGCATAAATTGAAGAAGCAATAATAGTTAAGACAAAAATAATATCGATCTCAGGTAAGTCGAAATTGTGTAAAATTGAATAGCAAAATGATTTTAGAGGAAGTGAAAATGACTATTTAATAATACATGATGAATAATATTACTGATTTTACTGAAAATCTTTCAAGAAAAGAATCAAAGGTAAATGAATAAGATGATGATTAACAATTCAAAAAGATAGAGTTAATTTCAAGTACTCCTATTTATAATAGAAATACTCCAGCGAAAAAAACCACTATTATTTAGAATATGGGAAGTTAAAATTATATTCGAAGTAAGTTTTAAGCAGGAACTCCATTAAGAGCAAATAATCAATTGAAATTTAATAAAGAAACATCTCATTAAAATTCAACAAATTAATCATAACCAATACTATCTCAAACTAATTTATAACCAACACTTTCATTCAAAATGCTTGATCATGTTTTCGATTCAATGAAGTTTACTTATATTAACATTGATAAAATGCAAAATTATATTAATTATCTACCTCATAACAATGTAAGAAGGATTTTGATATAAATGGATGCCCAAAATTAATAGATCAGAGACAATGCAAAAGGACAAATCAAGGTGGATAAATCGTTTGGATTTACTGCAAAATTAAGAAGTTAAAAGCAGAAAAACAATGCTTCAAGATAAAGTTAATTTAATATAAAACTTTGAATTTAATATTATTTATTTTTAATGGCTGAAAGACATAGATTTTCCAGCTAACAAAAACTTCCAACCCTAGATTTTGTATAAGTTAATCGAATTCCAACCGAGGGAATCAATGTCAATGTATTGTCTATTAAAGGATATAGATCACAGTCTAATCAGGTGATGCTTAATTTGTTAGCTTTCGATCTTTAAATGAGTTGAATCCCAAACTTCGTTTTCCTACTAACTCAATAGATTCATCCTCATAACAATTAAACTAGACCATCTAGAAAGACTTAACTAAAAATAAGAAAATGATCTTCATGTTAAGGAAGACTCTTTACAAATAAGACTATGAATATTAGGGATATCAGGAAAACATAATCGTAATAATTTGAAATTAAATTAAATTAGAAACAAGTAAGAACTGTCACCAGAATACAAAAGTAAGTCAAAAAGGTTCCACATCGAATTGATCCTGTTAATAATGCCAACGAAAAATCTAACAATATACAATTGATTGCCAAAAAAAAAGTGTCTTTTCCTATGTACTTTAATGGAGCATTCTTTTCAAAATTATAACATAGTTGGATACCTGCAATTCGAGAAAATACAATGGCAGCGGATTTCTAAAACAAAATATACATGTTTGGTGGAATAGGGAGTGAAGTTATGGGTGATTTAATAGAATATGAAATATAAACAGGAAAATTTAGAGAAATCAAATAATATGGCGACATTCCTTTAAATCGTTATGGCCATTGTTTACATAGTATAGGTTATCCCATGACTTTATCAACCTAATTTTCGTATGATAATCAACAATACACTTAAATTAATGGAAAACAACTAATCTTGTATGGAGGCGAGATGCAGTATAATGCAGCTTTGAGACTAAGAGAAAATTTAAGTGACACAAGAATTTTCGATTTGGAAACAAAAACATGGCAATTACTGAAACCAAATTATGAAAATATTCCTGAAAGCCGTAGATCTTTTGGAAGTTGTGTAGTCGGTAAAGGATTGATAGTGATGGGTGGTATTCGAAGTAAATTTTCAGTTTTCAATGATATTCATTATTTGAATTTAAGTATCATCATTGTATATCCTTAGATCTTTGTAAATGGAGTCCATTAGATACATCTAAGAACCCATTTAATAAAGGATTGGCATTCTAGTAATTGGTTTGTGCTTATAATAAGCCATAATTAATCTTTGACAAAAGAGATACTAGAGGCAAACCTTATAAACCACTTGAATATGAAGGTATATACTGTTTTGGAGGATGCTACATTGATGATGATAAAAATACATAATTCTACAACAATTTTATGGCTCTCTTAAAATTGGATTCACCTAATAATCCTTGGGTTATTCCAGAAACTACAGGTAAACCACCTCTTCCAAGAATTTAGCATACTGCTTCATATGTCTAAGAAATGAATGTTATAATTATCTTTGGTGGTAGAGATGACTCTAGGAGTAATCCTTATTTTAATGACATATTTGCATATAAAATTTGCGAAAAGGAATGGGTGTAATTAGATGTCTATGGCAATATTCCGAGACCAAGAGCCTCTCATTCTGCTGTGGCTTACAAAAGTCAAGTCTTATACTTTGGAGGAGTAAGTATGAATGGATATCTGGAATTTTCAGTAAATGTTGCAGAGTTTAATCAAAACCAGATTAGACAATTGCAAGCAGAAATGAAAGTTCATGAAATACCAAATAATGTATAATCTACTAAAGAAGATATTTAAAGGCAGTCAATTTTAAATAAATAGTATTTTTCTTTACATTAAATTGCGCCTATCTAAAAACCTAGAGAATTAACAAAGGCAGAGGAGGTTAATAAAAAGATCTAACAATTATCGTTCACTAACTTTCCTCTGCATCTTAAATGACTTAGTGATTGAAATATAAATAATAATTATTTAGATTAATTCATAATTAACAATATTAAAAAATACCATGTAATTTAAGTCTTGATCTTGACTCTACGGAATAAAAGTATTAATATTAATTATTCTAACCTTATTTTTTGAAAATTATCTTCAAATTTTATTATATGTATTATTCAGTTTATATTGATAGAAATACTATCTCCTTGGTGTGTCTTTTCTCTTTTCAACTTTTATAATGGTCATATATATAATAATTGTGGATTGATAATGTTCATTATCAGTCGAATATCCTGTGTTTGATAGACATCATTTTGATCAACAGCAATTTGAGAAAAGAATAATAAAAGTTATAAATAATATATGGTTATGTGGAACTGGAAATTTAATTTATAAAATGATTAATATTTAGATTTGAAATTTATTGATAAATTCTGAATTTAAATTGTTTCTCTAATTTTAGTAATTACTATTAATAGTGAATTAATTTCATATAAATTTCATTAGTTTGATTATCAAGTATTAATAACTTAATAAAATGAAATACTTAATAGTAGCTACCCTTATCTTATTTACTATGGCTGAGTAAATCAAGTGCCCACTTGAGATAGACACTTCAGTATCTTGTACAAAAGAAAATTAACCTTCATGTTCATTTTCATCCGAAGGATACGTAAGATTTAAACTTAAATTGTAGCCATTAGGAACATTTGAAAACCCTTGTTTTGCTTGCAGAGCAGATAGAGCAGTTTCTTATGAGCTTAATCCATGTAAGTTGGCCACAACACCTTCAGACCCATAAGTTACAGATTCTGGAAATTCTTCTTCCACTACTTCAAAAGGAAATACCGTAATCAAATGTGACATTCCAAAATCTGATAGCCCAATATGTCCAGCAGTGTAATATCTTTAAATAATATTTTAGTTATAAACCTACTTGTGGATTGTTCAATTCTAGTATTCAATGCTTCAAAGCTCCTTGTGGAAGATCGTTTGGAAATGAATGTGAAGCCTGTTCCGACAAAAGTGTTGATTCATATTTCTACGGAGATTGTGAAGATGTTCCTTAAGAGTATCTTAATTGAATTATAATTTTAGAGATCCATAAAATCCACCTGATGATAGTATCACCTATTGTACAGAACCTAGACCTGAGATATGTACTGATGAATATACAGACACTTGTGCTTTCATCTCAACCCCATGCTTTTCAGATTCTTGTTTGAGATCTGCTGGAAACTATTGTGATGCTTGTTCTAAAAAAGACGTGGTTGGATATATTAAACAATCTTGTGAGAAATACAAGTAAGTATTTGTTCTATTTTTAGATAAGTATACACCTAATATCCAAGTAATCTGGACGACAAAGATCCTTAAACTTAGACTGAAGAGGAAGCCTAAGATTTAGATTCACAAAACCAAGAAACATCTAAGTAATGTGGTACCAAGCCAAGTTCTTGTGACAATACTGTGAATGAAGTGTGTGCAACCTATCAATGCAATGACACCACTTGTCAAAAAGAATTTTAAAATTCATGCTAAGCTTGCTTAGAATCAACAACTATTTCATATATTTAGGGTAAGTGTTAAACTCTATCTGGAACTATCCTGGGTTTGGCCTTATTATTACAGCTAATCATATGAAATAATTGAAAATATCATATCATACATATACATTGAATATAACTTTATAAATATACAATTACGAAATTAAATATCATTACACACATTGCCATTAATAATAATGATAAAATACTCAGAAATCATTTAACTTCAGACATCTCAACGTAGTTCAATTACTCGTTATCGGCTAAGGCTTTTAAAGTTCTTTGGCTATTTGGAAAATTCCATATGTGGTGATCAGTGCCAAAGTATTCCTTATTGCATTCGTAACAGACCAGGAAAACCGCAACTGGAATTGTTGTTAGTGATATTAATTTTAATAAAGAGTATATTAAAACCTATAACAAATAAAATTATACTGTTAAGATCGATGTTGGTATCAAATAGTTAGTACCCTCTATTGTATTGGAAGATAATGCATAGACAAATACATCCAAACTGAATTGAACTCCGTATTAAATCAAACCGCTTACTGAAAGAAATTAGAGAATTAACATTACTTTTTAATATCTTGATCTGAGTAAGTCTTGTTTCCAATTTAAGTAATTGATGAGAGAATGAGTCATTTTTGTTATCCAACTTTTAATAGGGGGTAATTATACTAAGTACTCCTTGTATTGATGTAAGTGATGAACGCACTAAAATCCAATAACAAATGCTACGATTGACAACATCAAACCAATGAAAGACATAATCAGGTTCGAAATCACATTGCACTGATAACTTGTAGTTTTTCCACAATAATATACACACTCTCTTGATAATGGCTTATGGACTGATAAAGCCAAAGGAATCCTATCAAGCATAATCCCAAACGACCTATATTAAAAAGTTGCTCATGTTTTTCCTTGTTCACAATAACACTGATTAATATTATGCATATTAGCAATTCTAAAACCAATCCTATGCTTTTTAGACTTATCAGCCAAATGATGGATTCTACATAATGAGGGGACGAGTACTTGCAATCGCGAAGTAGAACACTTGGAGAGCCATCTGAATAGTGCCTATGACACATAGTGTTTGGTCGATTAATAATAGAATTCCATTGTTATTTTCAAACATGATCTTAGTCTTCAGTATAAAGTAATACAGAATCGCACTACTTATAATGAGATCGATCAGACTCTCTGAGCATTAATAAGTGGTTTAACATTTATATAATGCTCCCATTGAATTTAATTATATTTATATAATGCATAATTTGGATTTGAAATGTAGCAAATGGGGTTATTGTGTGAGGTTTGATCATTTTCTAAATTTAGACTGCTAAGTACAATAATCTGTCAAAATAGCTTAATTTCGATTGAAAAGTGATTTGAAAATATGAAAGATGACCAAATTAAAATACGCAATATGATTCTTGTAAAAGATTTGATTAATTCAGATTTACAAATATTTGAGGTAATTTAATTATTGCTTGTAATGAAGTCTGGTGAAATAATTCACAACATGAATGACGACACGTCTCTTTCATCTGAGGACGAGGAACAGACCTCCAAGATTATAGAGAATGATCCAACAGGTCGTTTTAGTAAGGTATTAAAATGATAACATAATTTGTAGTACAATGAAGAAATTGGAAAAGGCGCCTATAAGAGTGTTTACAGAGGATATGACAATGAAAGTGGATGCGAAGTAGCATGGAATGTGTTTTAATTGATGAATGTTTCTGAGAGTAATTTTATAATTCATATTATCTTTAGACGAAATAAGAAGAGCCAGATAAGAGATAACAATATTGAAAACATTGAAACACAAGAACATCATTAATTTTATACATTCATGGCAGAGTAGATCGAAGAGGGAAATCGTATTCATAACCGAAATTGTTAATGGAGGATCGTTGAAAAAGTAAGTTTCAAAGCATTATCAGGCAGTTACCTCAGGAGAATCACAAGACCTAAGCTAAAAGTCATAAGATATTGGTGTAAACAGATCTTGGAAGGATTGGAATACATGCATTAACAAAACATTATCCACAGAGATTTGAAATGCGAAAATATCTTGATTGACACAAACAACAACGAATTAAAGATAGGTGATCTTGGCCTATCGATTTAGTAATAATTCAAAATTTATTAAGAGAATGCAATCGAATAATACTAATTCAGTATTGGGAACACCAGAATTTATGGCACCTGAAATTTATCATGGAAATTATGATACCAAGGTTGATATCTATGCTTTCGGAATGTGCATTCTGGAAATAGTGACTGGCATGAAACCTTTTTGTGAGTGCAAAGGTGGAACTGGTTAAGTCATCAAAAAGGTTATGGAATCTCAAAAACCTTAGAGTTTAGAAGGCATCCTCAATGAAAAGATTAAATCCATCATTTTAGAGTAAGATTACTTCATTTATCTTAGGTGTCTCAAACCTGCAAATGAGAGACCGACTGCTACTCAACTGTTGAATCAATATTTTTAATCCTCCAACATTGATGAAGACAATTGTCCTGTCTAATTAAATGAGTCACTTCTGAACTAGATCTCCCATGACAGCAAAAGTAATTCTTCTCTCTATTTAATAGACTCCTCCTTCTTCAAGAATAACCTATCTAAAAACATCAGTGAAGTCAAAGGAACTACTAACAATCACATCAATAATAACCTTACTAACTAACCAAATAAACTAATTCTCTTTCAGGAATACAATCCTAATTCAATGAAACAATCTGAAGTAAGACATTGTGAATAATAAAATAAGTTAAGCATGGATACTGCTGATGATTTCTCAATTGAGTAATAATTCGGCAAGCAATACAAAGAATATTATGTACAATTTTATTGTTATTCTAGATCACTCAAAATGACGAAACCCTGTTAGATTTAGAATAAAGACAAGAGAGAGAATTACAATTATTACTGACTTTGCATAAACAACAAAAAGCTGATCTCTCGAATAAGCTTTAATAAACAAATAGATCTATTATCCCATATGGATCGGGGTTTTTATCACCGAAATCATTCTCCACCTTATTTGAATTCAACAATGATTAACTTCAACAATTATAAGGAAACCAATAGCAATCTCAAATATTGAAAGTCTTTCCCGTAAGTGAAAGTACAAATTCAGAAGAAACTGGAAGAAAACCAAGCAACAAAGAAGATGATTTGAACATGATTTAATCAGTAAGTTTTAATTTAATCCATTAGAAACAACCATGTAAATTGTCTACAGATGTTGTTGTGTAATCGAAAGTTTACAATGTCAAAACTCCTATTTAAGGTTGAATATTAACATCACTTAAATGTTAATATTGACTATTTATTTATAAATACAATTTCTACAAATAATATCCGTATAACTTACCTCAATTTCGTTAAATTTCTATATTTGATTTCAAAATTTGTTAATTTAATTGTAATAATATAAATGAAAATCAAAGATCTAATTTGTCACTAGATAAATACATCTATGGTGGTTACTGCTATTATTATTAGTAGCATGTCACATGATAATTGTAACCAGGGTAATACTATGGATTAGAAGTAAAGTTATTATTTAAATGGGTTGGTAAATTCAAATATGATCGGGCTGGTTGAAGCTAATTAAAATTCATTTGATTATTCATAGGTATGCATTAATAATAAAAGGAGTTCAAACTTTAATGTTCAGAGAATCCCTCTTAATTATTATTCTACTGATTTTATTATTATCCAAGTTCAAGATTTGCGTTTAGTGCAATGTTGTTTGAATAATTCAGATTATTAATTGGAGGTTGAGCTCCTAAAAAGCTGGATAAGTTGACTAAAGAGTTATTGTTAATCTGATGTTAAGATTTAATATAATTGTTAAATTATTCCTAATTTAAAAAGTATATATATCCTTTTTCTTTGTTAACTAAACAGAAAGTTAATTAACTCTAATCCTCATTTTAATTATATTCCATCATTTACAATTAAATACAATTGGCACTATTGTTTGTTTTTTGGTTTAAACTAGAAGGAGTAAAATTCTCGATATTTATATTGATGTTATTGAAATTATTGACATTTTAAATTCTATTGTTGTTTGTATTCTCTTACTATTGTTATCTAGTTTTTAATTCACGTCTATCCAGTTATACCTTTTTTGATACTTAATCCTAATGTTCTTGCTTGATTTCATAGGAAGTGCCATCTTATTTCATTCTCCATTCTATCTTCTTGATTATGGCTTGAATTTGTTTAATCTCATCCTGACTTAACTCTTCAGCTGATGGATCAGATATATATGAATCTTGATTCTCATTATCACTATCATCTTAGGATTAGGGGATATTCTTGCCGCTTTTTTCCTTTCTCATTAAGCAATTAAATCTATTTTTCACATTGTTTTCACTGCGCTATAATTTCAACTTTTTAGAAATTAATGCCCACTTTTTTCCATTTTAAATGGCCAATCTCATGAGCTCCAAATCTTCTAATTATTACCACGGATTTCTTATTTAAAAGGAAACAGTTACCTATTAATCGATGGGTTTAAGTGATTATTCCACCTCTCTCGGCATTACTTTCCATTTCTGTGAACATTGAGACCTGTCGTTTTATTGAGTTCAGTTGCAATTTGGCTCCATTTATTTCCTTTGTTCTGAGCCTAAAACTCACTTATTATTCGAACTAAGGCGTCATCCTCATTTTGTCCCCATGGAGCTTATTGAAGAGGCAATTTCAACATCTATAGCCATTTTTGCTTACACTAGAAGGAGTCTCTTCTCAACATCATCGATGATATATTCTACCAGTCCTCCTCAGACTAAAATAACAATAGTTGAAAACTTTACAATTTGCTTGAAATCTCTTTTATAATAGGACATATACTTTCCTATAATCCATATTAAGATTCTTTTATCTTCATCAGACCAGTTCTTTTTTAACTTTTTGGTTCCTGACTGAATGCTGAGTTAGTTATTCCTTTGAAAGTTTAAAACCTCTTAGTTGTCAGGAAATTGCTCCATTCCAAGATTATACAATTCCTTCATGTATGCAAATCTAACATTTGTGATGTCCTTAACTTTATCATAAAACTCCTTAAATTAAACAAAGAAATCTTCCATTTTTTATATTTATGGAATTATAAAATTAAACAAATTATACTCCTCAATCCAAGCTTTTAAGATGCATTCTTAATGAAGTAGCAATTTGTCCTATTACATTTTTGGAAAATCTAAAAAGAAAACTAGAGGAAAACATTTTCTATTATGTAATAATATTACAATATTGTAGTAAACATTAATTGATATATATATTAATTAGTAATTTAATAAAATAGTTTAAGTGTTGAAATAATTATGAAATACGACAAACAATGTTTAGCCCAAACATATTTGGTAATCTAGTAAAACATAGCTTAAATATTACTAAACTAAAAAAAATACTGAAAAAAATTCAAAACCCAATAGATTTTAATTTGATAATAAAATTAAATTGTTTACAATGTGTTATACCAGTTTAACTGACTATGTCTAATTTATGGGATGGAAATCATGCACTGGATTCACTTATAGCTTGATGGATTATTAGTTTGAGACATATGATCCAAAAAAACATCCAGAAAAAATTATTCCTATTGTGGATTACAAAGATAATGAAAGTATTTAAACGGTATACATTTTAAACGAGAATTTTTTCTTATTCTAATATTTAGGATTTTTAGTCAAATCCAATTATTTTCAAGTAATTAGCAGTTCTATTATAGTCTGAAAGATATAGAGTGTTCAATATAACAAACTATTTCTCTATAAACTATATTTTTATTATTACGATGAAAAATATTAATTAGGAGAATGTAAATAATTTGCTTCTTTGGCCTAATACTTACCAAAAATACGATCCAACTCTTAGATTTCAACTCTTGATAAAGTTTTAAGAATATCATATTAGTACGAGAAAAATAGAAGAAGTCTCAAAATTAGAGAGTAATAGGCACTCCTAAAAATTTATTAAATAAAACTTTCAATTAAAATTTATAATTTGAGCAAAACAGTGACTGCAATAGTTTAGAAAGTTTTTATTAGATTAAAAATTCTGATAACTATCTCATCATGAAGTTTATGAGTTCGCTCAATTATAGGATAAGAAGGAATCTGTAGAAGATATTTTATTTAACTGAAGAATAAATAGAAAATTAAGTAAATAAATATATTATTCTGATTATTTAAACCCTGATTGCCCAATTAGTGATTGTAAACATGACACTACTCTATATATAATCAATTTAGCTTCAAAATGTAGTGGTAATATGCAAATAAGTAGACCATAAAAAATTAAGAGGTAATATGAGTAGTATGTCTACTTAATAAGATATGCTGTATTAAGCTTTGATCTAATTTAATTGATCGTTAATGATGCCATAAAAGAGTATAAGAAGGATACAATAGAATGTTTGATGTAAGATGAAGATCAGATGGAAGTGATGAAAATATTAAAATTCACTTTTACAACTTATTAGAATAGTTCATCATTTCATTTTTTACAGAAATGATCTTGCTAATTGTTAGATGAATTTATTCTATTTAATAAATATCTGCATTCTTATAAATATAGCTTTCTTCAATAATTCTATTGTTATTCTACCTATAATTAAATTTAGATATTTCCATTATTTTGATATATTTACTTTTTTATTATAACAATCATTCAATCTACAAATCGCTAAATTTATAGATCATTTTTTGTAATTTTTATTATTTGCGCTCTTTTCTTGATTTATTTTTCCTGAAATTCTTTTATTTATCACTTTTTTCATTGATTCTGGTATAGTTGGTTTTCTTGGCAATATTTTGTTTAGATTTCATAATTTTTGCCTTTAATGAATCTTGCTCAAAGATTTGGGTATTTAAAAAGTGATTTATTTTTCCTTTATAAAATGTGGCTTTCTCCATAATTTCCTACAGAATTTCTTATTGCCTTTATTGCTGCATTCAATAATAAAATTTATCATGGATAAGAAGGTTTATTTTTAATGAATATATATATAAAGTAATGGAAAATCAATGAAATATTTGGCTTCTCAGAAATAAATTGGATTTAAATTATGTTTTTAAAGTTGAGCATTTTATTTTTCAATGATTTTTTTTAAGTTGGATATTTCTTCTTTGAATTCTTATTCCTTTAATTCCCATTTTTTAGAAGCAGCTTGATAGTTGTTCATCATCTACTTAGTTCTTTCGACAACCTTTTGCAATTGCTATTATAGTTTTTAATTTGTTCCGTTCTCTTGGAATGGATTAAGATGATTAGATTGCTGTAATATTTTAAGGCTGCTGTTAGAATTCCCTTTTACATTTTTCATACCTTAATTAGGACTAGCACTGCTTGCCAAACTAATAGTTGTCGATTAACTAGAGTATTTTTGCTTGTTAGGCTTTATCGACACTTCGATTTAAGCATTTTCAGTTTTGCATCTACTATTAAATATGCTCTATCTCTTTTCATTGCTACGTGAGCTGTTATTAAAGAATTCATGAAAACTATTTAAATTTGAATAGTTTAATATTGTGGGCTAACTATTTTAAATTCTATGTTTGGATAATTTCACTTTTGGGGTTCTTATTTAAACAGTTATCATAATATCAATAATTAATATTATCTTAACTAATAGTTTATTTATGATTATGGAATGTAAATAATTTTTGTGTACAAATAGCTAAAAACCTTATAGTCAACAATTCTTCAAAGAAAGGAGGGTTATTTGAAGAGTCTAGTAAAATATTTTTTTAGTAAGGAAGTATTATTTCAGTATAGTTTTAATATAAAAATAAAATATCTATTATTGAAAGAGAGAGATGGACATAAATTCGCAAGAATGACTTTATTACAAATTTTATGATTGTTCCGGAAAAATGAATTATTTTAATATTATTTTAATAATAAATGAATTTATGAGATTAATAGCTGAATATAAATTATGACTTATTATTCTATATTCAAAACTGTTATTATTATTTTATTCAAGATTAATAGTAAATTCCTATTTAACTTGAATAAGTCATAAATCTTTATCTGCGTTTCTTTACTTGAATTGCTATTATTCTAATATTTATGTATTTTTTTAATAATATATATGATTGACCAGAAAAATACTAAAATATAAAATGATCACATTTTGGTTGGTAGTTGTGAAATGGAAGATTTAACAAGTAACACAATAGATGATTATTGTTAGTCTATCCGTATGAATTAGTTAATAGGGAGTTTTTTGGATTTATAGAGAAAACATCTTTTGTGAAGGAGAACTTTGAGTTGTTGTCGAAAGTAGGTTAAAATTTAAGATTGAATTTTAAAGATTGGCCGACAGTTGAATAAGCAATCTTACTGTTTTAAAAGAATATGTATCAGTTTTGTTGAATTTTCAAGCTAAAATGCTAAAAGAAAATCAATCAAGTGGAGCGATTTCGAGAAGAAACTCTTTTATTGGATAGTCATGCGCTATTATATCTATAAAGGAATTAAGGATAATAAACAATTAGTATTTAATATCATAAAGTTGTTAAAAGGCTACAAACGAATGGAGAGAAATATCAAAAATGATTCTAGGAAGAAATGCTCATTAATGTCGATTGAAATGGGAACAAAAATATAAAATTCCTTTATCTGAGGCACCTTGGACTGAACAAGAAGACAATTTACTCTTCAAAGTGCATGAGTATAGGCATTTCTAAATTTTAGAGAATTTAAAAAAACAGGAAAAGAAAACAAGTGGTCTTAAATTTCAAGAGAAATATATAAAAGATCTAACAATAAAATATTCAGATAACCCAAATAATGTAGAGAACGATGGATTAATCGTCTAGATCCGAATATTTCTAAGTATTGAAATGATAATAATAGTGATCCGTGGGATAAATAATAAGAAATTGATTTATTGAAGACTATCTTAATGAGAGGTAAGAAATGGTCAGAACTATCAACCCTTTATGGCAGGGTTAGAACTGAGAATTCATTAAAAAATAAATACAATTCGCTTCTAAAGAAAGAAAAATTGAAATATGAATTTGAAACGATAAATCCTCATTTATTTGAGAAAGTGTAAAAACTGCGAAAGGACTACGCTAAGAGATATGGAAACATCACTCCAATTGAAGAAATCGATAACTATGAATGGCAGTTTATAGTTTTAGCAATTTAAGGCTTATACATTGAGTAGTGCTTACAGGAAGGTAGGATTGAAGAGGCTTAAAAAATAAATAATGATGACTTTTTTAATCTATTTCATGAAGATCCTTTAATTAAAACATCCAAGACTATACTATATAAAAAGGAACTAACTATTAAGTAGGTAGATCCAAATATCATTCTTAATAATGAAAAGTGTGGAGTCGTTATTTTTAATCATAAAAATAACAAATTATATTTAACACCTTATAATGTAATTGACTTCCAAAACATAGTCCTAAATCAAATTAAAAAGAAGGTTAAAATAGAAGATAATGCCACAACTTCATCTACTTAATCAGATCCAAATTAGACTTATCTAAGAACATCTATAGGAACCTAATCCATCTAATAATTTTTATACCTTACTAATCAACCTAACTATTATGTTCCTTTAAATTAGAGTATGTTCAATAGCTATTGGCTTCCACCGGTTTTTCCATAATAAATTGTATCTTCATAAATTCAAAATAAAAATTTTATTAGAAATTAAACGCAATTTTAAGAAGAAAAACAACTACATTAAAACCTCTAGCAAAATAATTAGGATAATTTAAATGATATTTTTGAATAAATCGGAGTGGATATTAAAATAGTTAATTCGGATGATGAAAAATGACATACATATTAGTGTTAAATATTTTTAAACTATTTAATAAAATAAATTATTTAAAGTACATTAAGTAATTATTTATTAAAAAAATATAATATAATCTTCACAGAAATTACTTCTAAAGGTCAAAGTATGAAATAGTAAAAGAAATCCCTGGGATTCGTTACTTTTAAATGGATTCATAGCTTATGAATATCAAAGTATATATTGCGGGGAGCTGCAAGGTAAGGTAAGTTCTATCAACTATTAGTTCCTTGAATATTTGTATATTTTATAATGTCAAGATATAAACAATTGAAACATATTCAGTGATTAAATAGATTAATTCAAATTTATTTTATATTAAAAATTGTATGATTATAACTGACTTTGAAAATTTATATATATATAATTTAATAAACTAAATTTAAATTCATGCAGACTTTCTCTTCTAATCGTTATCTGTTTGAGTTTTCATTTAATTTAACATGTAGATCTTTTAATCTTGTTGATTCATTTAATTTTCGCTCTCAAATGTATTCAATCTTTTGTTTTTCTATTTTTACGTGCTTTAATATTCCATTTAGTTATTTCTAGTACCGCCAGTGCTTTCCTGGAAATTGGCTTCATTACTATTATAATAAAATTGTTTTAATATAATTTCTTTAGGAAAATTTTCAGAGATATTCTACTAAAGAGGTTTGATAAATGCTAAGAATTCTGGCTCGCCTTGACCGAATTCTTATTCATCGAAATTGAACGAATAGTGATCAGGTTTAAAAGGGGGTTCAATCTTTTTTTATAAAATATCTTTATATAAATTTTTATCTCCCCATTAGATCATCCATGGGTGTTTTAATAAAGTATCAATTGAATCAATTCTATTTTTCGGATTTTTAGCTAATAAATTATTCAATAAATCTTTGATTGAAGGGGACATTTGTAATTATGGAGGAAAATTCAACTTTTAATTTAGTATTCTTGTGTATATTTCTTCAGTATTTCTCGAATAATAAGGGGGTAAACCAGTTACAAGTTCATACAATAATGCTCCTAAACAATACAAATCTAATTGAAATGTGTGTCCAGATTTTAATAGCATCTCAGGTGCCATGTATTCAGGGGATCCACAAAATGAATATCCAATGTCTTATTCTGTCATATTAGGCTTCGATAACCCAAAATCAGCTATTCTAACATGACCATCAAAGTCAATCAATATGTTCTCTGGTTTGATATCTCTGTAAATAATGTTGTTTTCATGTAGGTTTTTCATGCCTAAACAAATTTCTGAAAAGTAAAAAAATGCTTCCTCCTCCTTCATCCTTTTAACCTAATGTATAATTAATGAAATTACTTTTCTCAACAGATAGAACAGCTCGCCTCCAGAACAGTATTCTAAGACAAAAACTAAATATTTTCTAGATTCAAAAGCATATTGCATCTTCACTATAAATGGATGATTAAGAATAGACATGATATCTCTCTCATTTTAGATGATACTTTATTTATTTTATTAGATTATGGGACTCTTTTCTATCAATTTCATTGCATAATATTATCCTGATTTTCTTTCTCTTACCATGTAAACTTTAGAGAATCCTCCCATTCCTATGCATCTTATGAATTCAAAGTCTTTTAAACTGAGTCTAGGAGTCTTGATTTCATTTTCTAAAGCAAAGACTGGTTCAATGATTAATGGTTAGAGATGGCTGGAGTTCAAAAGAGAGAGTGGTCTCTCAACTTTTGATAGGATATAATCGACAGGGATTGAAATATTGCAAGTTATAATGCCAATAACGGTAGGTAGGGTTGTTCCGAAGTTTTTAGAAATAATTTGTTTCACTAGATCTACCAAATATTGTATTGAATTTGATTGGATATCTATAGTGATTTTCTCTTTAAGTGATTTGCATAGTAATATAATGTTTATTGTGTCTTGTAATTACTTTCTATTAGATAAATACATTCTTTACCTAGTTGTAATTGGTTTATTTGGAGTAAATTCAATAATTGGTTAGGAGGCTGAATGAGTTTTTAGTTTTTAACTCTCCAATTATTTTGTGCTACTTGATTTATAGGAGTTTTGTTGCAGAAATAGTTATGATTGATGTTTTGCACTTGAAACTCCTAAAGATTTTTGAAAATTAATTCTTTATAGCAATTCCTCCTATTGTCTTTACTTCATTTCTTAAATGGCTAAGTCGGCTTTCTGTTTCAATGTGAGTTCTGTTTTATTAGTAGCAGATTATGGTTGAGTCAAGACAATTTCAGATGATTTTGGTAATGCTGAAGAGATGAGAGATAATTATTTGTAATCATCTTATGTTTTATCAATTTTTGTGATCGATGATTATGAGTTTTAATGAGAGTGAGGTTGAGTTTTTATATGATTTCCTCCTTATCTGATGACTGTTTTTTAGGGGACTAGCTTTTTCTCTTGACTAACGAATTTTGGTGACATGAAATCTTTTGATTTGAGCAAATCCGATTATTATATTTTTCTTTATGTTTACCTCAGATTATTAAATAAATTCGTACTACTATTGTGTTATTCTCAAATTATTTTAAGAACCATTCTATTTTAACAATGGACTCTGTTGATGAATTAACTATTTGTTAGGCTGAAATCAATTAATTATTTTACTTTGAAATCCATTTGTAATGTTGGTGAATTGGAGAATCTCGCTTAAATTTATTCTCTATTGGATAGATAACTCATTAAGGCCATAGGCGAGATTTCTGAGGACTAAGTTTTATGATGTTATCTTTTCGGTGGCATACAAATTAAATTTATAAATAAAAATCAAATGTTAAATTTGTTTTTAGTTTAGAAGTTTGAGAGGAAGATTAAGTACACTCATTGAAAAGTATCAAAAAATGTGAGTAAGATTCCATTTATTCAAAATTCTATAAACAATAATATATTAATTTTTAAATTGTCATTATTTAAGTTTAACAGGACTTTAATTATCGATTAAATGCATTAATTCTTTGATTTCAGTTTAAAATTCTTTACTAACACTTTTTTAAAACCTCTTTCCATTAGTCTAAGTATTAATTCTAGGTTTGAATGTACAATCAACCATTTCTTTTTCTTTCTATTTTTTCTATTGGTTATCCATCTTATGTTTAATTTTTTGTTTCCATTCTTCATTGCGTTCTGCAATAGCAGTAGGTCTAGCCGTCTAAGCTCTATTTGTTGATTGAGCAATCTCCATTTCTTTTTGTTCCTATTCCTTTTATGGTTCCTTTGTTTGAAGCTTAGAGTAACAACTTTGTCTCTCTTTTTATTACACATATTGGGAGTTGCTTTTGGGTTTGATCTGAGGCGATGAATTATTAATTGTTTTTTTCTTTAAGGAATTTTGAGGTTACTTTTTATTGGGAGAAATGCTTTAAGTATATTATTTCTAAGATTTTCGAGATTATTAGCTTTTAATTGGAGTTTGCATTAATTATTAATTGGGATTGATAGACTTGGGTCTTACAGAGATATGCTATTCAGAAATAGGTTAATTTTGGGATTATAATGCTTGTTCAATACATTTAGGTTTAATGATGTCTGGACTCAAACTTTTTCTATCTGTTTACTTTCTAAAGGAATCACTGCTTTTCAAGTATTCATCATAAAATTTGATCTTCTATTAAACACTTCTTTGGATATCTCTGATGATACAGGAGGATTATTTAGCTGTAATTTTAGCATTAAACAATGATTCACTCAATTGGATGGTCTCTTTGTCAACCTTCGTATGAGAGACAACTTTCATAGCATAATCTTGTTCATGTATTCTTTTTTTCTATTTCTGAGTAAAAAAGAATGTTTCATGATTATCATTCATTTGTAAATTGGATTGTTTTACTTGATAAAAAATAAAATTAATTTTATTATGGTTTATTTTGTAAATCATATAGACAGTTTACATTAAGATAGAGAAAGTGTCAATAAATTAGATGATGTAGAATGATAAAAAAAATGAAACTCAAACTTTGATCTCTTTTCTTTTTTCTGGTTCATACTCCTCCCCCAAAGATTCAAGTAATTAAAACAAAATTGAACTTAAATATGAATTTTAGAAACCCTAATAATAATAATATGCAATATGTACTTCAGATGTTATATTCGGTTTGATGAATCTGCAGAGATTTAAATATCCGCTTTACTCTTATGCTCCTGGAAATACTCCCAAAGATCGTTTGTATCTATTTATCAATCTACCTTAGTAATATAAAAATATCCCTAAATTGTTTTGAGGTAATCTACAAATTCCATAAGACTCTGTACATTCATTCAATTTATTGAATAGTTTGCCATTTGCTAGAATAACTTTGAATTTATTTTCCATCTTATTTTTAATGGATGAGGCTACTTGCAGTTGATCATAAACAAAGACTTTAAAAGGAAGTTAATCCAAGGAATAGAATTTAATATATTCCTTTAACGAATAATCGGGATATTTAATGGCTTCATCCTTTTTGAGATCAAAGGCTGAATATGAATTAGAGATGATGTCATCATTATAAATGCTCAATTCAAATACTTTCTAATGAGAATGTATTTTAGCAAGATCAAAGATAAAAATCTTGGTATAATTGTAGTTGCAATTAAATATGAAGTCTTCTTCAATTAAAAGATGAGTGACAGCATTTAATAAGTGATATTTGCTTTAAGGGGAATCTACTTTTCTCTCCTTCTCACTACTAATTGTCAGAGTGTAATTGTAGAATGTCAAGGATTCATCACTAGGATTTTTGAGGTTATTCATTGAAATGAAACAGACATAATAATTGTTCTGTGATTTATGACAAAATAAGACGCTATCCCCTAAACGAAGAGATGCAATCTTGAAATTCAATGCATATTACTTTTTATTGAATTATTATTATTCTTCTTAAATCAACCCTTCTCCTCCATTCCTAGTAATTTGTTCATAATCCTATTTGTTTAAACATATCTTCTTCTTTGGAATATCAAAATTTAATAAAAAGTCACTTAAATCTTCTAAATCTTTAGTTTCCTTCTCAAATACAATTATTAATGGGATTTTCTCTTAGAGATCACTACTCGTATATTGAGATTTCTTTCTTCTTATACGCTAGGCATATTCTATTTTCAACTCAGAGGCTTCTGATAATTTGGCATTGTCTAAGAACAACCCAAAACATGACATAGGTGATTAAACTAGTTTTGAAATTCTAATTAAAATTCTCATTAATAAATTACTCATCAATGAAGGTCAAAGATATTTTTGGTTAACGAATGGCATTGTTCTCTGCTACCTTATTGAAAGAGATATCCTCCTCTTATTAATTCCCATAAATCAATTAACAATACTTACAAACATTCTTCATCTCGTCCCTTGAAAACTTTTATAAGTGATTTTCACTATCTTTCAAGTGTAATACCATAATGTCTTCCAGGACTTCACCCATACTTCTCAACCCTCCAAATACAATCAATTGATCCTTAAAAACAATACAACTATGTGAAAATCTTGGTTAAAATATAGGAGTCTTCGATCTAGGTACCAATTTGCTCCAAGTCTATCACTTTAATTAACAAATGCTACCCTCATAACTGTTTCAAATATCCAAATATCATTCTTAGGATATATAGGCTTTTCTTCCTCTTCCCCATTCTAAAAATTATCATCTTAGTCCTGTTCCAATGCGTCATCTTCATTGTCCTTCAATTAATCATACTAATATCTAGATAAATATTTCAAACGATATACCCTTCCCCTCCTATTACAAAAAGAAATCGATCGGCATAAGCCACTGCAGAATGAGAAGCACGAGGTGTTGGCTACTATGATCCATTTGGCTTTATCTTCTCAATTTTAATTACAATATTGGTCTCAACATTTTACTTTTTGTCCTCTAAAGAATCTTATTGATCGAATCTTTGTTGCAAATCATTGATGTTCTCAAAATCCAACTTATACAAATCCTTATAAAATAATAATTGCTTCTATGACATTTAACCTTGACCCCCAAAAATGTAAACGCTCTCTCCAATCTTGTTTGCAGTATGACTCTCTAATTTAATCATCTCATCTCCAGTGAAATTTGTGATTTAATAAAATCTATTAGTTTTTACATCATATAGCCAATGCGAATCTGTCATAGTGTTCTGTACCTAGTCCCAACCTCCGTATATGTATATCAATCTCTATGATAATGCTATCATTGAATGACCTTCTCTGGCCTGCATATCCTTTGGCACTTAAATTTCAGTCCACTCCGATGTCTCAATGTCGAAGCTCCAAAAATCACCCATTATGTAATCATTACTAGATCCTCCAAAAAAGTAAAGCTTATTTTCAAGACAAACAGAACAATGAGAATCTCTACCAGCTGGATGTTTAGCAGAAGGACTAGTCAATCTTTCCCATTAAAACGTTAAGCAATCCATTCGATAGATTTATTCCCATTATTTGGCATTGTCTGATTTACCACACCCACTGAAAACATACATGTATTTGTCATGCAATACAGCAGTATGACCCCATCTCTTACAAGGATAATTAGGACTCTTTCTTTTATTTACGCTTGAGTTTTTAGATATCCATTATGCATTTCTAAAGATTTTAGTTGGGATTGGAGTAATCTCCTATTGAATTTAATTCATATGCAATTATAATTTAATAAATGTTCACCATCACAAATTAAATTAAATTTTCCCTTTCCCTCTATCAGATCTACGCATAAGTACATCAACAATAATTCAGACCTGATATCAGAACCAATTTATCATATATTCCAATTTAATCCCCTCCTTAATTCAAGAATAAAAAGACTACGCAATAATAGATGCTTAACTTAAATAAGTAGGATATTCATATAATAATAATTTGAAATAAAGGGTTCTAAACAGTTGGATGTAGAATACAATAGAAAAAGTCTTCATGAATTCTGCCGATTATTATTAGCCTTATGAAATTAGCTAATTAACTAGATGTAAATTTGATATTTTATATGTTATAATATTTAAATTAATAATACTAAAATTGTTAATTATTTGATTTGAGAATATTCTCTATCTTTAATATAATATCGCAATATTCGTTCTCCAAAATATTCAATATAATATATTCAATTTAATCAATTAAATTTATTTTAGGTATTCTTTCGTTTTACTTTTTGTGTGAATTCAAATATTAATCTTGGATCCCAAGTATCTTTTTTCTATATTGATTTTGATATTACTGCTAAATTCTTATTTTCTGGACTGTTATATTAAGTACTTTAAAATGATTGATTAAGTCGTATTTATTATTATTAAAAAGGCAATTACAATTATTATTGTTATTAAAACTAATCACTCTTTATTTTATTATGAACTACTTTGATTGATAATCCATTATGAATCGGAGGCACAAAATTAGTTTTCTGAAACTGGAAATTCTATTTTTTTTAAGAGGGTATTAATATTTATTGCTGACTCTATTCCATTTCTTAATTATTATTAGATTGTTGAGTCTTCAATTTAAACTTGTTAGTAGGAGTAATATCAACTGAAATGTCTTTTATTTGTGATTAAGTGATATTCATTTGTTAATGGAAACTTGAACTCTTCATTTGTCTCTTTTCAATCTTGCTCTTGGGCATAGAAAAATAGCGAATATTCTCATAATTCTGATTGTTAAAGGAATTTAATTAGGGTTATTGTAATTTCTTAATGAAACTAATTTCCTTCTTAATGGAAACCTTCTTTTCAAATCTCTTCTTTTGTTTGGGCTATTTTTATACAATCATCCCATTCTCAGGATCTGAATCGCTTTAGTCTTCAGTACTATACAGGTCTTAATTAGTGTATTATTGCCTATTCTTTTCTAATTCGATTGCAACCTGTTATTTTAAATTAACATTTGTGTAGTACAGCAGCAGACTTTTATACAGATCCTAACCAATTTGTAAGAGATCTTATTGAGTGAATTACTTGATTTAATAAAACTCATTATATCCAAAAAAACTGGTTTCCAAAGTAAATATGTCGTGAATTTCATTAGGGAAATGTTTCTTAACTAGTTTATAAACGAAGGCTCTAGCAGTTTTCATTTTGCACGGTTCAAGGGAGAAGGTGCAGGAATTGAAATCAAAGTATTTGCTAGTGGTTTTAAATATAAATGGTAATATCCTAGATTGGACTACGTCTTGGTCTCCTCTGCAAGAGTACATGAATGAGTTTAATCTAGATATTGAATTACTAATATACTTTTTAGAATGTCCATGCAAATCTACAAAGCAAACTATGTTCCTTGTTTGAATGATAGTTTTCAATAGATTTTTGGTTTCAATGATTTAAGAATGCAATTAGGGGTTAGGTTTATGCCATTATCGATTCAAGTCCTTCCCACTCAAATCGCATCTAAAATTTCCACAATCTACTCCATCTGGATTAAAGAGTGGAATGACAATGAAGTGAAACCTTTGAGTTAGCACTTCATCTTTTTCAAGACTGCTCAAGAAGCCTTGGCAAACAAAAGATGATACAGTTTCTCCAGGATGCTAGCGAGCTATGATGACGATAACATCATTATTTGGTGAACCATATCTGAGAATGGGAATTTTGAAGCCGGAGAGGGAGGTGGTGAGGATTTGGTAATCATTTTTAAGGAAGGCATATAGATCGGTATTGGTGTAGGGATAGTTAAGGGACAATTTGAACTTTTTATGTTTTGAGGGTATGATGATTGATAGTTGGTATAATTTACACATAAGAGTGGGGTACTAGAAATGATTGATCAATTTACTTTCAATTTGTAGTATTGGGAGGACTTCAATTTGACGTTGGTTTCCAAGATTTCCCATTTGAATCCATCCTTGATCATGACGGATAGACCATATTTTAAGGATTTGTATTCTTTGATCTATATAAGTTGAAGAGTATATACCAAATTGATGATGTGGAAGGTGAGGACTTGGCCTTGAGGGTTGTTGACTTCGAAATAGAACCATTGCGAATAGCCCATTGTATTTGTATCATCTTATAAAATTAAATTAAATTCATTGTCCTTTATTTCGTAAGCAGCGTACAGATTGGCTGATTCGAAATTGGAATTGAACATTCCATTGCTAATGATTGGTTGTGACTTGATGAGTTTGTTATCGTCTAACAGCAATCCATTGAAATGGTATTTGAAATTGTATGAGGTGGTTTGCTTGTGTTTTAAATAGACACATTTTTGTTCAATATTATGTAGGGGTATTTGGATGTTGACGGATGTGTCAATAAAGAGGTCTTTGGGTAGTTTTAATTAATAATTATTTTAATCTGATTCTTCAGAAATAAATCCCTCATCATCGTTCATATTTATTTAATTTTAATTACCCGTTTTTATAAATTATTATTAAATAATGAAAGTGACAATCGCCCTTGTATTGTTAGTCACATTGGCATCAGCCACATCCACCAAAGACTAAATTCTTGCACTCCTTCAAACAGGAACAAAGGCAAGCGATGCCATCGACACTGTCTTTGGCTTGTTGAATGATTTGATTCAATCAAACAAGGATGCTCAATTCGCAGCAGATCAAAAGAATGAAACAGACGAATGGATTGGCGCATAGTAATTATGTTTAATAATAGTAGGACAATTGAGTAATTCACTAAAATCAAGTCTTTGAATCAAAAATTATTCCAATAATCAATCGAAAACAGAGCCCAATTTGAATAAGAACTCCAAGACACCAAGAATTATCTTGCTTGGAACGAATAAAGATAAGACGAAATCAACAGAAAGATCTAAGTCCTTCTTGACGAACAATGTCTTAGCAATCAACTCTTTGTTAGATCAATCAAACAAAACAGAGAAGCTCTTGAAGTTGTCAGAGTACTCAAACAAGATGTTGCAGGATACATTATCAACGGAGACTCCTTTGAATTAGTTTAAGTTCACAGTGTTGCTGACAAATTGAAGCAATACAGCAATACATTCTAAGAATAAGAGTTACAATCATTCCTCTAATTGGCCAACAAATAAGAAGACGGATCATCAAGCAGAGGAGCAACCTTGGCTGAAAGAGTCTTGGGTGTCTTGGAATCCCTTGAAGCCAACCTCTAAGCCTCACTTGATGCTCTTGAAGTCAATGAAATCAATGCATCATGGGAATTGGCCGGTTGGGTTTCATTGAGTGAAGCTGAAGTAGCAAACCTCAAAGTTGAATACGAAAGAAAATAAGTCTATGCTGACAGATTAGCTACTGTAAGATTGTTTGATTCATCATTCCCTAGTAAATCCAAGCTGCCTTAGCACAATAAGCCAAATCCAAGATCATCCTCCAAGAATCACAAGATGCTTTAGATCAAGCCTTATCTGACTTGGAAAACAAGAGAGCTGACTATGCTGAAGCCAAGGCCAAAAGAGATGAAGAGAATGCCATCCTTGCCGAAGTCATCACTATGTTCAAGAAATAAGTTGCCTCATGGTCTGGAAGATGAGATTCATCATTTTATATTCAATATAAATATGAATTCATTTATTCAATGTTTCATACAGCAGGCAGTCAAAATGTCAATATCAGAGACCTATGCTTAGAAGATCCCCAACATCTTTGAAATCAACACTCTCCTGATGATAACTTTCATTTTGTTGTTTGTCTGGCGCATAATTACATTGAAGACTAAAACATTTGCAAATCCACTCAAGATCTTGGGTATAGCTACTTTGAAACTAATCCACTATGTTTCATCATTATACAGTCTCATCATGTTTTCATTTTTGATGTAAGCATTGTTCTTATAATAAGTTCATACGTGGCAGATTAATTGGCCTTTAGGAATCTTAACAAATTCAAAGTGATTTAAATCTTCTTTGTGATTATCATCTTCTTTTGGGGAACAGACATCAACCTATTTTCACTTACCCTCGTAACTCTAATGGAAAAAATTACTAAAATGGCCATTTAAGCAAATTAAATATAAAAAGAAGACGAGATCTCCACTATTTTATCATATGTGTTAGCCTTAGGCATAATTCTCACAGTATCCATCTACGAAGTATCATTATTGTAACTCATTATTAGATATTCATTTCAGAAGAATTGGAAGGATTCAATATCATGGAATTTCCTATATTCAATTTGCTGATGATAGCCCTATTCTTGTTGGCCTTGTAGAAAATAACCTACAATATCACCAAAGAGCAACACAACAAATTCATCGGTGTCATAATGTGTCTCTTATTTTTGATTTACGAATTGAAAGATAAAATCTTTGATCCCTTCAATCATTAGGTCATGTGGGTAAGTCTCTCTATTCTAGCTGTTCTAAACATCTTTGAGAACACAGAGGAAGAATTGCAATTGGTCTAGAGTAATAATAGAGCACTTGGAGAAGATGAAATCTCATTCTAAGCATTCATAAATCATTTAAAAAATAATTCAGATTCTAAGAAATTGATGATTCAACTGTCCCTCAACTTTTCATTTATGTTCGTTGAATTAATCTATGGTTGGATCAGTAACAGTTTGGGATTGATCACAGATTCACTCCATATGCTCATTGATTCAAGTGCATTGGCCATAGCATTGTTTGCCAGTTTCATGGCCAAAAGAAAAGCTAATTCAACCTACACATTCGGTTATGAGAGAGTAGAAATACTGTCAGGATATGCTAATGGTGTGTTCCTCCTGTTTGCAGTTGTTGAAATAATCTCCGAATCCTTTGAGAGAGTCATCACTCCTTAAGAAGTACTTCCTGAAAAAATGTTGGTTGTTTCATTTTTAGGATTGCTAGTTAATGTGATTGGGTTATTCTTCTTTCATAATCATGGACACATTCATTCAGAAGAAGTGGATGAATAATTGGAAGAAAAACACCATCATCATTGTTCTCATCACCATGACCACAATCATAATTTGTCTGGAGTATATTTACATATTCTAGCTGATGCCTTAGGAAGTGTTGCTTGTATCATTTCTGCTCTGCTTATATATTACTATTAGTTCCATATGGCTGACCCTATTGCCTCCATTATCATTTCATTACTCATTCTTACCACAACAGTTACCTTACTTAAAGATACTAGTAAAATATTATTGATGCATGTACCCTATTCAGGGAAGAAAGTGTTGGCTGCCATTTCTCACGATGTAATTATAATTTTCATTTATTTTCAGTTAAATCATAGAGGGTTTGATCCTCAAGATATGAAATTGTGGTAGTACAAGGAGAAGAAATTGGTTTTTACTGCAAGATTTCAAATCAAGTCAGAAGATGAAGCTTAGATCAAATCAGAAATAGATGGCATCGTTTCAAAGCATAAAGATGTAGTAATTAATGCAATTGATTTTGATTATGTTGACTGAATTAATTTTGTGTTAATTTACAATTCATATAAATATATTTAAATGGAAGACTAATTTTCTGAAGATTACCACCTCTCTCTTTAGTAAGGTTCAATTTTCTCTATCCTTAAGCTTCCGCCAGACTGTCCGATAGATATTAAGATAAGTTTAAGCCTCATTCCATTCTCCTTGAGTAAAATCCAGTCCCAAACAAAAATACAGATTCATCTCAAATATAAATTTGGGAATCGGTTTCCGATACTCCTGTTAAGGAATCCATCTAATAGCCATCTATCAATGGTATCAACCTCAGAAATTCATTGGTTTTGCAAGTAACTCAAATTTGGTTATTAGAATCGAACAATGACTCATATACCGACAGTGAAAAGAATTAAATAAATCATAAGTAGGAACAAACTGATATTGGAAGTCAAAGATAGACTCATGAGGATAGGCTATATCTACCCTAAAAATGAAAAAACCAATCTCATTAATTTTCTTAAGGAGACCTATCTTGGAGATTTAAATAAGGATTAAATAAGAAAATAAATTTTTTTTGAACCAATTAAAATTAAAATCCCAACCTTCAGTCCCACTAGCGCTTTTATCCTGATATGGCAAATTTTCAGAATTATTTAAATCATGTTTTTAATGTGGTGGGTTCCATTCAAAATTGCCTTCACGCCAGAGGGTTCTACTGACATCAGAAATATAGAGTAAGCCCTGGTGTACTTATTGATTTTTGACTTAATAATTAAATTAAATGTTGGCATAATTGATCAAGGCCAAATTATGAAGGATCGCCTTTTCATCCTTCTCTATTACATCAAATACGAATTGTACGAAGATATCATCTACTTGATTACCTTGATCATAATCATAAGGGAATAGCCAATCGACACTTACCTAATAAAAGAGATAATTGTTTTAACTCAATTCTCACTCAATTTCTTTAAATTAAAAAAGAAAATAAAAACTTATGAAGAAACGCTCACTACCTAATCAACTCTAATTGAATTAGCCAATTTGTCCTAATTAATCATAGTAATCTTCTACTTTGCCCATTTTATGGCCTGTGTGTGGTATTACGTGGGGGTAAAAAGTTTGGATCAATTCAATGAATCTTGGATAATCAAATACGAGTTGATCGATGCTCCCATATCTTATTGTTATGGATACTCATTTTATTGGGCTACTGCCACCATGGTTACTGTAGGATATGGAGATGTTACTGGACAGAATATTTACGAAGTTCTATGTTCGATAATATTAATGTTTTTGGCCAGTGGAATATTTGCATTTTCTATTAATTCTATAGGTTAGATATTCAGTAACATCGACAACCAACAATAAGTGTATAAAAGAACACTCTTGCTTATTAACCATTACATGCAATTTAATGAAGTTTAGTTATCATTGTAAAGCAGGATAAGAAATTATATTAAGTACTTTTTCGAATAGGAAAACAAGGGAAGCAAAAATGAAATCGATTTAGTCTTAAATCAACTATCAAACAATTTGAGACAAGAACTATTATAGGATGTGCAATTAAGAGTACTGAAATAGGCTGACTTTTTTAGAAACAATTTCTCTCAATCAACAATCAGATTAATTGCTGATCATGTTAAGTTTTAGCAATGTACACCCAAAGAGTTGATTTATAAATAATAAAATAATGACGACAAATCCATTTATATTATTTAAAAGGGAGAAATCTAATTAATTGATGATAACTCAGGAAAGGTCCTCAAGGTATTTACTAAGGGCTAAAGCTTTGGAGAATTAGAATTTCTCTCCTTTTAAACCAGATTCTGTAGTGCATACAGTGTGACATTCAGTTAACTCTATAAAATTACAAGAGAAGATTTTCTAAATTTAATTAAGGACAATCCTATGGACTATTAAAAGTTTCAACAAATGAAGGATTAAATTTAATTAAAATATGAGAATGAATAATTCAAATGTTATGCATGTGATTAAAAACACCTTATTTGGGATTGTCACTTCTTATTTTATAAACCTAACATTGAAGTATTGATTAAGAAATCTTTGTTCTACACTGAATAAAAAAGATCACACTTCAAAAGATCTGATAAGAGATTCTTGAACATCCTGCACAAGAGTCTAGATAATGAAGATTCAATCGAATAAACGTAGAAGGTAGGCACAGTTCCTTCTGATACTTCCTCTGAGAATTCATCATAGGATAGCAAAACACCAGAAGTAGTGTAAACAAAAGTTCGAGACTCAGTTTCAAAACTAGGACAATCACATCAGTCCAGAAAAAGCTCAGCACATAGTAAATAGGGATAAGTAGTTATTGAAGAGTTTAATTTTCAATTAAATAAGAGACAATCTAATCGTCAAAGTGTTAGATAGACAGATATTGATACACCATTGACTTAGAAAAGAAAATCAATGCAATCGATATACCCTTAGGATGCTAAGAATTCAGTATCTGCTCCACAATTGGCTCCTATCAAGGAGGAAATCAGAAAGGAAAATAAGGATTATAATCAGAATTTTAAAAGTTTTCATTAATTAGATGAAATTATTGATAACAAATAATATGATGAAGATGAGATTGATTCAGTATTTTCATTTTAATATTATCTTCCACATAATAATGTTGAAAATGTTTTGTAAGAGTACTAAAGATTCCAAAAGTAATTTAGATAAAAAAAAATCAAAGTTACAAAAAGTAAGTATATGTTCCACAAAATTACTAAGATTACTAAACAAAAATAAAATAAACATAAGAAAGATCAAACATCAGCAAATTCATTAATAATAAGAGATAATGTATGAATTCAATCAATTTTTTAATCCTTAGACTTATAAAAGACTTTCTAAAAACGATGAAAAATCATTATTCCTTTGCACTTTATTGAAAAACTCTTAAGTTATTTCTTTTTTTTCCCTTTTCTTAACTTTATCAGTGAAAAATGAGTCAATCATCTCTATAACTGTTTTATTAGTGCGAACATCCTACACAAATGACAATAAGAACTAATTCTCTATCTCATCCTTTGTTATTTCTTCATCCTCATTCAAATCAAGAAGATCAAAAAATAATATGACTTTCTACTCTAACTAACCAACCTAAAGAGTACTGCATTATTTGAGGAATAACTGGATTTCAGCTAAATTCTTTTTCTTCCTAAATAAACAGAAAGCAATCCGATTCAAAAAGATTTTATCCTCAATTCTTAAAGAAGAATCCTCTATTAATATTAAATCCTTAATTGGAACAATCTTTTCTACCTGAATTCTAAAATCTCTAAATTCTAATCCAGGACCTCTTAAGTAATAATCTCCAAAAAGATTATACAATTCATTCAATTTAGGTTGTCCATTTTACAATTGAAGTGGAATGTAAAAGTATTCAATTTTTTTCCAATATCTTTTTGGTTCTGTTATTTTAATTTAGGATTTCAACTGTTTAGATTACTCGTTAGGTATCATTCTCTAACTAGGTTTATCAATGACTACGTTCAATTCTATTTATTCTAATATTTCATTTTTCTTAATCAATAAATTAACATTATGTGAAGTTTATTATGTGATAGTATGTAATTTTTAATAACATGCAGCACAAAATTGTTCAGTGCACTCAATGCATTCTAATATTGTTGGATTTTTGCCACATTCTTAGCATATTGATAGAGTATGTGATTTAGCTTATAAAAACTACAGCATTCTTTTGACTATTAAAGCATTATCAATCTGATAATATCTAATTTTCATAACATTCTACACTATCATATCATATTCTGTCATGACTACTCTATCTAATTTTTTGTATTTTGAAATGTTAAAGAATTGCGATTCCAATTTGGCTATTTCTGCATCCAATTATTTAAGTTTAATTTCAGTTGACTGTTCTATTTCTCCTTAGTCCTTTTTTAACTTCTTATTCTCATCCCTAATGACAATGAAATACAAATTACTTTAATTCTTTAAAGTGCTTTTCCAAATCCTTTAATTTGATCTAAGTTTTCTACTATTGTTCAACAAGTTCTCTATGATTTATTTTATCTATCTCTTCAATAACCCAATCAGGTCTATCTGGTATTAGTTCTCTGACTAATATTTTGATTAGAGAAACAGCAATTACACAACTCATAAAGTACCATAATTCTAAATCATTTTGAATAACATAATCTACTTAATCAGTAAACATCCTTAAAGTAGCATATCTGTGCTTGAAATAAAGCAAAACAAAATTAGTAAATACACCAGTAGCACTTAGAAACTCCAACACATTAAGCCATTGACCAATACCAGGAACTCTCTCAGATTTTACTCTTTTCGTCATGTAAATCAGTTTATATAATTTTACCTGTATGTCAATCGTATTCATTACTATACCAACGAAAGGTCCTATTGGAAAAGCAGCAGAGAACAAAATAAAATAACCATAATCAGTGATGGCTTCCATGAAATAATCAAGAGTTCCCTCAAAATCATCTTTTAAAGAATTCAATTCTATTGCATCCACATCTATTTTTGTTTCAAAAGGCATATATTTAAATTTTGGATTCTTAGTTTCTTCTAAGATCTTTTCTTCTAATACTTCTTCACTCTCTATTTTTAAAACAGGTCTAGCTGCTGATTCTAAAAGATCTACATCTATGTTATCCTAGCTTTCTAGTTTCGAATTTTTTAAAAACTCATCATAATCCCAAAATTATTCGATTTCATCCAAGTATAACATATGTTATTTATTAATTTATCTGACCTTCTTTTGCTCTATTGTGATATCCTTTACTTTTTTAAAGTAACTTCTTATGCTTCCTCTTAAAAATATCACTGGTATTAGAAAATTAACCAAAATATAATATGCTTTTTTTACTAAAACCAGTGGAATTATGAAGTAGAAGATATCCTCAAGGGTATACTTATTGGAAGTTACAATGATATACATCAATGGCATATATGAATTAATAAACCTAAAAAATACATTCTTGTAAATCAATGACTTTTGATAACTTAATTCAAACTTGTGATTTTCTTAATCTGCATACCATTTAGAAAAGTAGAGAAATAATATATTTAAAATCTGTATAGCAATAGCTTACAATGCCCCAAGTAAGAATATAAATCCTTTATAAATTATAAGTTCTTATTTAAGTAAATCAATTCCATAAACAATGGCAAAACTACAAAATAAAAAAACTGCTAATAGGAAAATGAAAAGTATAAAATACACTGCCATTTTTGTTATCTATTGGTGCTTAGTCAATTTTCTTGTGATAAAATGGATTTCTTCATCCCCTGAAAACTTATCTTTCAAGGGTCCTTCATAATACGAGGATTCAGCTTATAACATCTAATCTATGCAACCCCACCTTGTATTGATTTCAGATGTTTTCCTTTTCCACAATTCAATTTGGACAGTTGACCATATCGTCACAAATAATACCCAATAAGGTATTAAATCAGAATGAAAATCATATAATATCGCATACAACTAAAGTGCAAGTCCTGGAATGGCTATAATTAGTTAAACACATGACAAGTAACTTATCCATGCAAAATAAAATGAAATCTATTCTCCAAAATATAATCTCATCGTCGTTAAAGAAGTGAAATTTCTACCTCTACCTTCGCTAAGATAATCCTTAATCTAACTTATTGGTTAAGGTATGAAACCAAAGGATAATTTCTACCATTATCTTTTTACAATTTAAATTCCACCAGATGTATGCATAGCATAACAGGATTCAACAAGTTTTGATTTGAGTAATGATTCTAAATTTACGGATTTAATTAAATGATCAAACACAATTTTTTACCTTTAACTTGATCGAAAAGGCTCGAATTTATTTCTTTAGTCAGATTTAAATTATTCTAAATCATAAGAGTCAATCAGTTTAATTTACATTTCCATTTCTTCTGCCAACCTCTCCAATTTCTCTTCTTTCAATCTTAACATAATGTATACTGATTCTTTAGCTATAAATGATTGCATCATATAAATTTCAAATTCAGCCTTTTGTAATAAATCTAATTAAAAATTAATTTATTAATCTATGATTCTTTTTTGTTCTTCTATTTCTGATCCTTTATGTCTTTTAAAAATATCAATTAAATTCGTTTTGACAGATTGATCGAATTTCAATACATAATCAGGTACAAATAATTAGCTTGAAAATAAAATTAATTGTTCTAAACAATCAAAAGAATTAGCTTTTTTCTTTTATTAAAGCGAAGTCGATAAATTTAATGGAATTACCTAATTGTTATTTTTTTTAGGTTTGGCAGTTTTGTGTAAAAAATTCTTATTTTCTCTTTAAACGGAAGATTTTAATGAATCTGGACTCTTCTCAAACTCATTCTCATGAAACTAAGACAAGCTCTTTAATTCTCTTATTGACTTTTGAGCCTGAATTTGCTTCTTTGTTTTAAGTTATGATTTATAAAACTATGATTTTTTAACAATATTTTCCATAAGGTTATATTGATCTTCAAAATTAACTAATTATTTCTGCCTTTTTTATTTATGTTTATCAAATATTTCTGCTATTGATTAATGAACCAAATTTTAATTCTAAGCATACTTCTTTTTTTTAATTAAACCATCATAATAAATCTACGTAGCAGTATCTTTAGTTAATTGTCTTGCTCTGAAAAACTCATTATTTTCAGCTTCAGGATCTGCATATTTATTCAATAAAAATTTAATTATTTTTTAATCACCATTTAATGATGCCAAATGCAAAGCAGTATTTCCATGATTGTCTTTTATATCAATTTATAGAACATTCTTACAAAATAATTCCTTTGTTTTATTATAGAACTCTTTATCATTCTTTAATTCATTTTCTTGTAAAAATCTTGTAGTTATCTTAACTAATTCTTCCTTGTATCTCAGATCTTGCATTCGATACCTTTCAAGTTCATGGTAATATCTTTCCTTGTAAATTGATGAATCTCTATTGTCTAATATGTAAGTTATTCCTGGCAATTCTTATCTACTTATCATCTCTAAATAGCTAATTAATGCTTTTGAATAATAACTTTCTCTGTCTCTTTATTTTTTCTTTGGTTTCTTCTTTTTGGTTGATTCAGGACCCCTTATAGAAAGATCCAATATTTCGAATTTTATGATTATCTTCAAGGCTTCATAATTGTTCTAGGAACAACATGCATGCAAACACGATTAACCTTCCAATGATTTAATGGGAAACATAATATAGATCCTAGGCAAATTCATTAAAATATGTTTAAGGTGATGATTAATTGAATAAAGACAACACCAGTACAGTATCTTAGTGTATAATAAAGGGTTTTACAATTCAGGCTCGTGCTAGCTACAAATCTCTTGAAATAAAATAAATTCAGCTTCATTTTTCCCTTTTAATTCACTATTCCAAAATTGCTAGCATTCAGTTAGAAATTCAACTATTTAGTCTATTATCAATTGCAATACTCTTTTGTGCCCGTTCTTTCCTGCTAAATCCATAGGATAGAGTCCATTGTTATCACACAAAAAGCTATGAGCCTTCTTTTTGAGAAGGTATTAGACACTAAATGAGTCCCCATAAAATGCACACCAATGTAATGGAGCCCATCTGCTGTGAGGATTTATACAATTTACATCTGAACCATTTTCTATCAATATCCTTAAACATTCCTATCTATTGTTCTGCAATTTAGGGTCATTTAAGAAACAGCAAATTTATATGGGGGAACACCCAAAGATATCTTTTTATTGAACATATTTTTTAATTTATTCTTAAACTTCTAATCCATCGTTGTCCTCAAAATCAAAATCAATTTCAATTATTTCCTCATCATCTTCATTTTTTTAAGGAATCTGTTTCTTCTATTATTTAGTACTTTTGGACTTCTTTTTATTATCCTTTAGCAATATTTTATAATCTTCAATTAAAATTTCCAAAACTTTATTATCTTGTCTTAATGCAGTTTAATGTAGGATATTCCCTATTTGTAAATTATGATAATAAATACTTTTATCTTAATCTTCGACTGTAAAATCACTCTCAAATCTTTAATTTTGATTAGAACCTACATTCTTAATAAAATTTTCTTCAATAATCATGTCCTGCTACTCCTCAATCTCATCCCTTGATTGCATTTCCGATCTTACGGATGGCGAGTTCGGAGTGTTATTCTACACTTTTGGGGAGGCAAATTAAGTCCAACTTGAGATTTATTTTTAAAACATAATCAATAATTTGTAAAAATGTAACTATTTATTAAGGAGAAAAAATCAACAATTTAACTATATTCATTTGCTAATTACTTCTACCTTAATCCTTGAAACTTCATAAAACTTGATTGTATTGAACTTTCTTCTTGCTGCTTACAATGAATTCTGTTCTGCAGCCTACAAGAGTTGACACAATTCCTTAGCACAAGGTTTTAACAAAGCCTCATTTTAAGTTTTATAATTGGGAGTTCTAATTATAGATAGACATAGATGATACCTTATTTTATTGACCAAAAATATGGCAGCTTAGGTGATTTAGGATGGTTTATAAGCTATAAACTTGTATTCAACCAAAGCCAATTCTAATATGTATTAAGCTAAGGCCTTATTTTTGGGATCTAGTTCATTCGAATATCTTGATAGAAATTAATAAGCAGTTGGATTGCAGATGTTGAAATTCAGAGCCTGCAATATTAAGCCTTCCATTTCCAGGACATCACTCTTAACATAAGCATTGTCAGTAATATACACAAAATCTTTTAATGCAGGGGGATATATTTCTTCGTATTTACATGCTATGAAGAGAGCGGCTACACCTACTAATTGTAAACGCAATCTTGTGACTTATTCCTTTGCCAAATATCTATCTATTAGAGAGATGGTAAGATATAATGTTTCATCTCTCAACTTAAATTTAGCATGCACATCAATAAGCCAATCCACAAGAATTGCTCTCATTTTCATATTTATATTTGGCTACGTCTCAGGAGTCATGTATTAATCTATTTAATATTTATTCTAATAAATTAGCGATTAATTATATACCTCTTCGATTAATAAATGTTGGAAAATCTCATCCGTGTACAAATGTACATTTTGGGGGATTTTCGTCTCTTTTGGCTTCTCATTCTCTAACTCTATTTGAATTCTTTCGGATTCCCTTCTAAAGATTTTATTTTCTTTCTCGTCCAAACTGATAGCAAATACTCTTGGAATGATGGAAAAAGGTTTTTTTGCTTTTTCAACTATCACTCCTGTTTCCATTGATTGATAGAGAGATGAATTTACAATTTCCTTTCCAAAACACCTTTGATTTTCGACGATCATTCTGTTAATATTAAATAAAATTATTATTATCGTTAAAAACTTAATATATATAATTATAAATATATTGATTAATTAATTCTTGAATTAATACGAATAATTTAAGATTTTCAATACTATGGTTTTGGTTTGAGACTTTTATTCAAGGGAAGAAATTTCAACAAAAAGATAAAATTACTATAACTTTTTGATAAAAAATTTTAATTTGAAATATGTAATAATTAAATTTATGTTGTTTTAATAAACATGGATGGATTTAAAAGAATCTATGAATACTTCCTATTACACGAGTTTCATTTATCTCTCTATTGGAGCAATACTAAATACTTCTCCGCTTTTGGAAATGTATTACCTATTTCTTAAATAGATATCTAAAAATTTCAGATAAGAATAACTATTAACAAAATTAACTTTACTTAATATTGGACTCCTTAAATGTTGGCAAGTATTTATTAAAATCTTCAATCCTACATTCAATTTATATTCTAATTGTATTTGCTTTCAACATATTTATCATCCTTTTGTTCATCATCTTGTATTACATTAAGAAAAAAAATACGAAGACAAACATCGCTTTTACCATTTATGGCCAAGTAATTCATAATGCATAATTATATAGATCCTCGGATATATAATATAGCCCTACTTTTGGTCGACAAATGGATTTTTATTATAAATCTAAAACACTTATTTGGAATAAATACAAAATTTAGCTTTTATTGTACTAGATTGTATTGCAATCCTATTATAACTATTAATTTTATTAAGCCTGACCCTCTTTCTGCATTATGATCATTCTTAAAAAAAAAACTTCTTAAAAATTAATTCCCCAAAAACTCTCATGTTTTACATTATAACTATTTATTGTAATAGCTGTTTAGAGTTATTTATAAATTCTAGCAGTAATTTGAGTGTAATTATCAATTTTATTAAAAGATAGCATTTCCAATAGTATTGGCTTTCTTATTTTTAATACTTTTTGCATAAATGCATTAAGATCTACCCGTTTTCTCAAATAAATACTTATACAACTACTTTTAGATTATTATTGGTCTGCAATTTGCACTAGCTTTAAATTTGTTAATATCATACTTTATTCACTTATTTGAGGATCGTTATTGCATATAGGTTCTATTAACTTTTATACTTTTGATTCAACTAAATTCAAAAATAAGATAATATCTAATATTAAGATCTATCATTAATTATAGTGCCACAAAAATGATTGATTAAAGAACAATAGTCTATTTGAAATAAAATCCCTAAAATTTGTTTTTGCTGAGAGGTATTGTAAATCTTCATCAGTCTTTGTGTGTAAATATAAACTGTTTTTATCGTTTAAAATCTATATATAAAATAAGTTCTAAGGGAAATAAAAAAATATATATTAATAGAGATGCAATCTATGAAAATATAGGTAGAATTTCAACCTTCTTCTTAAAATGCACATATGAAAATGCACAACTTAAAAAATAGGATTAAAGTACAAAGATACTCTTAATTGAGTTATTATGTTATAAGTTGAAATTATATTCTGAAAGCTTGATATAAATTGATAAACTAAATTCAGATCAACTAAATCTACTTCAACGGATTAATGTAACTAATATTAGATTGATAATCTCCAGATTAATAAAATAAAAAAATGAATAATCTTATAAATCAAAATTGCCATTTGACCAATTGCTTTTATGTGAGTCATATATCAAATAAACAGTGGAAATCGTGATGAACATTTTTGGATATTAATTACAATTTTGGAATTACTTGTTAAATGAAAAAATTAGATTAGCAGATGAGCTATCACTTTTAAATGAAATCAATGAATTAATCAAAAAGTTTTAAAGACTAGAGAAATTGATCTTAAATTTGCATTATAACCACAAGGTTCCTATTAGGAACAAACAATGGTTTAATTACTTTTTCTTTAAATTATTCATTTTAAATAAAAAGTTAAAATTGCAAGAGTTAGAAATTCTACCCGATTATTAAATTAATTTAGAATAAATTATAAAGGACGATCAGATAGACGAGAAGTCATCTGACGAAGAACCTGTCAATTATTATTAATAAAGGTTTTTAATATCTGGCAATACATTTGTTATTTAAATTAACTAAGCCGGTATCGTTAAGAATTGTACAAATAATACCTATTCAATCTTAAATTACAATAGACAAACTTTAGTGAATAGTTCTGCTTCTATTTTAATGCCGCAGATGTTTAAACAGTATCACTCAAAATATATCAATCACTTCTAATAAACTGGACAATCCTCTAATTTATACAAGAGAAAGAAGGCATTCTGTATGCATGATTCAGGATATATTGTAATTGTCTATAAGTACCTGAAGTGTATATATAATTATAATTCAAATTAAATTGAATACATAGCCATGTTTAGACAAATACAAACAAAACAAGAGTATTTACTATTAAATGAAGATTGGGAAGTAGACTCTTGTACATAATTGTTATAGGATATAATAGGAATAAAGTCTTTGAGCTTATTCATATTGGCTCCTAAAACTATTGTATACTCTCAATATGAGAAATTTTTGACCAAAGAAAATAAAAACTTTTTTAGTTTAAATGCTCCAAATATAGAGAAGAATATCTCTCGTTTATTTTACACATAACAATCATCTCCTATGGTGAGAGGTTCATTAACTTCTAGCAATGGGTAGATGTCGATCTTGTAAAATTAAGTGGAATTGAAAAAGAGCTTCCAAAATTTTTTAAATCAAGATGATGTTATTAATTTTGAGGATCAATAAAAGTCAAAAGTAAAGCAAATTTTGTTCAATTTAAGAGTTCCAAAATAGAAGTATGAACTGGTTTAAGAATTCTAATCCAAATTATCCGAATCTTATAAGTAAGCAATATACTCAGAACCATTTCGAAAATAATTAATAGTGAAAAGTGCATCTGGTAAATTTAAAATAGTGAGAAGTGAATTTATCAGGAGATGTAAAGTTTACTAAGAAATCATTAAAAAAGAGAAATTTCAAATAATAAGTATGTTATTTAAAGTTAAAGTAGAGGAACTTTTCTTAAAATATACTTAATCCGAAGATTGTGTTGATAAGATATTAAGAATAGAAGGGACATTAAAATTAGAGAAGACTTCATAATCTAAAAGATACATACTGATTAAAATAGTTAGAACTGAAGTTATTGAAGAAAATCTAATGACTCAGAGATAAAATAGTTGTTTTACTTTATCACTTTAAGCCCCTTAAATGATATCCTCGGTATGATATATTGAACTATCTTTAGTAGCCAACTAAAAGAACCTCTGTTACTCAACAAAGTCCCAGGAATATAAATGTTACAGTCAATGGTAATTTTGTGATAATAAGTATTAGATTAATTTGATTTATATTCTAATAGAGAGTCAATGGGAAAGGTCTTATTGTAAGAAGTGTAAGTGAATTAAGACTTTAATTAACATGATCACTATAAAAATATCAATTTTATTACTTGTAATAGTGATCTTTTGAAGGAGGATACAAACAAAATTGAAAAAAAAAATCCATCCATTATTTAATATGAATATATTAGTAGGTTCATATTTATTTTGCAAATTTTGATAGTTTTTTTAAGTTTTTTCTTGACATCATTCATTTACAACAAAAGCACATTAAATGAATCAGTAATTAATAATTATAATATCTAGGTAAACTTAATTGATTATCTCTTCCAGTATTAAATAATAGTAGCAGAATCATATAATGCTTAGATAGATGTTGAATTATTTAATAGAAATTACACTTAATCAATCATGACATAAGGCGATTTAATTGGATATAATTCAGCAGAGTAATTTTACTAATATAATCAAAACATAACCCAAAAGTGTGGTGATTACATGTATATAGTTTTTTGGGAACCCAACTTTTTGAAAATGCTTTATGAGAATTTTCATAGTAACTCGAATGAAAGTGGATTAGATATTCAAACAGTTTATTAAGCCAATGTTTATCTTTTAAATATGATCTCTACTTAGGAGTTTAAAGAAGATTTTGGAATTTCAGATACATTTCGCAAATATATGGTATACAATAAATTCATGTGAGTTAGATTCCCCAATTTTAAGAAATCTAAGCCAATTCAATTAACCATCTACTAAGCTAAGGTTTGGCATTCTAAGAAATTTCTAATTCAAATTTCATACTGTTTCTAATTATATAAACAATCCTCCAGTTGGCAAGCTTGTTGTATTTAATCCGATTTCAATTTTTAATATAGAAACAATATAATGTAGAGAATTTATTCAATTTTCTTAAGGTCTTATTCAGAGTTTAGGCTATCATACCTTTTAAAGAGAAGATTGCTATCTTAGATAAAATCAATATCACCATAAATCAGTTTTGTTATGTGACCAATTACGAATGTAAATTATTATTATTAATTATTTCAATAGATGGGAATATAGAAGAATTCATTTCGATGAACAAAATAAACCCTTTAAGTAAGGCAATTTCTAAAAGGAATAGCATGAATTAGAAAGGGTTTGAAAAAAAGATTTTGGATGCAGAACAATACATTGAATAAATAGATAATAAGACGAAAATAAAATTTGAATAACTATCACATTTCTACAGTTTGAAAGTAAAGTTTTTCTTAGTATTGCTAGTAAATAGCTGTTAAAATAATAGTAAATCTACTGCTAATTGCTTTGATAAGCATTGCTGGAGTTGTCACAATTTATTGTACTATTAATAATATAGAGCTGTTTAATAACAATTAATTTATGTTTAATAGTTAAAACGCTTGGATATTACCTGCTCTAAAAGAAATTTTTACGAGTTAAAACTATGATGATTATTCTTTTAATGATACAAATGCTTTTATAATTCTTCAAACTTATTTTGATCAAATATAATCAGAGTTTCCAGTTTACTACCAGTCAGATATTGATGAAATAATCTACTTTTTTGATAATAATATTTGTGATGGGGACAGTAATAACTTTATTTATTCTCTTAAGCATAAATAAACATTGATTAATGCACACTTAGCATTAATGGAGCGTTAACAAGAGGAATCAGAGAATATGATTATTTACTATCTTAGGTAGCTCTCAAATTGTTACTCCCAAAAGACGAAAGATATGACAACATAACGTATTCTGCTATATATGAGTTTAATAAGGTATTGCTAATATAATTTAGTTATATTACTTCGTTTTTGATCATTACATTCTTGCAAAGGACAAATGGTTATCAGTCTCGAAAGCAACTTTAGAAAAACATGATTACATCAGTTTAATATTATTGTAATTATCATAAAAATATGATAGAATAACTGTTATTATAGGAATGTGTCTTTATTTTATAATATTTAATGAAATTGGGTATGTGTTGCTAAAAAAGAAAGAGTACAAATTTATAAAAATGTTTTATAAATCATTCATGCCAAATGTCTCAATTAATTAGCAAAAACGATTAAGAGTCGAATTAATCAAAGCAAGATTCATTAGAAAATGATTTAAAAATTTAAATAGATACTAAATAGATTAATCATTTATCATATTTTTTAGTTTTAATCAAAATATTGATTAATGATTAATTAAATGTGTATTTTTTGTATAATTTCTTCAATTCATTTAAAGTTGCTAATCCTTTCTTTTTATTGTTCTAAATGTTATTGTATGCTTTAATGATATCGACTGAATTATGTCCAGTAAAATAATAACGATAATTTTACATTTGATCAATATTATTTTGATGGAATAACAAAGGTACTCCCTATGTTTCATAATAAAATTCATCTGATTTTTATTTGAATATATATGTCTGCTGTAATTCCATAAATGAGCTTCGTTCTATATTTAAAGTAGTATTTAGTTTCATATTTTTGAGTTATTTTTAAAAAGAGCCAGATAAATATTATTTAGAATCTTAGAATTATTATTAGGAGTTTAAACTTTTATTTTAAGATTTTTAAGCCATATTGTCCTAGGTTTCTTAAGCTATCATTTTTGTTAATGTTTAAACTTATTCAGGATCTAGTTTTTCACTTTAACCATTTTATTCATCAATGGCTTATCCATATATTGCTTATTAATATCTTTAGATAGATTCAGAAATGATAGATTCTGCTACTAAAGAATTATATTTCGTTTATTTTCTGTTCCATTATCTCCTATCTTATGTTGAATGGTAAAATTATTTCATAAATCTTTATTCTAAATCCGGTTTATATTATAACACACCACAGTCAACAATCTAATGATTATATTATCCACACAAATGACATTTTAAAAAGATTTTAAAAAAGTTATTCTCGAATAAGATTGAATCTTTTATATGATGAAATCTTTCAGCATCTTTTTGAAATTTAGATAACTATTCTAACAAGCTATCTCTACTTATTTTACAAATTTCTGAATATCCTTATGAGATGGCAGTCACTTTTGGGGGAAACCCAGTAAAAAATTAATATTCACCAAAGCAATCACCTTTCTTTAATATTTACAAAGACTTCTTGGTTCTTTCCTCTTATAACTCTACTTAGCCTTCAATTATGAAATATCTATCATATTCATAAAATTTACAAATTTTTGTCATTTTAATCATTTTGTTTAAAAATGCAATCATCCGGAACAACTTCAAATTTGGATATCTTTTTAGAAAGTTACTTTAAACATTTTTTACTAAAATTCTACTTTAGAAACACAATTTTATTTATCAAATTGTTTTAAATGTTGTTCAACATATCTGCTTTTAGACTTTGAGGGAAAGTTTAGAATAAGCATTCTAATTCCTCAGTATTTTCATTTTTATCATTCTAAATGTTTTGTTATAAGAAATTTTTAACTCTAGCCTATAATAATGGGTTAACATTGTTTTTTTTCATGTAAGAACTTACAATTGCTATCTACTTTCTGTATTTAAATTTAGTATCATTAATATGTTTAACAAGTATTCCTATGGAATTCATCAAATAAGCATAGACACAACTTGAAATTAATATCATTATGCTGGTAAAAATAATTTCTACTTGGTTCTAAGGAGTAATATCACCATAACCAATAGTAACCATAGTGACAGTTGCCCAATAAAAAGAATAATTATATCTTTGCCATGCTGACTCATTGATTATATTATATTTTATTAACCATGTATTTTCAAATAGATCATCGAAGGACCCTATATAATGCCAAATGCTTGCCATAAAGTGAGCATAAAAGCAAATCAAAATGATTAGAGTTATAAGGTCAATTAAGCTATTCACCCCACCTTTTAAATAAAGATATTCAATATAGCCAAAGTAATTTTTAGTCAATTTTTTTATGGTTATTAAACAAGATAAGATACCTAAAGCTTCGTTAACAATATAAATTCTATTAGATTAAAGGAAATACATCATCCATATGCTTATCATTAAAATATCATAAAATAATTATTGAGTCACATAATATTTTACTATCATCTTACGATCTTCAATAATTTCACCCTATATTATAATTGCTCTGTTAAATGAAATAATAATTTCTAAGGCTAGGCCTAATATTATTAATATAGAGATGTGAGCTATTTCATCATTTTCAGGCATAAAACTAGTCAAAAATGGACTAAGCCATAAACTAAATAAATAGATAATGAATAAGTAGGTATCAAAAACTATCATAAAATTTGAGCCTGGTTAGAATAAGTATCCACTAATTTTTTAATTATTTTGATCTACCTAATTGTAATTATACTATACCTAATTCATTTTAAAACTAATTTTCTTATAAATAGCATTCTGATGATAACAAATTTTTTCTACTAGTAGGAATCACATATGATTTGAGGAACAAGTTTTATTAAAACTTTTTAATATATCTATTTTTAACTAGCAGACCCAACATTTTTTTCATTTGTGTCTTAGCTGCATATACGGATTGGGAAACCTATTGCTGATAATTTCCCTTATTTTTGTTTAAAACTTGGGTTTATAAAAGAGGAGAATTCTAAATTTAAAAGTATTGGGTTACATTATTTTTTGTTTAAAATCTTCTCAAACTTTCTTTTTACTTTATAAATTTCAACTTTCGCTAATCTATAATACCCTAATCATTTGATTTTGAATTGAAATCCTCTAATGGATCAGAAGGCATGGATGTAAAAGAAATTTATCTTTTTTAATATTACCTTGTTGATTATTAGTGCAAATATGGACCTATGCATTATACATTCTCAGAAAGCCTTGAGTCTGACTCTTGAATACTGTCTATATACATTTCACTTTAATTAATTTTGTTGTTTTTTAATTTATTAGATTAAGCATCAAAATTTATTTTCAAAATTATTAAGAAAATAAGGAGCCTTGCAATTGGATTAATATAATATTCTACATCATTGAGATTCAAACCCTTGGTATATAAATGAAGAGTAATACTAAATTATTATATTATCATTATCATAAATCAATTGATACTTTTTTAAGTAACATAAATTGATTAAATATATATTTTTATTAAAAATGAGTGAAAGTTAGGAGTCATCAGAATTTCAATCAGGTTCTTCTAAACTTGAAAATAAGTACAATTTTCTTTAATATTAGGAGAAGTAACTAGTTAGGATTGACTAATGTTGAAAGTGGAGATGAATAAATAAAAAAGAAAACAAAATTAAATGACGAAAATGGACAAATTAAAATTTCAAGAAAGGTAAGTGATGATCTAATTAAAATGTTTGAGAGATTGCCAAATGATTAAATCACAAAATTATTAGATGCTATCAAAGTCAAAAATTCACGTATCTATGAATTAAATATCGAATAGCTGATTTACCAGTTAAGGTGAATCTTGTTGATCTCATGTAGAAGGATGAAGATTTTGTTTTGGATAGTTAATCTGATTCTTAAAAAGAAAAAAAAAGAAAAAAAAGAGAATCCAAAGAAAAAGAATGCAAATGCTGTAAATAAGTCGTGAAACGCCATCATTGCACGCATACAGAATGTGAAAAGCCTTGTTAAATCTTAGAAAAAATGAAAAAAAGCAAAACTTGAATTTTGTTTTAATTTCTATACTAATTTCCTCTAATTATTTTTTCATACTTAATCACCACTCCAAATATAAAATACCATTTCTTATGATAATAACTTAATATAATTGCATTTGATAATGAGATAGAATCCTAATGATCCTATAAAATTCAGAAATTCATACTATAGGATTTTCATTTCTTTTTTATGTTCAAATTTAAGTTCAATTTTAAATGTGCACTTTAATATATTCATCAATATATTAGAACTACGATATTTTAAACTCTAAGGAGATGAAAAGTAAAGGGAAGACTATTTTCGAGGAATAGCTATGGTGAACCATAAAGTAAATCACAATGTGTTAACCTAATTGATTTTAAAAACAATGATATTTTTATTAATTATAAAATTAACAATTGCATGGAAAGTCTAGAATGTGAAAGATAATATTTAAACCTGTTAAGTCTTTCAGAGTGGGAATCAATAGGAATGCGAATTAAATGACTTAATTATATTCAGACTAGATTCATATTTTGCTATTTGCTTAATCTCATCTGAGATTGGCATTTCAAGTGTGCTATATGAAGACTCTCAAGGAAGTTACTCATTTATTAGCGTACTTAAAGAATAAATTGTAATATATCCCTTACCCTATACCTGTGGTAGCTTATATAGAACACTTTAACATTAAAATCAATTTTAGAACTATTCTTTAACTAGAGATAATTCATCTTTGTACATATTTGGGGGATTTGATGGGTCTAAGTTAAGAAATCAATTGTTTAAATACAATATTGATGCTCTCTTGAATAACCAAATCACTTATTAAATTCTGCCTAATAATTTCATATCAAAATTAACCGTATCCTTAAGCTTATGGGATGGGACTATGGAGGATTTTTCATTCTCATCCAACTTTCCTAGGTTGTAAAAGTTAAAGAATTTGGAGTATAAATATACTCTGAGTTCCATTTCAGAAAATACATAATGCTCGATGTCAAATGTTCCAAAATGCTTATAACATAGTGTTATTGTCTATGTTGATGAATGCAATTGCATTAAATTATTTTATGGAAGGAACTCTAATAATGTGAATTAAAATTCGTCCTGGATTTATTATCTAGATGATTAGGTTTGGTAAGAAACTACAACTGACTCAATTCTGAAATTTGGAACTTCTCCAATTGGGCAATATTTCCCAGGAATAAAGATGGTGGGATTTTTTGCAGAAAATACTTATTACTTTTACTATGATTGGGAATGGTACAAAAAATATGATGCATTAAACTTTGGATTTTCCTTTAAATAAATGATTGCCTATGATAATAAGACTTTTCTTTTAAATTCCTCTAGCATTCTTTATAGTTATTTTTCGGATCAATAGACCATGAAAAGTTAGTAGTATGGCATTTACATGTGTTAAGATGATTATCATGGTTATGATTGTCAAATTCAAGACATACAATGTCCAGGCAGCATATGTTTTAATGACTTATTATTTGAGAGAATATGTGTACATTGTTAAGGACATGGTACATGTTTGAATGGAAAATGTAAATGCGACGATGGATTCAGTGGAATTGATTGTAGTGAATAGGTTAAATGTTTAAATGATTGTTCAAATGAAGGAACTTGTATTCAATATTTCCCAACGCCTCAATGTAGATGTAAATAGGAAAATAAAAGAGGAGGAGAAGATTGTTCAACAATCTTTTGTTTAAATGATTGTTCTAATAACGGAGTATGTAAAAATGGGGCATGCGAGTGCATTAGTGGAGTAAAAGGTGATGATTGTAGTATATTAAATCTAAAATTTATTGATGAATGATATTAAAAATTAGATTAAGTTATATAATATAAGTGTTTAAAGTTAACTTAAAATTGTGATTAAAAATTAGAGAAATATGTCATCATTCTATTTCTGAGTATTAGAAAGTGAATTGTTTCTTTTATCATAGTGTTGAAATTGTATTCAATTAATGAATTTATGTTTTCATAATTAAGTGATCTAAAATTAATCTAAAAATTGATAAATTAATTTGTGTTAATATTCCTCAAAATTATTTGCCATAGAAGAATCAGAACGTATGACCTCTTTAGTAAAATTAGGTCGCTTATTAATTTGTCAGGTAAGTTAGAGTTTTAGTCTAAGTTATTAGTCTATAATCTTAAAAAAGTGTTCAATTAATAAGTAGTTTAATCAAATCTTTTCTATTAAGCTGCAAATGATGATAATATAACAATATAACACTATTTATTTGATGCTTACATATAAGACTAGGTTTTAAAAATATAAGATAATTATCAATATTAAATATTTAACAATTTTGGGATTAGTATTAGCCATAGATTTTCTGGTTTGAGACTATCTAAATCACTATTAAGCATTTATGAATGATGTTATTAATATATTCTTAGGTTCGATTAGCTTCTTGATTTTAATATAAAAAGAAACCTTCTTATTTTTAGTATTGAGAATGACAATTGTTGTATTTTACATAAGTAAGTTTAATATGGCAAATATTTAGGTTGATTAAAAAATAGATCAGAGTGGCGAATGTATTTCAATCAAGATTTTTCTGTAATATAATTCAATCATCATTAAGAAGGATTGTTTTTGATAAATATATATATATTTGAATGTTAAATTAATATTTAATGGGATGAGTACATTAATCACATATTAAAATCTTTTTATTTAAAATAAAAAAGCAATGGTCAGCCGATTGAGGAAATGCCGTAAAATGAGAGGACATGTGTGCCACGGATATGGTAGAGTTGGTAAACACAGAAAACATCCAAGCGGTAGAGGTGTTTCAGGAGGTTTAACACATCATCGCATCAATTTCAATAAATACCATCCAGGTTATTTCCAAAAAGTACTCATCTTTCTCTATTCCTTAGACCGGAATGAGACATTTCCATTTGAAGAAGAATACACTTCATAAGCCAGTTGTAAATATTGACAAATTGTGGTCACTTGTCACTGATGAAACCAGAAAAAAATATGCAAGTTCAAAAGATAAAGCAGCTGTGATCGATGTTACAAAGGCTGGCTATTTCAAAGTCCTTGGAAAGGGTAGACTCCCAAATTAACCTGTCGTTGTTAAAGCCAAATTCTTTAGCAAAACCGCAGAAAGAAGAATTAAAGCAGTCGGTGGTGCATGCATACTCGTAGCCTGATACATTACATATTACAATATCAAATAGAAAATATTCATTCAATCTTTTTGAACTACAAAGCACAATTAACAGCTAATTCCCATTATTTGTATTGCTTCTCATAAGACTTTTTGCCCTCATAGATTTATTAGACCTTCATATTCTAGATAATCTACTCTTCAGTCAATAGTTTCAATCCCACTGCAGCAAACATTGCAGCTCCTGAAGCAGTAGATTCAATTATCTCCGGATATACTAGCTTCTTTTGTGTGATATCTGCCTACAATTGCATCAATTCCTTATTCTTAGTTAATCCGCCATCTACATGAATCTTATTAATCTTAATTCCTGATTATTCCATAGCCTTTATAACATCCTTTGTTCTATAACAAACTGATTCTAAGATAGCTCTTCTTATATGATCTTTTGTTGTGTAATAACTTAAACCAATTATAGTCCCTGTTGCATCGAAATTCCAAAATGGAGTGAATAAACCACTGAATGCTGGCACTATATATACTCCTCCATTATCTTCTGTATTCACTGTACTTTAACTCAATTATTCCCAATTATCAAACCATTATAATTTATCTTTTGCCCAGTTGAACAATTACCCTCCACTTTCAACAGCACCTTCAAAAGCATAAACTGGCTTCTCATTTTCTTTCTAGTATAGGACAGTAGTTAACAAACCATAATCTGAGATTTTTATATTTTCTCCAATGTTAGCCATAATAAAAAGACCACTTCCCTGTGTATTTTTGCAATCTCCTTCATGAAATAATGCATGACCTATAGCTGCTGCTTATTAATCACCCAAGACACAATTGATAGGTACACCTTCATACTCATCAATTTTCAAAGAACCAAAATTACTATTTGATGCCTTTATTTGAGGCAAACAACTTTTGGGAATGTTGAATTGACTTAATATAATACTAATTCATACTTTAATAATTCTTCATCCCATTAAAGTGTATGTAAATTCATCAAATTAGTTCTTGATGCATTTGTTACATCTGTTAAATGATTCTATTCCCTTGTTAAATTCCATACAATCCAGCAATCTATGGTACCAAATAATACATTCCCTGAATTAAGATCATCTCTGAGAGCCTGATTGTTTTGGATCATCCATTATAATTTGTATGAGCTGAAATAGGTATTAATTGGCAATCCAGTTTTTTATTAAAAGTAATTCTTAGGATACTTGTTTAAATATTCTTAACAGATATCATGTGTTCTTGTATCACTCCATACAATTGCATTCATATAAGGTATTGCAGTATGTTTATTCCATGCAACAACAGTTTCCCTTTAATTTGTGACTCCAATGGTCGCTAACTTATGCACTCCATCCATCTTTTTATGAGCTTACTTAATGCACTCTATAGTATTATTTAATATCTCTATTGGATCATGTTCTAACCAACCTTGATGAGGAGTGATTTGTTTATGAGTTATATAATGGTAACTAAGCTATTCACCATTCAAATTGCAAATAGTAAATCTCGTACCAGTTGTTGAGGAATCAATAGATCCAATCAATTATTGCATAATTTTTATATTAAATACGTAATTTTACTATCTAAAATTTAATTTAACATTTAGCATAAAGCTTTAAATTACACTTAAATAATAGATTAATTAATTTTCAATATAATAAATCAGTTAGATTATTATTGACTCTAATTGTTTTTTTCTAAATCTTTGGATTGCTATTTACTAATTGATTGTTGTTGAGATATTGTTCGATTTTGTTTTGAGGAGATAGAATGGTTATCTGAAGAGAGAAGTTCACTTTAATTCATCCGACCTTTCTATTTAGTCTAAGAAGATTTGCTTTTATTATTGCAAAAATTGAGAATATATTGCAAATCTTGTTTGCTATTCTTTATTGGCTTGGATTGGTACAATCGATCTACTTATTATTATTGTTCATTAAAAGATGGTTTACATAAGGAGGGAAGTGAAAATTGATACTCTTTCATTAAAGATTCACGAAATGATGAATTACTATTCAAGTAATTGCTTAGCTGTCCATTTACTTTCAACTACAACATAGTGGGCAATTGAGCATAAGGACTATTCTATGACTCCTTTGGCAATTTCTATAAACTATAAGACTTAGAATTTTAGGGTCGCAATCCAGAGATGTTATTGTATTCTTTAATGCTTAAATTTAATGCCGTCATTAGATTGTTTTTCAAATTGTTGCCATGTAGTTGAGAATCCTTTAATTTGCTTAAATCAATTCTATAAATAAATTACTTAAGCAATCTCTATTCTTCTGTGCTCATCTAATCGCACATTGCCTATTACTCTTACAATCGTTTTGCAATTTAATCTTTAAATAAATTTTATTCTTATTTAATTCTCTCTATTCTTTCTGCTTTCTTCTATTCCAAATCTTGTTTCATATTAAACTCCCATTCAGAAATCTACCTTATTAAAGAATACAATTTACTCTAGCATATTGTTGTTATTTCTCTAAAAGTTCTTCTTCTTTTTTCTTTTTGTTTTGATACATCTACAATTGCAATTGTTATTTCACCAATGCAGTCTTCAAGCACTTCTCATCAAGCATATCTTATTTCATCTTTTTTGTTTCCTCTTGCTATTGTTGTTTGTTTCTTCTAATTAAATTTTGGAATCCATTATCATTATTATTGTTTACTTCCATGATTTTGCTGAGCTATTTAATTACCATCAAAGCATACTTCCATTTGATCTTCAAATTTCTATTTCTTAGCATTGACGATCTTTTCTACTTTGGCCTAAACAATATTATTGTTAGCTTCTTGTAAATTGAGTTATTGTTTCAGTTAAATCAATCGGTTCTCAAGAGCAGCCAGTTCCTGATTTTTCTAATTCAGATTTTTCATCTATTGAGAAACTGTTTCCATATGCTATTAAGAATAATAATTAATCAATGATAAAATAAAGAATTCTTTAAAATAAATAGAAACCAAAAAATGGAAAAAAAATTTAGAACATATGTAAATATTGAGTCTTGCATTATTTATAAACAATTACCACTCATATTTTTATTTAAGTTTATTTACAAAAGAAGAATATTTAAGAAAAATTTATAATTAGTTATTTAGTTCTCTTTCTAGAAAATTGAAGAAGTTATTTTAGATGGGATATATATACTAAGAAGAATCAATAGGATATGAGGACTGAGTCAAAAGGTTAGATATCCTTAATGAACATAAGGAGTGGTTAATGATTTGTAATAGACAACTTATTTACTTCAGATATATGTTCAAATTCTAAATAACCAATAATTTTACCCTCGAGAGTATGAAATCAATAGGGTATTTTACATTATAATTTATCGATTTTATGCATTTAATTAAAGCAAATTAAAATTATAATTTATGAAAAACAATCACAAGCGTCGATTTTAGGATGTAGATCATTTGATTTAACTCAGAAAAAAAGCAATACCAAATAAAGGAGAATACCTCTATGATTATAAGCTATAGGATGCACTAAAAAAAAGAGATACCTATTCAAAGGAGGAATTCAAATAAAAATTCAAGATTGATTTTGAAGATCTGCCAATTTCAACCAATACAATGAGAGCCTTGAAATAGAGAAAGTTTATTAAGATGACTGAGATCTAAAGATGTGTTATACCACATGCATTGGCAGAAAGAGATATACTAGGTGCATCTAAAACAGGAAGTGGAAAAACATTGTCATACCTGATACCTCTGATTGAGAATCTTTATGTGAACAAATGGACTCCTCTGGATGGTTTAGGAGCTCTAATCATTTTACCCACAAGAGAATTAGCTATGCAGGTATTTGAGGTTTTTAAGTCACTTAATACTTACCACATTTTATCAATGGCATTGTTGATAGGAGGAAAAAATTATTAATATGAGAGAGACAGAATCACTGGAATGAATGTTATTATCTGTACACCTGGAAGACTCTTATAGCATTTTGAAGAGAGTCCTGGATTTGATGCAAACAATTTAAAAGTGTTAGTTCTAGACGAGGCTGATATGATGTTAGAGTTGGGTTTTTGGGGACCTTTAAAGGCAATAATGAACTACCTCCCAAAAGAGAAATAGACTATGCTTTTTTCTGCTACTCTCAATCAATCAATTCATTAGTTATGCAAGATTTCTCTTTCAAATCCAGAGAGCATTTTCTTACATGAGAAATTGGCTACTGATTCAAATGAATAGACAGATAATGTTATGTCAACACCAAATAAATTACAATAATTTTACATTGTTACACCTATAGAAGAGAAAATAGATGTTCTCTTTTCATTCATAAAGTCTCACAATAAATAGAAAATTGTAATCTTTGTATCCACTTGTAAATAAGTGAGATATTTATTTGAAGTGTTCAGAAAATTAAAATTGGGAATGCAACTATATGAATTACATGGTAGATAGAAGCAGGATAAAAGAACAGCCATATTTTTTACATTTTCAGAAAAGAAAGCTGCAGCCCTATTTACTACTAATATTGCATCAAGAGGCTTAGATTTTCCAAAAGTAGATTGGGTCATTCAATTTGATTGTCCAGATGATCCATCCACCTATGTGCATAGAGTTGGAAGAACTGCAAGGTATATAGCTGGAGGGTTCTCCATGCTCTTTTTATTGCCTTCTGAAGTCAAATTTATTGACAAGGTGAAGTCGAAGGGAGTTGAAATCAAATAAAAATTTTTGAATTCCAATAAGCAATTAACAATTAAATAAACGATATAAAGTTTAGTTTCTGAAAACATTGAACTAAAATATTTAGCCTAGAGAGCCTTTATTAGTTATGTTAGATCAATCGATATCAATGCAGATAAGGAAATATTCAAGTTAAAGGAAATCAAAACTGACTTATTAGCTGAGAGCATGGGATTAGTCTAAGTTCCAATTCTTACTGTTTAATAATAGGATGAGTCTGATTAGGAGGATAAGCCAGAGAAAAAATCTAAATTGCAAAAACTCAAGGAGAAGATTGAGATTAAAAAGTAAATGGCAATAGATCAAAATAAACCAATTGAGGCTAAGAAACTGAAGTAAATTTCTAGAGAGAGCGGTTTTGATAAGTTTGAGGATATGAAAGCTAAGACTTTTGATTTTGAAGGGGAGTTTCTAAAGCGCAAACCTCAATAGGAAATTGAAGAAGAAGAAGAGGAAGTAGAGTAACCAAAGTTTGTGACTTCCAAAAGATAAATGAAAAAGGTAAAGGCAGACGGAATATTTGGAGGCAGAAATAAAGTGTTTTTCGATAATGAAGGTATTATCATTAAAATATTATTATAGGTAATCAAATCACAGCAGAGGAGAAGAGAAGATAAGAAATTTTAGAAGGATAATAAGAAGTCTTATAGAAGGATGAAGATAGAACATTAAGATATGGACAGAAATTAATTGAGCATGCCGAAGATGATAAAGCTAATGAAAAGGATAGAATCAAATAAAAAAGATTAAAGAAGAAAATTAGAATGCAAGAAGTTTAAGAAGAGAATTGATTTTTATTGTAATTAATATATATAATAAAAAATGAATATAATCAAGAGTACTAATTCTTTTTACTAATTTTCAAAGGAATATTAAACCTATTTTAAAGATAAATCTGTAGAATAAGTAGAAAAACCTTAAAATCCTGTTACTTTAATGAATTCATTTTTACGTAATTCCTCGTTTTCCAAGAAATCGGTGTAACCTTTAGATTGGCCTTCCGATTTAGATTTATCAAATATTAGGGAAGAATATTTCATCATAGATCCAACTTAAAGGTTCTAAAGGGAATGGAATGAAAAGAAACTATTTTTTAAGCATAGATAAAGCCCTTTAAGAACGGATTCATTTAACAGATTCAGAGAAAATATCCGTTCTTTAAGTAAAACCTACAAATTTTAGAAGGATAATCTTTAATATGAACAAGCTGCAGTGTTGCCAAGTTAACGAAAGCTTGAATTGCAAACTACAGTGTAAGCACAAAAAGAATATAAAGATAAAAAAGAATAATTTAACTTTCTCAATAAGCAACATCGTTTGATTGAAAATCTCCATCACGACGACATAGTTTAAAAATCAGTTACAGAAAGTACATAAAGTAGTTTATGTAGACTATTAGATGAACGGCAATAAGGATGAAACATTTTGTAAGGAGAATCATAGAATACTTAGAACAAACTTTGATAATGAAATCTCGAGTGATTGGGCAAGAAAACGAAAATCTCCACTAAATAAATTAGATACCTTTCATAGGGTCATTTCTCAAGAGGACAATGAGAAAAGTAAATTGGGTAAGGCAAAACCCAATAGAGTTAAGTAATTCGAGAGGAAAGGGAGAGAATATAACATAGTTAATTTTGGGTGTAATTGAAATTTAGTTTATAAAAATTTATTTATTGTTAATCCCTTAATAATATTAAATTTGAAATGAAAATATTTGAATAGAGTTTTGGTAAATAAGAAGTGTTTCAAAAAACAGCCTAATTCTTTAATCCATAAATTGGAAAATTGAATGAAAACTTTTAAAAAAGAAGGAGGGAAAACTCTTTACCTCAATAAAACCTTCAGGCTATCAAATAAATACTATCTAAGACAAAAATACTCCAAAAAAATGTAATTTGTAGAAAAACTACTATTCATTCAATGAATGATAGTAAGCTAGAGAATTTCCATAGTCATCAGAGCACTAAATAAAGTACCAAATAAAGTACTCAATAGAGCACACAAGATTCCCTGGATTTTAGCAATAATATTCCTAAAATGTAAGATTTGATCATCAAACATTCAATCAATCCTTATACTGCTCTTAAATACAAATCTAACTTCAATATTAAAAAACCAATTCTCAATGAATATAGTAGTTGGGCAACACAATAATTGGAGAATACCTCTGCAGTCAGCAAAATATCAAATGGTTTAGAGGGGAAAAAATATGTAATAAAGGTAAAAGATCCATTTGGATAATCAAAAAAACAAATAACACAACCAACAAGAAAATATTCTTCGAAATCATTCGTAAATCAAAAAGCACAAATAAAATTGGTAAATAGAATATTTTCCTCGAGATCTGAGAGCTTGTAAAAATGACTTTAATGATTATATGTGTTTGAATTCTCTATTTAAGAGTATTTTATGAAATTTCTTAGAATAATTAGTTAATTAAAAGTGTTTCAGAAATTCTCATTATTCTCTGAATTCAAGAGATTTTGGTTTGAATGAGAGTCTTAAAGATGTAAGTGTTTCCGTGATAAATAGATTTCTTAATTAAAATACTATTATTATTTTGTTTAAAAATTAAATCGTTAAATTGTATGTATTAAAGTGCATCAAAAAGTGCCAAAAAATAAACTAATGCCATTGGAAAAGTATTAATAATATTTTAGCATCTAGCCTAGTGAATCAAACATAGCTCGTAGGGTTTAAACAGAAACTATTGATTATGATGAAACTGAACAAGATCTCCAGACCTTTTAAGACATCTCCAATTTCAAGCTTCGCAATAAACTTATAACTTTTAATAAACCTGCAAAGAAACCTATAGTGAAAGATTTTAGTGCCCAATTTCAATTATGTTTAAAGAATGAGAACTCAATCAAACCAATATCTGGAACTGTTAAAAAATGTTAGAAACCTTAAGGTATAGAGAAGATCAATACAAAATCTTTGTTAATCCCAGCGAAGACAACCAGACAAGATTATTCTACTTATACTTACTAAAATCTTAAAACCATTGGTAGTGGATCATTTGGTACAGTCTATAAGGTAAATAACAAATAAAGATTCATAGTCAAAAGTGAATGAAACAGGTGAAATAGTTGCTATTAAGAAGGTATTGCAGGACAAACGATACAAAAACCGAGAGTTATAAATACTTCAAGAGTTGAATCATCATAATGTAGTGAAATTAAAGCATGCTTACTTTACTCCTTCTGATAACAAAGACGAGATGTACTTGAATGTTGTAATGGACTATTATCCAGAATCCTTATACACTTACAATAAATCCTTTAGATAAGCATAGGCTAGAATGCCTGAAATATTGGTGAAAATTTATTCATATTAACTGCTAAGATCAATATAGTAAGAGAATCATAAAATAATTAGTTACATATCATTGTTGTCAATATGTCATAGAGATATAAAGCCTCATAACATATTAGTTAATCCAAACCATCATAAACTTCAGCTCTGCGATTTTGGGAGTGCCAAAAAACTAGTAAAAACAGAACCAAATATATCATATATTTGCTCAAGGTGTTACAGGGCTCCTGAATTAATATTTGGAGCCGTTAATTACGACAATCAGATAGACGTTTGGTCAGTTGGATGTGTTATAGCTGAATTATTTAATGGAGAGCCTTTGTTTTTGGGTGACAGTGCTGTAGACTAGTTGATTGAGATCATCAAAGTACTTGGAACTCCAAATAAGGTTCAGGTATTAAGTATGAATGCTGATTACGATATGAAATAATACAAATTTCCACAAATAAAGGCAAGAGATTGGAAGAAAGTAAGCTATTTCATTCATCTCCTAGGTTATAAAAACAAATGATTCATTGGCTACTGACTTAGTTTCTAAATTGCTAGTGTATTGTCCCAAAACTAGATTCACTCCAATTCAAGCATTGTGCCATCCTTATTTCGATTAGTTGCGAGATCTCCATCAGATGAAACAGCTTTAAGAAATCTACAACTTCAACATTTAAGAATTATTCGATTTTAGCAATTGTATTTTTTATTTCTATTAATCAATTTTAGTGGAAACTAATAGAATGACAAATGACGAAATGAAAAAGATTATTCCAGATTGGATTAGCTGCAGTTCTACTAAAATTGTTAAGACCATCGGTTGATAAGTGATAAATTATTTATACTAAATTATATGAATAATTTGAAATAAATTAATTAAGTCATTTATTTGCAAATGAATTTCTAGATTCAAATGTGCTATATAAATGGTTAACCCATTTTAGCGAGCTATTGATTATTCCAATTATCAACATAAACTTCTTCTTCATCTGGTTTTTCTTCGAAATATTGGTATTCCTACTGCTTTTCCTTCATTATAAATTCCAGTTCTTTTTGATATACATTTTCCCCAACAAGTTCCAAATATTCATCAGTGTCTACATATTTCTTTTTTGGCTTATCCTTTATTTTTTCTTTGAATTAGTCATCTAATTTCTTGCTATACAAATTGGAATGTTTTGCTAAATTTTAGTAAATATTCATACTATTTGTTAAAACTTTCTCAACTTATAAATATGGATTATCAATAACCTTAGTATTGAAATTACTCTATATGTCTGACAAGACAAAATTTTATTATTAACTGAGATGTTCAGCCTTTTAGTCTTTTACGTATCTATTAACTAATCTACTAGTCATGGGAATGCTTTTAGGTTTCTGTGTCGTAATCAAGGAAAATGGAGGTCTGTCATCCTTAGAATCATACCATCTTAGTCTGAGATACCAAAGTCTATCATTATGTTTTTCATCTTCATTTTTCTAGGATTCAATTATCTTCAGTTTAGTGGCTCGATCTCTATACTGATCAGAACGAACCAATATGGTATCTATAGGAGATCTCTCACAATTAGAGGCTATTTGATTATTTACAAATTCCCACTTTTCTTTCACCTAATCAAAGGATTCCAATATCCTTTTATCTCTAGTAATTGCGTTTCTTATATGAAGTGGAAGTTTCTGTTCTTGTCGAATTTTATCTATCTTTTCGGTTTCAATTCTGCGTCTTGCTTCAACCAACTTTACTAATGCATCCTGTCTTGGTAACATTTTAAATTCGCCTCTTGGTTTCTTTGGAATCTTTCTAGACTGATTCATTCCAGACATTTAAGATTGAGATTGCTATAACCCAAAAGGTTTTGAAGAAGGCACATCATCTGAAAATGATTCATCTCCGTCTTGTTTTCTTTATTTAATTACAACTCTCTATCTGTTTTTATTTCTGACTGCCAAAAATTGTTCAGCCTTACCAACAATAGACCACTTGACTATCTTTTCTTTTTTGTCATCCTCATATCTTGGGCCAACTTAACTATCTTTGTATTTCTTCCTCTCTTCATTGTTAACCTCTATGTCATGATTATCACAATACCATCAAAGATATTTCTAATTGTATGTAATGAATTAGGTTTCATAAATATAGATTTGCATGTGCTTTATTGAACATTGCTTTCAAACTAAAAATCACTTCCTGTTGCTGCTGCTGTGGTTGCAGGACGAATGCTTTCCTCATTACCTTTATAACCTAAATCAACTTTTGATGATAAAAACAATTTTCCCTTTTAACTCATTTTTATATATAAATTAATTAAGATGTGGTAATTGATGAATATATTGCTATAAATTCATTTTTTGTTAGAAATAAATCTTCCCTTCTCTCTTTATCGAGATTTTGCCTTTTTCACCCTGTTCTCATAATGGTTCTTTTTAGTAAACTACCTGTTATTTTTTTTTTGTCTATATTTTTAAATTTTTTTCTGTCTCTCCTAATAGGTTAAGGGCCCAATCTATATTTAAGCTGAGAATTTAAATTAATTGAAGTATTCTATCATTTCCTTTGTCAACCCTTCCTTAATTGGAAGCAGTTATTTTATATCAATAAACTGAGCCAAGAATGCATCTGCCTTCTAAATGTTGGCTTAAGTGAAAGGATCACTAGTATTTGTTTCGTTCATAATTATTTATCTGAATTAAAATTACAAAATGTAATTTACAATTATTATTATTAAATTACTCTATTTATTAAAGCAAATAAAGTAAGGGTTCCTTAAATTTCCAAATCAGAACCGATTAAATCTCATAAAGAGAATACTAAAATAATGTTGTGATAGCTTTGTGTATTCTCTGTTTCAAAGGAGCCAACATTTATAGTTTGTCTACTACTATTGCTTACATATTTCTAATTTCAAATTTCACAGAACTATAAATCTCACCATTACCTTAATCTAAGAGTTCTCACTAGAAATCTAATGCAAATAGTTAGAAACATTAAGACCTGCAATTGTTTCTTTTTCGACACAAAAGTCGCTCAGTCGATAGTAATATTCACACTGTATATGAAAATGATGGTCCTAAGTTGGTGCTGATATAAAAAAGGATCACTAGAATTAAATGTTCTCTTCCAGTATACCTGGTTAAGAAATAGAATTTTCATAAAGTTATCGGCTATCTAAATTTATCTTTTGAGGATTCTTCTTATCCCTTAGTAGAAGTTTAATTACTTAATACTACTCATATTAAGGAAAATCAGGTTATCCTTTCTAAAGATTAATGTGTGACAGCTAAAAACTAAATTGTTAATTATGGCTAATANCTCTATCTGTTTTTATTTCTGACTGCCAAAAATTGTTCAGCCTTACCAACAATAGACCACTTGACTATCTTTTCTTTTTTGTCATCCTCATATCTTGGGCCAACTTAACTATCTTTGTATTTCTTCCTCTCTTCATTGTTAACCTCTATGTCATGATTATCACAATACCATCAAAGATATTTCTAATTGTATGTAATGAATTAGGTTTCATAAATATAGATTTGCATGTGCTTTATTGAACATTGCTTTCAAACTAAAAATCACTTCCTGTTGCTGCTGCTGTGGTTGCAGGACGAATGCTTTCCTCATTACCTTTATAACCTAAATCAACTTTTGATGATAAAAACAATTTTCCCTTTTAACTCATTTTTATATATAAATTAATTAAGATGTGGTAATTGATGAATATATTGCTATAAATTCATTTTTTGTTAGAAATAAATCTTCCCTTCTCTCTTTATCGAGATTTTGCCTTTTTCACCCTGTTCTCATAATGGTTCTTTTTAGTAAACTACCTGTTATTTTTTTTTTGTCTATATTTTTAAATTTTTTTCTGTCTCTCCTAATAGGTTAAGGGCCCAATCTATATTTAAGCTGAGAATTTAAATTAATTGAAGTATTCTATCATTTCCTTTGTCAACCCTTCCTTAATTGGAAGCAGTTATTTTATATCAATAAACTGAGCCAAGAATGCATCTGCCTTCTAAATGTTGGCTTAAGTGAAAGGATCACTAGTATTTGTTTCGTTCATAATTATTTATCTGAATTAAAATTACAAAATGTAATTTACAATTATTATTATTAAATTACTCTATTTATTAAAGCAAATAAAGTAAGGGTTCCTTAAATTTCCAAATCAGAACCGATTAAATCTCATAAAGAGAATACTAAAATAATGTTGTGATAGCTTTGTGTATTCTCTGTTTCAAAGGAGCCAACATTTATAGTTTGTCTACTACTATTGCTTACATATTTCTAATTTCAAATTTCACAGAACTATAAATCTCACCATTACCTTAATCTAAGAGTTCTCACTAGAAATCTAATGCAAATAGTTAGAAACATTAAGACCTGCAATTGTTTCTTTTTCGACACAAAAGTCGCTCAGTCGATAGTAATATTCACACTGTATATGAAAATGATGGTCCTAAGTTGGTGCTGATATAAAAAAGGATCACTAGAATTAAATGTTCTCTTCCAGTATACCTGGTTAAGAAATAGAATTTTCATAAAGTTATCGGCTATCTAAATTTATCTTTTGAGGATTCTTCTTATCCCTTAGTAGAAGTTTAATTACTTAATACTACTCATATTAAGGAAAATCAGGTTATCCTTTCTAAAGATTAATGTGTGACAGCTAAAAACTAAATTGTTAATTATGGCTAATATTTCATATAAATAATGACTACATTATAGATGTTAACCATAATTTGTGAGATTAAGATTAGTTCTTGTGATCTGAGAGATTTTATCTGAGTTATTGATATTTTAAAGTGCAATCTTAATCTGAGAAGAATAACTGACTGTGTAATAGGAGTAATTATTATAAATGAGAAGAAAATATCATAGCATATTAAAATGCAAAGTACTCAAAATTAGCAGTAAAACAAGTTACTGCAATTTTATGAGAAAACTGAATAAGAATATTGGAGATCTTGAGATTACGAATTGATGGTAACAAATATTAAAGGCATAGTTGAATCAAGATATGAATCTGAAATAGTGAGATTATGACTATCAATTCTAATTAAGCTCTGTTTTATTTGAAAATTATTTTGTATTAAAAAATACGTCTTTTATTTATGATGTAATAATACAATTAATGATTAACTAATTGCTTTTCGTATCATTCTTGTTCTTAACTAATGGAGTTGGATTATTTGAATAATACTATCCATTGGCTGATGAGATAGCCTAGTCTATGACTTTGCAGTAAAAGATCGGTCAAACATTATAAGTGGATATTACAAGCTTTAATGATGAATAAGGAAATACCCATTATGAAAAAATATCCTAACACTTCTTAGGTTCTATATTAGTCGGTGGTAATGGATGTCCAGATGGAAGGGGAAACATAATTGCATCTGATAATTGTTTCGCAGCAACTAATGCAAATTGGAGAGATGTAGCTTAAAGAAGCTTGAAATAGAAGGTAGTCGTGAATGTTCCTGGTCATGGAGAAACTACAATTAATTTACTATTGGGTACAGATGCAGTCCATGGAAACCAACATTCTGTTGGAGCAGTGCTCTTCCCTCACAACATTGGTTTGGCTGCTAGTCACAATGTAGAAAATTATATCAAAGCTGCTTATTGGACCAAGCAAAGCATTTTGGATTGTGGTTTTAACTTTGCCTTTGCCCCCACTGTGGCTGTTTCTCATAATCCAAAATGGGGTCGATTTTACGAGACCTAAGGAGCAGATCCTAAATTCATTAAAGAAATTGGCAGAGCATACATAAAGGAGCTATAAGATGATGATGGTAAAAAAATAAAAGGAGTGTTGGGATCAACCAAACATTATTTCGGAGATGGTGCCACTTTTAATGGATACGATGAAGGTAATTGCAGAGTTGAGAATTTCGATGTGTTCTATAACAACAATGTCTAGGGATACATCGGAGCTTTGGAAGCTAATTCAGGAACCATAATGGTTAGTTATAGTGCTATTAATGAATTACCTATGAGCATTAGTGATTTAATTAATGTGGATTTGAAACAAAATTTAAAATTCGATGGGTTTATTATTAGTGATTATAATGCTGCAATTAAAGTGGCTTATTAAGGTTTACCTACAACTCATACAAAAATGAGCATAGAAGATGCATACACTAAGACATTTAATGCTGGAATGGACATGTAGATGGTAGATGGTGCAGTCGAATGGTATGAAGAAGTGTTGAACAATATAATAGCATAAGGCAGAATTTCAGCTGAAAGATTGAATGATGCAGTAAAAAGAGTTTTGGCTGTTAAATTGGCTATGAACTTAATAGATGTTCCTGAAACATTGGCCAAAAAGCATAATTATACATAAGAGAAAAAAGAAGAAGAGAAAGTTGAACAAAAGGAAGTGTCCAATGATAGTAATGATGCTGAATATTACGATGCTTTGAGATCAGCCAAGGAATCATTGGTCTTATTGAAAAACAAATAGAATTTATTGCCAATTAATAAATACAAAATCACTAATATTATACTGTTAGGAGAAAGACTTTGGTCATTCAAAGGGGAGTTCAAGAGGGTCTTTTAAGATTTCGATAATATTGGAGCTTAAAACGGAGGTTGGACAATAAGATGGCAAGGGTTCAACGGAAATGAGTATTGGTCAAATGATCTAAAAACATCATCAAAGGCTTCATCTATACTTGATGCCATTAAGAGTAGATTCAACGCAGCCAATATTTATTATATCCAATATTCAGACCCTACAAATCTATAGTTGATCAATTAACAAAGAGGCAACTTCAGAAACGACATCATAAATAATTTAGATTAATTTAGCAGAGAGAACACATTGATCATCAATACTCTTGCAGAGAATCCATATGCTGAATTCATGGGAGATATAGATTGTGAATATTGTAAAACCTAAGAAAAATATGGGTGCATCTATAATAATTGGATCAATCAATATTTACCGGATGAATAACCAACAACTCTGGAGATCAATATTGGAGATTATGAGAAACAAGTATTTTATTATTCTTATTTTAGATTATCAATATTGTGAGATAGAAGGATGTTGATATTCCTGTTGTCACAATCTTATTTAGTGGTAGACCTATGATTATTTCTAATCCACTTTCAGTGAGTACAGCTTTTGTGGCAGCTTGGTGGCCAGGTACTGCTGGTGGTGAGGCTGTTGTTCAATCTCTTTTTGGCGAATATTTATTCAAGTCCTAAGGTAAACTCAATACACTTCCTGTCCCATGGATGAGAAACATGTATTAGATCTCAAACTATCCCATCTACGGCAACGAAGTCCCCTAAATTGACGATCCTCTTTTTGAAGAAGGTTTTGGATTAGAAACAAGACCACAAAACAGTTAATGAGTCATTAAATATTATACATATAAAACACACAAACTATTATAATTCCATTGTTTTTGTATTACATATTTATTAATACTTGTTTATGTCTTTGTAGAAGATCAAAATCAAATAATGAGGAAGACTTAATATCTAAGTAATGTTTAAGCATCTTTACAATTTTAATAATGCCTAAAAATTAAGAATATTCTGGAAATTTTAATTAAAAATTACATATTTATAAAAAAATACCTCCAATATTATTTAATAACTTATAACCATTTTGTTGATTCTGTCCTAGTATCAAGAAATATTATATTGAATCTAAAATGATGTCTATGACAATATATTAATGTGTATTAAATGAGTAAATTATGATGCGTAATTATCTTATTTAAATTTTAAGTGTTATTAATTAGATTAAAATGAATAATTTACAATATAGTAAGGATGAAATCAGGCGTTTTAAATAAGTTCATCTCTTAATCTATTCAGATTCTTTTTGTCATATTTCTAAAAGTCTTCCAGATAGTCAAGATCTAAGTTTGTTTAAGATCTAAATTAACGAGAATATTTTACTCAATTGAATTATTATTTTAATTAATTAACTTCTAATTCTAATTTCTTTATTGAGACAAATGAAATTTTGATTTTACAGATTTTAGAAATGGCTTGTTTTGATCATCCTATTTTTCAAACTCAGTTCTGCTCTTAACATACCTATTTCTTATTAATTAAAATTATTTTTTAATATCCTCTTGATTAGATAACTTAACTTGAATTGGGATGCTCTGTTGCTTTTTATAGAACTGCAAATTGGCTTAGAATTATGACTTAACAATTTTATTTTAAAATGGAATAGTAGGAAATGATGCCTACGAAGGATATACCTTAATATACCTTTTGTTCATTTTAACTCTGATGAGCAAAATAGTTATCATAGTTATTTCTTTTTGATGTTGACTCCTCATTTTAACACAGAGTATTCTTAGATTTGCTGGGGAGAATCATTTTGACTACCTTTGGATCTAGTTATTTATTAGGTAACTGTTCCATAAGTTAAATAGAGAGTGAATATGATAAGATCTAATTTTGGTTGATTTGTGGTTAGCGTTTCAACCTCATTTTTTTCATCTGCGTTTAGCAGGTATTAGAATTAGAAGTAGTTCTTTTGAATTCATGCTTATATTATTTTAATTATAAAAAACTTCTATCGTCTGATCTTCTTTTTGAATCCAATTGTTTTTATGATTATTAAATTTGTGAAAATCCAAATACATCGTACCTTTTTAATCGTAAATCCATTATAATTGTGTATATAATAATTTATATTATAATATAATTTGTGTAATTCCATATATGCACACTTAATTTGTGAAGCACTCTATATTTAATTCTGTCAAAGTTGAATTTTCGTGTAATTCAACAAATCTACTTTATCATGGGGGGGATCTTGATTTAGTTTGAATATATATTGATCTATCATCAGAATAGTATATATTTTTTTTTCAGTGAAATATTGAAATTCTAACTAAATCCTTAAAATTAGTGTTACATTTTAAGGTGTGTTTCTGACATCTCGATTAGAAAATAAAAGAGGAAGGAGATGTAGATTAAAATGGAAAATCCTGGCTTTTGTTTAGTAATATTGTGTTGATCAATGAACGGCTGAAATATAATGGAGATTGATCTAATTTGAGTACGGAGAGTTCAGGAATACAGTGTAATTGATTCAATTAATTTTTTATTGGGAATGCAAACTTAATCAGAATATTTCGGATAATGCATATTATTGATATTATTCGAATGATAGAGCAATTAATTTATTTTTTGCTATTTAAGAACTCACGGAATTCTTAAATTTATAATAAAAATAAATTAAAAGAAAAACCATCTTTCATGGGACACTTATCAGCATTACTAAGAAAAAACTGGATATTATGGAAAAGAAACTGCTTTTGCTCAAGTTGTGAGTTGATTTTGCCATTGTTATTGATACTTGCATTAGGAGGAATAAGGTAATTCTTAACTTTATGGTAGATCGGCTGTCGATAAAGAAGACGTTGCAGAGGCTAACTTTTACGATCCTAACAATCTGAAGGATTGGAATGGTCCTCCTTTTCTAGTTTAGCTCTAACCTTACATCGATGAATAGAGAATCGAATAAAACCTGGTTCAATCTGGACTTAGAAATTAATCAGTGAGTGTGGTGGAAAACCTGATGTAGTTGAAAACGAAAAGTCGGCTTCAAGTACTGCCACCGATGAAGTAAAAAATAAATAGTATATATTAGGAACTGCTTGGATAATTATAGATAGGATTAGAAAAGATAATGGAGAAATGGTGATATAGCAATGGGTCCAAGTGCTGATCATCCAATAGTAAAGGAACTGACTGAGGTTTTCAAAAGTAAAATTACATTAGTATTCAATTAGAGTATTATAATTACTCTGTGGTGATATTTAAAGACAATCAGGAGTTGGATGATTACACGTCTTCATCGAAATATGGAGATCCGGATTATCCCCGAGTTTGTTTTGGTGTAATGTTCAATGATTCCTAATAAAATGTCTATGATTATTCACTGAGATTCAATTCAAGTGGTATGATTAACAATGAAATACCCCCCACCAATTTTGTTGATATTGATCCTATAAAATACGAGGATTTGGACAAAGCCAATGAATATTTGGAATCTGGATTTTTAACTGTTCAAAACTTTATAGACAACATAATTATAAGAAGAGAGGTGGCAGCCGATGCCAAGATCACCCCAACCTATTCGTTTAGTAAGTTTTTATCTAATGCTTTTAAGTTCACAGGAGAGAAGGAGTGATTGACGATTTTGCTTCTTTCTTGAGAGGAGGCTTCGGTATCTATTTGATATTACCGTTGATGATCATCTATTTGAGAATGACCTATGGTATCATCTACGAGAAGGAGAAAAAGCTTAGAGAAGGTATGAAGATGATGGGTTTAAATAACACTTCCTTCTATCTCTCCTGGATAATACAGTACTTCATTATCTACACTTTGATTTCAATAATAGCAACTATTCTGCTTAAGGGAATGGTGTTCAAACACACTGATGGATTTGTACTATTCATAAACTATTGGCTATTTTGCATGGTTCTCATTTTCCAATCAATGTTTATAAGGTAATTTTAATGTAAATCTTTAGTGTGTTTTTCACTCGAGCCTTGTTCGGATTGATTGTGGCAATCGTATGGTATTTGTTGATGTACATGGTTATAAGTTTGGTTGGAAGTGGTTAAAATCTGGTCCCTGAAGCAACTTATTGGGGGGCGTCAGTTTCGAGTCACGCGGGTATGTCATTCGCATTTGATGTTATGATTCTGTTTGAGGCTCAAGGGAGAGGAGTGTCAATGTCAACTCTGAACACGAAGGTTGAAAACTACTCTGTCAACATAGCATTGTCTATGCACATCTTAAATATCTTCTTTTACTTGTTGATGTCCATCTATTTGGATCTTGTGTTCCCAAATGAATGGGGTAAGAAGTTGCATCCCTTGTTCTGTATCCCCTATTTCAACAAGCCACACAGAAGTGAGAACCAATTAAACAGGAAGGCATCTCAGATTCATTAGGAAAGATATGAGGAGGTTGATTAAGCATTGAAAGATCAAGAATCCAGAAAGGAAGTTCTACAAATCTAGAATCTAACTAAAATCTATCCGAGTGGCAAATAGGCTGTGAGTAATGTAAATTTGACTATGTACATTGGGCAAATCTATGCCTTGTTGGGACACAATGGAGCTGGTAAAACCACCACTATCTCAATGTTGACTGGTTTGTTGGATATTACTGAAGGTTAGGCAACAGTGTTTGGATACGATGTTGAAACCTAAATTGAAGATATCAGATCCTTCATGGGAGTGTGTCCTCAACATGATATTCTTTTTGATAATTTGACAGTTAAGGAACATTTGGAGATGTTTGCCACCTTCAAGGGAATGAAACCTGAAGAAATCCCAGCTGCTGTTAGAAGAATGATTGAAGATGTTGATTTATTAGAAAAAACTGATTATTTGAGTAAGAATCTATCAGGTGGACAAAAAAGAAGATTGTCAGTTGCTATGGCCTTTATTGGTAATTCCAAGTTAATCTATTTGGATGAACCAACATCAGGCATGGACACAAGTGCAAGAAGATACATTTGGGAAATGCTCAAGAATTATAAGGAAGACAGAATTATTGTGTTAACAACTCATTTTATGGATGAAGCTGATTTCTTGGGAGACAGAATTGGTATTATGGGTGAAGGAAAATTGCAATGTTCAGGTAGTAGTGTATTTTTGAAGAATCAATTTGGAAATGGATACAATTTAACAATTGTCAAAGAAAGTACATTGTCAGATTCAGAACCTATCATCGAATTAATTTAAAAGGTTTGTCCTGAATCAATTTTGATATCTAAAGTGTCAGCAGAAATCTTGTTGTAGTTACCTCTATAAGCAATTCAGAAATTCCCATCACTCTTTGCAGAATTAGATAAAAATCTGAAAACATTACATATCCAAAGTTACGGAATTAGTATTACCACCTTAGAAGAAGTGTTCTTAAAAGTGGCTTAAATTGGAGCTGGCCATAATCAAGTGAATGATTATATGGAAAAGGAAGGTTAGAACCAAGCAGCTATGCAAATAGATGACTTCGATATCAACTAAATCAGAATCGTAAGTTCTGCTTAATTGTTCTTCAATCACACTTTATCATTGATCATCAAGAGATCTCGTTATTTCAAGAGAGACATTCGAAGTTTGTGTTGTGAAATCTTGTTGCCTTGTTTGGTTGTCTTGTTAGGTTTAATTCTTATGACAATTGAATTCATCACTTAACCAGAAGTTGTTCTATTGACTCCACCTTCAGAATGCTATTCAACTGACGTAGGTTATTTATGGGGAGGCATCTAAGATAATGACCTATTCAAAAGTATGTAGATGAAAGTGTATGATCAATAATAACAAGTCTTTGGCGATCCATCATTGAGCAATTTAGAGAAGATAGACACGAATTATTTTGAGACCTCAGATCTAAGATCAGACATAGGATGGTATTATTTGACATCAAATACTAATAACGATTTCCAGTATTACATGTTTATCAATTCCGTTTTCAGAGAAGGTCCACCTGTATTGCTAAATCAAATGAATCAGGCCATTCTCAAAAAGTACAAGGGAAATAATTATGAAATCAGAGTTACTAATTCTCCTATGAGAAGAACATTTGAAGAATTGCAGACTTAAAATACAATCTCTGGATTTCTGGCAGCCTTAGTGTTTTCAATGGGAATGGCGTTCATTCCTGCATCAATTATATCGTATATTGTGAAGGAGAGAGAAATTAATTTGAAACATCAATAATTGGTTTCTGGTGTGTCTGTCAAAGCATATTGGTTTAGTAATTGGCTAATGGATGTGGGAAAACATATCGTACCTTCCGTCGTTTGTTGTCTATTGATTTTGGCATTCGATATTTCAGCCATGATAGAGGATGAAAACTATGGGTTCTCTTGGCTAATCTTTTTCCTCTATGGTTGGGCAATCATACCATTTTGTTACTTGTTCAGCTTTGTTTTCAGATAACAAGGTAATGCTATGCTTTTGAGTTTCTTCTTGCATCTAGTTGTTGGATCTATCATCAGTTTGGTTGTTTATATCCTAAGATTAATTCAATCCACAAGAGATATAGCCAAAGTATTGTAATGGATATTCAGGTTTATCCCATCCTTCTCATTTGCTTATGGGATTGTCAACTCATGTTCCAAAGCTACTTATAAGGTTCTCGAGGGTTGGACTGAAACCAAAAGCACATATGACATCGAAGTAGGAGGTGCAGATCTGATATTTTTGGCATTCACTGGTGTCCTATACATCATCTTAGTCTTTATTATTGAGTATTTTGAGGACAACGGTTAATTGTAAAAATTGGGATCAAGTGAATAGAACATTCCCTACATTCCTAAATAAATTGATGATGATGTTGCAAAGGAAAATCAATTATGTGAGACCTATTAGCCAAATGAAAAAGCTATTCTAGTGAAGAAATTGAGAAAAGTATTTATGTTGGGAGCAGGAAAACACAAAGTTGCAGTTGATTAAGTCTCCTTTGCTATTGATTAAGGAGAAGTCTTTGGTTTGTTGGGAGTCAATGGAGCTGGTAAAACAACTACTTTCAAAATTTTATCAGGTGAATTAAAGCCTACTTATGGTGAAGCCTATATTGCTGGGAAGAGTGTCATAGATGATTTAGAAGCTGCAAGAGTCAATATTGGTTATTGTCCTTAATTTGATGCCTTGTTGGAAAATCTCACAGTGAGAGAACATATTGAATTATTCTCTGATATCAAAGGAATCCCTTATTTCAAAAAAGAAGATTTAGTGGAAAAAAAGCTTAGTGAAATGGATTTAAAGAGATTTGAAAATATATAAGCTGGCTAACTCTCTGGAGGAAATAGAAGAAAATTATCTGTTGCTATTGCTATGATTGGAAATCCACCAATTGTCTTTTTAGATGAACCATCAACTGGTATGGATCCAGAAGCTAGAAGATTCATGTGGAATGTCATATCAAGAATTGCCACTCAAAGAAAATAGAGTACCATCATTCTTACTACCCATTCAATGGAAGAAGCTGAAGCATTATCCACTAAAATAGCTATTCAGGTTAATGGAAATCTCAGATGCTTGGGATCAGTTCAACATATCAAGAACAAATTTGGAAAGGGATACGAAATCGAAGTCAAATTAGAAAAACCCACAATCAATGAAATCAATGGATTGATATCTTAAATGTAACTACCTCCAGGTTCTCGTCTGGATCAATAAAAAACAGTCGAAATTCTAAGATAATTAGGATAAACACCCTTAGAACAGGAGATTAATATGAGAGGTTCAGGGTCCCATATTTATAATGATTTAAGAAAACCAAATGGTCTGGCAATAGAAACCTTAGCAGAATTCATCATCGTAGAAGGAATGGGTCGAGTTCTCATGGATTTCATAATGAAGGCCTATGGACAATTTGAAATTATAGAACACTTTTAGACATTTTATAGATTCAGACTAATGGGACAAGTAACTGTTGGTGGATTGTTCGATGGCTTTGAAAAAAATGTAATTATTTTCATTTATTTTAATAGAAAAAAGTATTGAGGATCTCCCAGTATTCCATTAAGTAAGCTTCCATAGAGCAAATTTTCAATAACTTTGCTCAATAAGATCACATGGAAAACTAAGGATAAATACAATAGGCCGTCCATATTTAAATTCCTCCTAATCAATAGGAGATGTAGAACCTACAAAAATGATTAATTTAAATTATTCATATTGTTATATAAAATACAAACTTAGAAGTTCAAATCAATGGATTTTCAAAATTAGTATCGGCATTTTGTAAAATATTAAATATCTTAACATATTTGGCACAATCCCATTTTGTTTAAAAGTAAAATAGATAATCAAGATCAGATTTTTTGGATCCTCCATCTAAATTCATTATCTATAAATCCATAACTTTCAATCCTTCATTAAATTCTTCGATATGTTCCTGTAATTCTTATCTCTACTCTTCAGTCATGTTTGCGTGAGCTTACTATTACATTTGACACACAGACTCTCGAATCTAAATTTAGATAAACAGTTTTTACTTGTTATCCTTGTACATGTAAATGGATCTTGTAATTCTTTTACGTTACTTGAGTCTATAGAAAATCTTGATTGACTTAAACTCCAATGACTTCAAGAACAATAAAATAGGTATTATACACTAATAGAAGACAATTCTTGAATTTTGTGTAGGATTCCTGCTTTTTAAAATCAATTATGGCCTCATGAATAGGAATTTGGTTAACAAAGGGATTATAAATATCTTTGAAAGTGAATTAATGGAGCATGACCATTTAAGCCACCCATGCTTTGATTCCATTGTTGACAGCCTCAGATAATTTAGAAGAGTCAAATCTTTAACATAAATTACCAAATAATTATTTTAGATTCTACCCTTTTTGTATGAATATGATTCCCAGCACTTATGCTAAATTGACATATAACTAATATTATTATTTTTGTAAGAAATCGTTATTTTAAAATAGAGCAGACATAGACGACAGTTTTTTATCTAATTTTTGCATGCACATGGTCAATTCATCAAAGAAATTCTGTGCTCCAATTTATTTATAGATTTTGCGTAGAGCTGAGAATATTTAAGTATATTCATCCAATCTTAATTCAACAACACACATTAGCATTTATTTAAACACTATCTGTATTGTTTTGAAGATACTATTGACTAATTTCAATTGTTGCAATAATTAACTAAATTATGTAATTAATTATAATACTTCTTATTAAGAGATTAAATGATTTCTTTAAAGTCACTCAAAATAATTTGTATGGTTTTATTAATTAAATAGCATGTTTCTAAGTATTCTTCTGATTTTGGAGCAGAAAACAAAGGTTTTTTTTTCAATAACTTTTATTTCGCTTCTATATCTTTGATAGCTTTCTTTATTTTTGTTAACTTTGGTTCTAAAACAACAGGTAATTCATTGCTCTATCTTAATTACTTTATTATTTCTTCTTATACAAACTTTTAGAAATTAAATGTATTATCACTATTGAAAAAGAATATCATATGTCTTCCAATCAATCTATAAATTTTAAACAATTTAATTGAAACACAAGAATTGTACCAATCTGAGGCAGCACATAATTTGATATAGCCAATCAATTTCTCCTTTTATTGTATTTCTGTTAAAGCATTGCAAAGTATTGATGCCTCAGGTGCAAAAATGATGGAAATGTAACAAGAATAGAGAAAGGCACTTGTAATTAAGGCAATCTTGCTCTTTTGACTGCGAGCAAGTGACATGTATTCATAAAATTAATCTTCAGAGAATTATTACAAATCCACCATACTATTAGCCAAAATCTTCTTCTGTTGAACTACTTCAAAAAACTAAGATGAATATCTTGAAATATTTAAATCCTAATTTTGAGGATACCCAACCAATTTACTAACAATAGCATGCTTACTTAAACTAGAAGTGACAACCTTAGATTGATACTCATTTCCTTCTGATTGATTTATAGCCTCTATTGAAATACTTTTTTCTTCTAAATCCAAATGAACGTGTTAAATGAGTGGTTATAAACAAGCAAGCAATCTGTCTACTCCATTCTAAGATGAAAATATAGTATGTTAGACTTCAAAAGCACTAATCAAATCATCGATGAGATCAAGAGATTTATAATTAGGAAACTTAACAATTTTCCAATCCTCCCACTATTCACAACATTGCTAATACAAGCTTCTTTTGTATTGACTTAAAATATCCTCTACAGATTAGTTATTGTCATAATCATAGTCTTCAGCCATATTAACTTTAGGCATCTTATGTTTCTTAGATTGCATTAAATCTTTTTATGCTTATATTTCTTTCTCTATTTCAGCTCTTGCTTTAGTTAACTGTTATGTCTAGTAATACTTTTAAAAGTTGAGAATGTTGCTAATCTGCATCAATACTCTAAAGAAGTTTAAGTGGGTAATGTTAATACCAAAGTCGGCTAATGTATAAATGAATATAACTTACATTCTATGGATTGAAACAAAGGCTAAATGACTAGACAAATTGATTCAATGGACAATGGTGTTTTAATATCAGTTCCAGATTGATCTTCTAATCTTATTGCTTCTCCAATCTCAAAGAGAGCCTTTTGATTGAAGAAATTATTTCTTAATTAAGAAGAATAGAGATATTGAGTTAATAAATACACACAGGAAGCACTTAAGGCAGTTTTTTATCTGGTTTGATTCTCATCTCCCCTTGTGTCTCTACTCATATTTGTTCGTAATCTACATACATATATTGGATTACATTTTATATGCAACCACACATAAATTGGATGAAGATGTATTTTACCTGAATTGATATGAAACTGGATTTGCATTTGATGATACAATATTACAAAAAATCATCAACAAACAAGATATTTCCTAGGATAATTTAATTGTTATACTTCTTCTCCTTATCCATCTGACAATAACTATTAGAGTTTTTCTAATATTTTTTGCATAGTTTTCAGATCATCGAATTCCCATTTACGACTTGGGATATTTGATAGTAGATATGTAGTCACAATTCTAATTTCCTCCACTGGGGATTCCAAACAAGACAAAATGATGTATTTGTAATTCCATTATTCTAAACCTTTCAATTTATCTTAAAACTTTTATATGTCATTTGGATCTGAAGCTTTCTTTTGAATGCACTCAAAAACCTTTAAGATTTGAAGTACTGCATATTGTAATTCTGCAGTTGGCATATTAGAGAGTGTATGTTCAGCGGTTACTTAAACATTGCCATACACTCTGGCCATTAAACAAAATTCATTATAAAGAGTCTTGGACAATAGTAACAAAGTATTATTAAAATTTTCAGTCGTAGATACGATTGAACCTAAATAGAGATCACAAACTTGACTCTCTAATATCGTTACTAAAAATTAGCAAAGACTTCCATATATATATGGATCCAATTTCTTGATAGTCACTAATTTTAAGACTTGAATAAAGATGATTTTTTCCTCTTTCTTATCTGATTTTGACTTCTCATTTAGACTAGCTAGAAGTTCCCTTTCTTTTTTTTTAATTGGATCATTGATATCTTTATCTGTCAATATTTTTGTATATGATGGATTATCTACCAGGATCTTGCCATATGCCCTAATTAGAGAACCTAATTTCTTATTCATAATTTAGCATTGCTCTTGAGTTTTAACAGATTCAGAATTTGCAAAATGATACCTTTCTGATTCCAGTTCATCAATCATCTTGCTAATTTCTGTTGATATTTTATCTGAATATTTTTCTTTTAAGACTGGATTAGATTTTTTGAGAAATCTATTTAAAGAGCTGATCATTTCAAAAACATAGACTATAATTTTATTCTTTGTAAATATTTCATCCGCTTTGGCTTTTTTTGAGATAGAGAAACAATAACTCAAAATATCCATCACTCCATCCATTGTAATGAATTCTTCTAACTGGGTGGCAAAGGATTCAGCAACAAAACATCTACTCATCAATTATAATGTGCATTCCACTGATTAATCAATCTTTGACTTATCATCTCTAAATATAACAAAGATCTATTCGAGCCATCTACCAAAAAGAATGCATTGTTAATCAGTCATCCAGTCACCTAATTTTATTTCTGCTGCGAAATCAGTCAAACCCTTAAGTAAACAAATAGGAATTGTAAGAAAACTCTTTTGCTCCAAGTTAGTAAGGATGTTCTTCTGGATTGTTTTCTTAAGCAATTATTTTAAATCTGGGTTGTTCTTATACAATATCTTTAAAGATTTCAGACATGACTCACACAAAGTTTCATCTTCAGGTTCATTTATTGTAACTAAATTTGTCAAAGCCATAATTATAATCTTCTGAACTGGTTTCTAATTCTCTACTAATAAAGTGCAATTGGACAAGAATTGATTGATCTTTTCATGAATTTGATTTTTTTAAAACCTAATATTTATTACTCTGATTACTAAATTTTAGAATTGAAATGTTTTGACCATTTCGAAGGATCAGATATGACGTATGATATCTTAAGAATCAAATCTGTACAAAGAGTTGCAGATTTGTTAGGATTATTAAGACATTATTCAGTCAAATGGATGAATAAATCCAAATATTTGACATCTTAATTCTCCTGTCCTACTTGATCAAACACAGAAACATTCATCTCCCTCGGATCCTCTTACAACACATCCTTGATTATTTCTACATTCTTATTTGCTATAATCACATTTTTTATGGCTGAAGCCAATTTAGAATCTCCAAGCTTCATTATATATATTATATAAATTTTAATCTTCATTGAATTGTCATTTTTTATTTAATTCATTTATCTTTCTCTCCTATTCAATAGTCTCTTCAAGTACGATTTTATCATCCTTTGTTACAACCCAATCATAATTTTTATAATAATAATGGAATGGCAATCCTGGAGGATGTAAGATATAACTAGCCTGCATGTAGGTTAATACAGTGTCACCCCCTTAAATTATGATAATTTATACTAGTTCCATAGACAAGTGTGTAAATTTAAGATTAATTTATCATTGACTCTGCTGTCACTCTCATATAAGCTGATCCAGCGTAACTGTGGACATCAAATCCACTTATACCTTATGCTAAGATATTATAGGCTGGATCTAAGGAATATATTGATGGCACCAGTCTCGAAAACTTTTATGCTCTAATAGTCTGTTTGTTTGAATTATCAAGAAATTGATTGTAAGTAGAGTAATAGGCGCCAACTGATCCTGCCAAAGTCAAGTAATTGTTTGAAATGAAATAGGCAACATAAAGTGATCTCACATGACAAAAGTCCCTTGTGAGGAATCTGACATCCATGCTATTTGAAGTGGGAATACCCATTTGAATTCTGACACTCGTAAACAAGGAGTTGAAGATTTCAAAGTCTGCGCCTACAATGAATGCTGTGACCTTTGGTGCTGGATAGCGAGGGTAATAGGATATCATGAAATCCTGTTACCTTGCTCCGAATCCTTGGCTTAATTGATATAAATCTTCTTCTTGATAATGAACATATTGAATTTCCACTTGATCATCGACCAGAGCAACCCATCTCACACTAAGAATAGGTATGACTGCTGGACCCCATATGATATAATTTATATTAAACCCAAATAAAGTTACGTCTGAAACGTATGTTTGATAATTAATGTTTCTTCCTCTACTCCATTAAATCTCTTAATGCATCAAAAGCACTTATGGGCGACTAAAGTTTTATAGGATGCATGACATACACACTAAATCTCCTTGGGAAAATCACTTAACTCTAAAATCTCATTGGATAAGTTGGAAATAAAAATTGTTCCTATTTGGATACGCTGTTATCAACTCCTGTTTACCATTCAGCATAATATTCAAATCCGTATTATGCTTAGGAAATTGTAACACACAATATTACAATTAAATAAAACATTAAAAATAATCAAAATGCAAAAACGATATTATGAATATTTCATTTTGATGTTGTTTAACTTAATTTTATGCTGTATATCTGATTCAAATGATGATCATGCTTTTATTGAATTTATACACAACATCCAGAATAGATATTAAGATAATAACACAATCTATTAATCATTTCAAATTTGTTGATGAACTAGGGTATATTTACATTATTGGATCTTCAACGCTCTTAGTTTTTTAGTTTAGGATATCCATAATGTTCAGAAAGAATGATAATAAATGCAAATGGTTTGAATGATATTTGATTATCTTTATTTTTAAATAATTTCTAATTTCCAAATTTTTTTATTGACTTGAGGATTGATTGTTTTATTAATTAATTAAATTTTAAAGTTACTCAATTTCAAATGATATTTTCTTATTTTCTATAATTGTTTATTTTATTAAGTTGGCTTTTATTATAGAAAATATTCTTGTGAATTAATCTTTTTGTCTACTCTTTTCAATACTTAATTGATATAATGAAAAATTTTCAATGCTATAATTTAAAGTTATTATGACTATTCATTATAATAATCATTAATAAATACTTCTATAAGCTTTCCAAATCAAGTTCATATGTTATTAAAGTCTGTTCTAATTTTAGCATTGAAATAATTTTTGGAAATTAGAACAATCAAGATTTTTTTCTAATTTACTATTGATAATCTGAATGTAAATTATTATCAAATTTTATATTCATTCTTCACATCGCTTTTTTGAATGATAAACTCTATGATTCTACTTAAATATGATAAATATCATACTTATGTTTCATTTTCTTAATTCTTCTTTCTTGAAAAATAGGATTTCTACATAGAATGATGATTCTCTTGAGTAGAATTTTGGAAATTAATTTGAGATACTTTAAATTGTTGATCTAGTTGCAGTTTTATAAAAACAATTTAAATATAGAATTTTATAATAAATGTCATAAAAAAAATGTTTTCAACAATTAGTGAATTATAGAAATCACGAAAGCCTTGAGGGCAACTTAGAATAAGAACAGATTTTGTTAGAATTACCTTAATTTCAACATTAATAAGTAAAGTAAAATTGCAAGTACAATCTAGACTCTTAAAAATTATATTAAATATATATATAATTTTTCAAAAGAAGATATATTGAGCACAAGGTCATTATTTAATATTAATCACTAATTTAAATATGATAGATATATTCACTATTACAAAGATGTCTTATTTGTTGTCTTTTGATTGTTGCTCTCTTCCGAAATTGGTTGTTTGGTTCTTTATTTTTTGGAAGAGAGAGTTTTGAAATTTTAAAAATTTTCTATAACAGTACTTATCTGTTAGGCCAAATCTACGAATGAAACAATGAGCATTGGGAAAGCCTCTTAAAAGTCTTAGTCATCTTTTAGTTCAGTTAATATGATGGTTGATAATTTTTACATAATTTATGTAAATGTTATGGCGAATTTTTCATCATTATGAATTAAATAATAATCGCTTTCCTCTACCCTTTTGATTATTTGCTATTCTCTCATTATTCTTTTAATATTATTCTAAATAAGAATATTAATATTAGATCTCTAAATAATACAATTGTGTAATTATTCCCTTGTATGTTATGGTAAATGATCCAAATTTCCAACTAATCCGAAAAAATCTGTAAACTTTTTGTATAAAATAAGCAGGTCCTTCACAGATTATGCAGTTTCGCTTCTCTGTTCAGGAGGTCTAGACGATGATTAACTTTGAGGAATGGATAGCACTTCCAAATATGGTTATTCAACTATATTTAATTCCTATGATTGTAGTTTCTATTTTTTGTTCTATGATTTTGTTCCAGAGCATGCTCCACCCATATTTGAAGAGTAAAAAGGTAATAACTTAATTAAAATACTAAAAAATTTATAACACTAAATCGATCACACTCTTTGGTCTCTCCAATAAATATTTTGAGGTCACATGCCCCATAATAAACAGTTACATTAATCATTCATTCAAAGGAACAGTTTTTTATCAATAAACATTTTCTTTGTTTTTCTTACGAATATGTAGACTGTCATTTCCTAGAAATTTTTATCAAAAAATAAAATATTTTTAAATACTAGTCAAACACAATTTGTATTGTTTTAAGATCCATACTTCTTGGATCTTTATCAACATATCTGGGAACTATTGAATAACGAGGTAAGTAAAGTTCCTTTTCTTAATTTCAGACGATTAATACTGACTATTACTTAATCAAAGTGCATAAGGGAACCAAGAGAATGGCATTTCAAAAGATTTTTATTTTATATTTCAAAACTTGCATTTTGTCATATTTATAACTTAATTTATTACAATTCTGTTTAATTGATTCCCACCATTTAAGAATATTGTTTAAGCTCTCTATTATTGTATTAAAGTGAGGGAGAGAGTATTATTCTAAATAAATTAATATATTATCCTTAAATAGAGTTCAAATTCATAAAGAATTTAGCCCAATGAATTTCACAATATTAATGTATTTAAACTTAATGTATTTAAAAAAAAATAGTAGGTTATGAAGCAAGAATGAAGCTGATTATTATGAAAGCTTTACGATCTATTTCATTATTTTGACCCTAGCATATTCTAATTTGACTTAATAATTAATCATTGAGTCTAATAACCAGGAACCCTTAGATATTTATTAAATTATTTATCTTATTAAAATGAATAAGGGTTTGATTCTTTCATTCTCCAAACAGTCAACTAAATAAGACCTTGATTAATCCATCATTCAAGAAAATTCTCCTATATTAATGTTTCTCTAAAAATAAAAAAAAAGAAATATCTTTTACATAAGCTTTAAGGTTGTAGCCATATAGGTTTAACTAAATCATGCATATTACTTAGTAACTTAATTATCTAGTAATTTTAGATTGAAGTTAATGAATATGGAAAAAAGTGGGTCATGAGGATTCGTTTTAGTTAGTTATAATAATTTAACAAAAAACTTGTGCAAACTCTATCAGATTAAACTCACTCTTTCATCCAGTTTTGTATTTAATAAATTGAGACCTGAATACCTGAAAAAAAGAGCCATAAAAATTTAATCATTTTTAAATGATATAGGGGTGTAAATTAGTAAAATATAAATAAGGAATTTTATGATTCTGAATTCTTTTCATTGCTAATAGTTTTTATAAGAGTAGAAATGTTTGGGAAAGATCCTGATAGATTACACCCAAGAAGAGACCCTATAATTAGAATCATGAATAGTTATAATTAAATTAAGAAATACTGTCTCTATCCTGTATTATCCATTATCCATTACGTCTTTCTGCTCTATACAAGATAGTCCATTAACTATTATCGAGTTGAGATTTACATATTTTCAAGAAAATTGTAATTAATTAATTCTGTTAACAATTTCAAATATGTTTTACAGCAGATCAAATCCAAAATTGTCAGATTATTAGAATAAATTAAATACATCATCTTATTCAAGTAAATCACGTGGATCTTTTAAGGAAATTTCTCCTGAAACTAGAAGTAACGGGTTCATCAAATAAACTAGACATTACTCCCAACAATTTAAATAGACCATTAACTGCTCGTAATGAATACACGAATCCATCAAAGGTGAAGTAATTACTAAACAATTTGATACAACCTGATTAAAAAAAGACTTCAACATAATTTTTTGGATAAAACGTAATTCAAAAAAAATAAATTGATAGCACATCAAGCAGATGTGATAGTTTATGTAAGTTATAATATGAAAATCATTAGTCTCAAGCAGAATTTCTAATTTTGGAAAATAGAATGCAAAGTCACCTTAAAATAATGAAACCTTTTTAAAATCTGGTTTCATAGTTACAGAGACTGATTAAGAAAGAAAGCCATATCAGAATTTGTACTATATATCAAATAAACAAAACGAATCCAATTCATCATAGCAGATTACCAATAAAAACTAAAAATTGTTAACCATTTCCTAAATTGCTCAATAATGCAAAAAAAACAGCAAAACTCCAAAAAGGCAAAATACTATTAATAATGAAAATATCAACAACTTAAACAATATAAATAGCAATTCTAAAAATAAGTAATAAAATAAACAAATTGCTTAAGTTGGAAATATTAAAAAAAAGTATTTTTATAATTAATCTTAGCACAACAACATATGCGGACACTTTTAATATTTTAAAGCAGAAGTTTGATAATAATAATAATATCCAATCAAATCAGACTAAAACTATTACATAAGGAAAGAAGTAAAACGAAAAATCAATACCAATCAAATCTAATACTAAATGTTCAACTTTTTAAAAGATTGATGATGTCACTTAATAAAGTATATACAAGTCACTTTTGTAAAAGGAGCAGATTTGGAATGATATAATCATTTTAATAGATAATCCTAATCAATTTACTTTAGCAACTAAATGTACTTAATTATAAAAGTTAATTCGATTGATCAGTGAAAAACATCATGTATTAATTATAGCAATATTGTTAGAGTGAATATTTATTTCGAATAGAATCTCAAATACTTGAAATATTTTTGTATGAATCTTTTGCATGTTATCTTATAGTTAGTGATTATTTACAAGATCAAACTAATGAAGATCACAACATGAAGAATTTGATATAGTATATAATTAGTAGCAATCTCTATGTGCTTTAAGTGTTGGAAGATGTAACAATTAATCCATTAAATTTAAATTTATTGAAACAAAGAATAGATTTGAGAGTATTTAATGTGCGTAAAGTTTGTCCAAAAGGAAGACAGGCCTTACAAAAGAACAATTTTATCATCAAGTCTATTTTGAGTTTAATGTACTTTATCTAATCAATATAAAAGTCCAAAAGGATTGACGAAATAACACGCCCAGAAGTTTTTATGATTCTATCTCGAATAACCACCACTCCAGATTAATACACATTACAATAGAAGAAAATAAATTCAATGATCGAGTAAATTATGCCTCTTGATTTGGAAAGAGCTTTGTCTGCTTCAAATAAAGAGTACACTCTAGTTTTAGATTTGGATGAAACTTTAGTTCATTATTAAGAAGTAAGTCTAGATAGTATTTGAAAGTTTCCAAAAGGAGGAGGACAATTTCTAGTGAGACCTTTTGTGGAAGAATTCTTAGAATAGTTGTCCAAATACTATGAGATAATTATATTCACGGCTGCACTTCCAGATTATGCTAATTTCATCATCGATATTATTGATAAAAAGGGATTCGTCAAATAAAGATTATACAGAGATAAAACTATTTTCAAGGACTAAGTTTACATAAAGGTATTCACTTGATTTAAAAGTAATAGGACCTTTCGATTCTAAATAGAAGTTTATCCAAAATTATAATTGTTGATAATATGCCTGAGAATTTTTAATTGCAACCAGAAAATGGAATTTATATTCAAAGTTGGTTCGGAGATACTTAAGATAGAGCATTAAAGGATTTATAACCTTTGCTAGAACGTATTACTTTAATAAATCACTTTTAGAAATAGCAATAAAAAAATGCAAAGATATAAGAGTAGCATTGAATTAATTCAGAGAACAAATGATTGAAAGGGTCTAAATGGGAATTAAAAATCCATATTAATACCTTTAATTAAATTGAATAATAAAGGCAAATTTTTTATTAATTTAATATTTATTCTTTATAAATATCTAAAAATTTTAATTTTGTTAATTCTGCTACGTTTTATTCTAACTCACAAAGATTAACTCAGATATTCCTTATTTATATATATTATGCAATGTTATAGAAATTTTAAATGATTATATTATCTATTAAAAAGGTAATTGTTTGAAACTTTTTTAAATATAAAAAAAGAGGATTGTAAGAAAGTAAAATAAGGATTTTGGTTGTATATTTTTCCATTTTATACACATTTTTCTTAATAAAATCATTTAAGCCAAAAATTACTGATTGCCATAGCGAATAGTGTTGCAAACATAATTCCTGTATTATTTGTCATAGAATTTATGCACATGCACAATTCTTTACAATTTTAAGGCAAGAATGTTCCGGAAACTATAAGATAGTTGACATTAACGTAACTTGCTCCTCCCATTAATCCGACCCATAACATCAAACAAATTTGAATTGCAATATTTAATTGATAATCTGAATAATAATAAGCTATAGCTATTGCTGCCCACAATCCACAATTAACTCCTTAAATGATAGTTAATAAAGTAACATTTTTAATTTATATAATTTTGAGAGATGATCTTGATACAAATACACCAATTTAATAGTTGAATGCAAGAATAGCATAAGCATTATTTTAAAAGTAATTTCCATCAGTTTTGGCTGGATTGGCACGATCTGCCCAACAAGTCAATACAAAATATTCAAAAAAATAGACTGCTCCTAAATTTAAGGAGTAGGTCCAAGCCAAATTAACGACATATCTCATGTTTTCAAAACTCATTTATAAATTGTCTGTGCTTTCATCTTCTTCCTCCTCCACTAATTGAACTTTTTATAAGCTTTTTCTTTTATTATCCAACCATGTAAAATTGTATAGATATATTAATAAAAATGGAATAGCTGCTATGAATATCTAGTGTTAGAATACAAAATACCCAGAAATCAGTAAATTTAAGAGCTCTAAGAACCAAGAAAAACCCGGATCCAAAGATACCTGCAAATCCTGTTCCAGAACTCCAAAATCCAATCAAGGAAGAGCTAAATGATTTACTATAACCAAGCATTGTGGCTTCTCCAAAAGATTACATGCAACCACACAAAGTAGCGCCTAAGAGGGAAATGTAGAATGCGTAATCCTATTCAATTGTGGTGCTATTTTAATAATTATCTATATATTCTACCATACTGCAATGATAATGAAACTGACAGCAGATAATGATATAGCAACATATATTCTTTTCTTATGTTGTATTTTGATAAATAGTTTTGCATTCATGAACACCATTCCAATAGATAAGAAGATTAAAGAACTATTGTGGAATTGAAGATTTACAAATTGAATGCACTCATAAAGGATTCCTTGTCGAAATGTTTGGCGATTGATTAAGCTGAAGTGGCAACTAACACATATCCTGTATTATTGATTAGACCACATAAAAACATTGCTATTGAATATTTCATTTGGTTTTATTAAACGTCTCGTTCCTAATTACTCAAATATACTTTACTAACACAGTTTCGGTAGGATTTTCGTCTTAATTTAATGATTAATAAGTACCATATGTTTAATTTGTTTAGAGCTATTCTTTCATTAATAAATGTTTCTTAATTTATTATAATTATTTAGAGGTGATAAGTAAATCGATCATCCAATTCTTGGTTAGATGTCCTGCAAAAGCTTATAAGAAGCATACAAAAACTGTATGAGTTTCATTGATAATGAATAGTATCAATAAAAATAATGTCGCCCTTATTATAATTTATGTATATTGCTATTTAATTGTTTAGCTATCTCGTGTTTCTAAGCCAAGGACGATGTAGAATTTTCACAATTCATTGATGATAAAATAGACGAGAGAAGAAGACTCGTAAAAGTAAACTCAATCTTTATTTAAGTTCTTAAGAGAAAATAAATCCTAATTGCCAGAATTGTAAAAGTCTAACTAATAACAATTTTTTAATTTATTTCAATTTGTAGATGATGAAGAAGGACAAGAAGAACAAGCCAAAAACTTTTATCAAAAATAATAACAAGAAAACAAAAAGTATCTATGAATAAGTAATGTATTTACAAGAATTTTCAAACCACAAATAATCAATAAATTACAAAAACCCTTAGTATTAGTTCTTTTTCCATCCTCTTTATTCTATTATCTATAATTAAGAAACTTAATCAGATATATAATCAATAATTGCATATTAGAAAGTTAAGAGCATTTTGGTTTATATAAGTACTTATCTCTTACATTATGTAATCCTTCCTATAATTAAAAAATCATGCCTTTCATAATGAAACAAAATTATTAATAGATAATTTCACCTGCTTATTAAACATATCATTTTTCTAATAAAGGGAACTGTGAGTTTCCTTTCTGCTTTTTAATTGAAATTTTATTATAAAAATCATTTGATTTGATAGTATGATAAATCTGTCAATCTGCGTAATCAAATTACTGCATCCTATTCTTCTATATCTATGATTTTTAAATACCATTCCAACATAATTTTTATAAAATTTATATGTATTGAATAGTTTAATCAAAATAGTTTATAGATACAAACCCTTAATAATATTTAATTTAGGTCATAATTTATTAATGTTTGCTAATCTTCCTGGAAAAGTAGCCCTGATAACTGGTTCAACAAGTGGCATTGGCTTGTCTGTTGCAAAGAAATTAGCATCCCAAGGTGTTCACATAGGACTCAATGGGTTTGCAAAACCAGAGGAAATTAGTGCAATCAGAAAAGAAATTGAGAACTAATTTAAAGTAAAGACCTTTTATCATGGTGCTGATTTGAAAGAAGGTCCTCAAGTATTTTAGACTAATAGAGATAGGTTAAAAGTATGGTGCAGGAAACTAGCAAGGCTCTAGGAAATGTTGATATCTTAGTCAACAATGCTGGAATTCAATATATTGAGTCAGCAGTAAACTTCCCAGAATAGAAATTCAATGACATTATTGCAATTAATCTCACAGCAGCATTTCTTACAACTAAATATACATTACCATAAATGCTTGATAAAAATTGGGGTCGTATTATCAATATTGCTAGTGTTCATGGTAATAAAGATAAATGAATGTTTAGGTTTGGTTGCATCTGTAAACAAATGTGCATATGTAGCAGCAAAACATGGAATTGTTGGGTTAACAAAAGCAACAGCTCTTGAAGTTGCCAAAACAGGTGTTACTATTAATGCAGTTTGTCCTGGATGGGTAATGACCAAATTGATTGAGACATAAATCTAATAAAGGGCTGATTAATATAAAATATCATTTGAAGAAGCTCAAATTAAATTATTAGAAGAAAAGTAACCATCTGTAACACCAGTTTAAATTGAATAATTGGGAGATTTGATTACGTTCTTGTGTTCTGATTCAGCTTCATAAATCAAAGGATCTGCATATACCATGGATGGAGGATGGACAGCATAATGATCTATAAATAATTATGAAAAATTAATAAATAATCTTTTTCTATATAGACTGAATAATAAATTGGTCCAAATATCTTTTGGGAAAAATTAAGAATAATAGTGTAGAATATGATTGATTAAAGGCGAATGTCTTTAAAAATGATCTTATTAATTGAGAAATATGGTATTGTATTATATCTGTGCTGATATGAAGATTTTGTCTTATGCTTAAAATGATATTTCACTTCCATATTTGTTGATAAACGTTAGGAATTTAAGACTTATTCTAAAATGTCTAATACTGTAAAATACAAAACAATATTTGATAGAATCTCGTTATTTCAATGCAAAACGTAAAATTTTTTACTTAACCATACCATCAACTATTTTGATTTATTCGATGCTTAAATTGAAAGGTTCTTTCAATAACAAATAGTGTCTTCTGTTAGTTTATTATTTTACACATTTTTGTTCCTTTTAAATTTATGTTATGTAGAATTTGTATATAAGCAAAGACATTAATTAAAGTAAATGCAATAATATACTTAATTAAAAGTAGCAGAGATACTATTGATTTTAGGAAGATAGAATACTTAATTAAAAATTAACTATTTAAATTCATTTCTTCATTCTTATTTACTTTCTCTTTTTTTCATTATTTTCACCTATGCTCAAGATTTAAGATTGCGAGATCTATTATTATGAACTTCTTGCATCTTATCTATTATTACTGTTCATCAATATTGGAAGATATTCTAAGATGTCATCATAAGTGGGGATTTGAAACATTTTAGGTTAGTACATAACTTATTCATTCAATTCATAATCCCTCCTCTTAACTTTGTTATATTTTTATTATCGCAATTTCTTTAAATATTAAGAATAGGCACTCATTTCTTTCATAAATTTCCTTAACATTTCTTTGCTGTAGGCATTCACAAATTCTGTTAGTAGAATGCTATTATTTAGGAATCAATCACATACCTATAATTCTCTTGATTCTAAAGTAAAAAGATATATTGCTAATACATCTCCTTCTTTTTCTGATTTAATTGATTATAATTTTTAAGAAGTTGTTCTTTAAAGTACTTCTACCAAACACCACTCAGTGATTTTTTATAGTTTTTGAATTTCAATACAAATTCTTAAACTATTTATCTGATTTTTTAAATCTTGAGATGAGTACTGACAACTTGATTTTTGAAATGATGGAGTTCAGCTCTTTATTTAAGAAAGGGCACAATTTTTTAAATGTGTTCTTTAACTTATTTTTAATATACAGCTCTACAAAAACATAAGGAAGCCCTGATTATATAATAATTTATTTTACAGTTTAACATCAAAAAATACTCTATCATACAATGTCAATCCTTTGATGGCAATTAATCGTTTATGAATTCTTTTCATGATTCTTTTAACTTAGAAAGCCATTAAAGTAGATTGATTTTAGGCTTCGATTTTGTGTTAGTAAACATGGAGTATCCTACTACTAATTAAAGCCATGTAAATGAAATTTAACCAATGATGACAGACTTTATTTTTCAGTGTTTTTTTGGATTGTACAAAATTAGATCTTTGTCTTAATATTTTACCTAATTCTCTTGTCTTTTGTTCATATACTTTTCTTTATTGTTCATTTTAATTCAGCTATTTCTTTCTACACAACACATCTTCTATTCTATTATCGGATTGTACTCGTCTCATTTCTCTAAAACTCTTTTATTATTCTTCATTATATTCTACGACCTTCTAAATGTTTTCCTTTATCAAATCCTTGAATATCCCTCTTATCCTTAATCTTTGTTTTCTTCTTTTTTTTATTTCAGCCACTTATGCTAACAGAAAATCAGAATTCATTCTTTCTAACTATTGTTGTTAAGGATTTTAAAGAAACATGGATTCAGTGTCCAACTTTTTTTGCATTGTTTACGGTCTTTTCATCATTCTTGTACCAAATTAGTATTTTAGTTTTACCTAAGTATCTAAATCACACACCATACTAATGTAAATATAATCACAATGAAATATTTTAGACTCATCCACCTTATATTTCCACCCCTTAACTGATATTATCTAATCACAAGAGAAATTGGTCGGGAATGGATTGACAGATGATACAAATATTTTAAAGTTTGTGCTCTCAATTTGATTCATATAGAATTACAATGGAACTGGCTGCATTTTGGATCTAATCTTGTAATAATAAAATTCCATCTATCTCACTGATTAGACGTTCCATAATTCAGGTTATAATTCAATAGGGTGCTTTAGATAAACTTTTAAAGATCTTTTATACCTTATCATGCTAATAATTAATAAGGGTTTCTCCAAAACTCAGCTACTGACTGTTTACTTGAATTGGTTACTCAGTTTGCTCAATTCGAAAGTCAAGCACCTTGTCCCTCTTATAACAAATCCATTTTACTCGGCCTGAGAAATAAGTTGCATTCTCCTTTGATACTCTGGTGTCATCTTCTAAGTCAAATAGGCCATCTAATTGAGGATCTTCGATCTGGGCTTGATTGAACTAGCAGTCTTTGGGGGTTTTAAACTACTCTCACGAAACAAGTCATTATCAGAGTCGTCACTAAACAGACTCTACTCTTTAAACAAATCTGTTTTATGTTTCTCTTAACCACTGGGAGTGTTGCACAGAACCTGCGATTTCACTTTCATATGTCTACTAGATTTTTATTATAAGGATGATTTTTGGCTCGATTCCAGAACACTTTGGGAAAATAACAAATTTCGTTTAGTGGCCGTTCTGCTTAAGACTTACTTATTTAGCATAATAAAATTAATAAATTGTAATAAAATAATGTAGTTTAAGAAAAAATAATCCCTCAATTGAGTTTTTTGTTGTTTAATATCTTAGAATAAGATAAAAACAGATGATGCTAATAAATAAAAACAAATAAACAATCATAAACATATTGCGATATAGGTGTTTATTAGTGCTATACAAAGAAAGGTAATGCCTGCAAGAAAATTGAAATTTTTTTCAGATAACTTATTTGCAATCAATTTTCCTCCATGAACTGCAATGACTGTACATATAAAATGGGCTACTATGGCACCTAAGAAAATGTAATAGGGGTTATAGATTGATGATAGACTAATGGTTGTAATTTGGCTTTTATCTCCCCATTCTCCCAAAAGCGTTAAAGTAAAAGCTTACCAAACCACTTATTAGAATTGTACTTATATGAAATCTAGTGTCCATAGCGAGATTCTTACTTTTCGTTACGTTGTCGTTAACTTAATCCGTCTCAGGATCTGGCAAATTCATCAACTTTTTATCCAAGGTTGTTAACTCCTACTCCACCTCTTGCAAATCTTCCTTCTCCTTTTTCATGGTGTACCACGTGTATAGAAACCTAATTCCGAAACCATAAAAAACTATGGAAACCATAATTTTTGCATATAGGATTGAAATCAACTCAGGAATCACTAGTCCAAAAATGGTGCTTAGGGTGGTAATTAGAATAAGGGCAAGAGTGGAGCCAATTAAAACTGCTATTCGATTATATTTGATTGACATTATGGCAGCTAAGAAGAAGGTCTATTGTGGTAATTACATATCGTAAATTACTTTATCTCCCAATTCGGTGACAATAATCGAACTAAATGATTGGGATAAACTCAGTATTATTGAATTGTTTCCATCAAAGCATAAAGTCCGAGCTATTAGAATGAGGAAGAATATTATGCCATTACATTTCATAAAATAAATAATTCTTCTTAATAATACATTTATATATATATTTTTATAAAATTATCTCATATTAGGAACATATCTTACTATTCTAAGATTAAGTCCTGCAACCTTGAGCGTATCTCTACACAAGATTCTCCATATTTCACTTTTAATAGAAGGACAAGGGAAAATTAAAAGTTTGGTATATTTTCTTAAAAGTATTTTAATAAATTAAGTTGTGAAAGGGGCCTAAGGAGTAATATGAATTTATTTTAATATTAATTAGAATAGTTAATATATATTCTAAATACAAGATGAGCATCCAATAGTTTCCAAATTATTACCCTTATGTCTTAGAACCTCAAGTGCCATTTTAGGGAGAGATCGAACAACAAAGTATGGCAATGATGCATTATTAATACAGAACAAAGCTCCAGTTCAAATTACAATGAGTTTAACTTTATCCATCAGAATTTTCATCCTTCTGCATACCCTCATTATTAATTCGAGTACGTTCAAGACCACGAAATCCCAAGTTAAATAAAGAATAAAAAAAATAAAAAGAACAAGTAATTAAATTATGTATTGACAACAGGTCCAACGATCAAAAGGGGTTGTTGCCCAAAACCTTGGAATCAGAAAAACAAGTGGTCGATGATCTTTAACAAATGGCCGTGTAATAACAAGGGGAGCAGATGTAATTTACAAAATTAATTGATTCAAGGCTAAAGCCAATAACTCCTTACACAGTTCTACATTTCACTCAGGGGAGTCCAATGCCAAAGCTCCAATCCGATTTAGTTTCTAACCAACAAAATGAAGGGGCAGTATCACAGGAGGGTTCTCAATAAACATAAAAGTAGAAAGGATAGAATCTATTAACTAAGAAACCTAAAAAAGAGAATGTAAATACTGGCCATTGGTCAACTGATGAACATACCACTTATATCCAATTTCTGCAATAGTATGAGAATATCATGACATCTTCAATGATGAAGAAGACATCCAAGATATTCAAATAGATGAGTGAATTGATTGGAACCAGAACTCCTAGTTAATGCAGGAGTCATCATTAGAAATTTAATCCCTACGCATTGAGAGGAGAAAACGGCAAGCGCCTACCAAGAAGTGAAAGGAGTCGAGCAGGCAGAAAAAAGAAGAACCCACAATCCGATTTGCCTAAGGCAGGTATTGAATATCAATTAATAGAAGAGGAAGCCAATTTGATTCTAAATTATGAAGCAGCCGATCCTTACTATCTTATGTTTTTAGAGCAATAGAAATACTACTACGCAGGTTTACATTAGGATTACTGGAACTAAGGATAGGAAATAGAATAGAACCACAATATTAAGAAAGAGGAAGAAGTCGATCATTTACATCATGGATAAATGTAATAGCCAGAATTTGATGAATATTTAAGATATAGTTTCCAAAGAAACTTAAATCATCAGGATTACAATTTTGAAGTTAGGAATTAGACAATAAATGATTTATTAATATGATAATTATAATAATTGACATATAAAATTTAAATATTATAAGAACTCTTCTAATTAATCAAACAAATGTATAAACCAAATGTCAGTTATATTAAATGATGAAATACTTCTAGAATTACAATTTGATTAGATCAATTATTATTCTTGATCAAAATGTAATTAATATATTATACTAATTATCAAGAACAAGATCTGTCAAATCTTTCTTAATAGAATAGGAACATTGGAATGAAAACTGTTGATGTATGTCTTATTTATTTTGATTGAATTGAGATGTGTTATAATTATTAGAATTATTTGAATATTTAAGTATCAAAACAGTTCATCGAAATTTAATTTTTCAAGATGTTCGTACTCTTCATTCAATGTCACTTTTCTATACATGAATCTTGTGGCTGGTAGATTATTTCGATCTTCAGCATCTATAAATCAAATCAAATTATAAATTACTTTTTTATGCAATTCTATCATCATAATTTTCACCAATCCAAAATTCTTTGATTTCTTTCTCAAAACTGCTCTATCTAACAGAATTTCTAGCTAATTCTGCTTAATCTATGGCTGATAAATCAAAAATTTATGACGCTATTGCATATTCTTCTAACAAAGGCTCATTTGTCAAATGTAATATCAAGGGATCATCTGTAGATAAACAAATATTCAAACCAATTTAAAAGTACTTTTAAAATGGAGATTTCTAATAACGACAAAACAATTTATTATTTGAAACAGGTGACATTGCTATTCCTATCTATTTTAAATAAAACAAGTATTCCAAAACTGGAGACTTTTGCAACTCTAATCCATGATTTATACCATCAGATACTAAATAAGCAGTGGCCAAATGATCAATATTTCCAGCCTCTCCACAATGAGGTCGAAATCTAAAAGTATTTAAACCTCTCTATTATCTTAAGGCATTTAAAGTATATAAATTTGCATAGATATAATAAATCCAATAAGTATATGGTGGATTACGATCTCCAGCCCAATCCTTAGGAGATTATTTTAGATCTGAAATTGCAAAGTATTCGTACAAAGATTCATCATCAACTGTGTCAAAACCTGTTATTTGGAATAATGCCTGATATAGAAAAGGATCAATTGTAGGATTAATTGTAATGTCAAACAATGGTCTAAATATATTATCAATCATATCTTAGAAACAATGAATCATGCCAGATTTTTTATAAACACTATAGAGTCTAGGTATTTATACCATCCATCTAACTTTGGATGAATAGAGCTTGTGTTTTATGAGCCATTTTCCTAGCTTATGCCATTCCTCCATAGATTTTCCATATATGGATACTCTCCATTCGCATCCAATATATTATTACTATTCCAATTAATCCATCAATTCCTTAGTCAAATCTGCAAGGTATTTGCCTTTAATATAATTATCAGTTTTTAAGAATATCTCCCTTAATTTGGGAGTACCCAAAGGATTATATTTATTGTTAAATCTATCAAATCTTTTATAGATTCCTTTGTCTGCTTGCACATCCAGGGAATTCAAGGATAAATCAATGGGATCGACACTAATATTTTTGAAGATGTCTTTTAAACAAATCTTAGTTCCATCCTTGTTGATATCTACATGATCATCACCATGTTTTTCATATTTCCTTTAAATAAATTCCAATAAGTGTTTTGCACTCATTGCTGCTGAATGATGAATGTGAGTGTCCACTTTAAATACATTATAAAAGTCTCTTCTTATAATATTTTTTTAGTCCTATTATTCATTTTAATGATTGAAACTAATATTGATAGCTATATTTACATTTCATGCATTTAAAATTTTTATTCTAAGAATTTGAGTCTGTCGTAACAAAAACTAGCAATTGAATTATTACCAACACATTTCATCAGATTAATTAAATCGCTTATAAATTGTAACATAGTTGGTACTATGACATCAATATTCTCACCAGACTTTGTAAAAATGATTCCATTTTCTTGTAGAACTTCAGTATTCTCTAGAATGGGTAATACGTCAACTCTTTTATTCCAAATAATGAATGGTTCATTTTTAGCATTATGCTAAACGAATTTACTTGAGATCTCACTTTATTCATGACCATCAAATGAGTAATAATCTCTCAATTTTAGAATTTCAAGGATCTTGGATGCTGATTCTTTTGATTCTTTTGTTTTGGCTCCCTTGTATGGTTTCCCAGGCTTAATCTGCAATATATCGAAATTCAAAGCTTCCTTTATTTCATCATCAGCTGTATCACTAATTCTTCTGTTGGTTTTAGCAGCATAACCGAATTAGTTACCAAATACTGTTTTTTACTATTTTTAGGATCGATTCATACATTCTTTGTCTCATCTCTTACTAATTTTAGATCAAGATATTAGGTTTATAGATTTTAATCTTCAGCAACATATTAAATAGATAGCCCTTGAGCATCTGGTTCTATTGAACCTTACCTCTAACTTGATCTCCTTTAAAATTCACTCATATATTTTAATTAAATATGTATTCTTAAATTATTAATTATTTAAGAAAATAGATAAAATCTAAATGGTAAAGAATATGATCAGATAATAGAATATTATATTATTTTGTTAGATGAATTCAAAAGTTGTATTATTAGATTGATATTAAATTTATATTGTTTGCAAGCAAAGACTTAATTAATTTAATATGACACAATATTGTTTCTTAGGAGCAGATAATTTTATATTGATGAAATCATCCGAACCAATATGAATTACCTAAGAATTCATAATAATAATAATGGTTTTCAACTAATCAGCTTAAGAACCTGCGATTTTAGAGTTGATATCTCGAATGATTGGTTTCCAAAAGGGAGATTTGAATTGATAATGATTAATAAAAATGATAGTGATAAAAATATCAATTTGTTATAAATCACTAAAAGAAAGCTACCAATTCATCTTTTATTAATGATATTCTGCATCTTCAATAGCCTATAGACCCAATTAATTAATCACCCTTATTTCGTCATATTTCTTTCGGTGCTCTTTATTCTCAAATTTTCCTTTAATAAAAATACTTGTTCCATCCAAACAGAAATAATGATAAATCTTCTTTATGGACTTTTTGAATATGATTATGCTATTATTATTCTTATTCTATGACTTTCTGTGTGTGATTATGTGATATAATAGCAAAAAATAATTTGGGCACCAGATCTACTAAGTAACACATGAATTAGTTCGAGAATAGCATTATGATCCAGTCTTAGAAGAGGTGGTTTTATTGTAAATGTCTGAACAATTGGTTAATGAGATTTTAATTTTTAAGAATATCATCTGCATTTAGTAAATTGTTAAAATCCTTTTAATTAAAATGACTGAATTTGCATGCGATACTTGTGAAAAGTAATTTAAGCTAAAAAGAACATTGGATGCTCATAAAATGATACACACTGGTGAGAAACCTTATGAATGGTATATAATAACATATTAAAAATATCGAAAAGTGCTCAATGTCAATAGCGTTTTAGATAATATTCATCCTTATAGAAACATGAAAGAACCCATTCAGGAGCGAAACCTTATGAGTGTGAAGAATGTAAACAAGCATTCTCCTAAGTATAATGTTCTATGTAATTAGATTTCTAATTTAAAGAGACACTAACGAAAACATTCTAATGAAAAACCTTACAAATGTGAGTAATGTGGCAAGCAATTCATTACTAGTCAAAATTACCAATAACATAATTCAAAGCATTAGTAGGACAGAAAACAATACAAATGTGAAAGTGGTTGTGGCAAAACTTACTTTTATATGTGCAGTTTAAAGAAACATGAAAAGGAAATGCATAAAAAGATAGATAAGCCCATTTTTACAATTGAATCATATAATCGATAAATTAAGAATCTCAAGGATTTCTTTACTTGCAATCATCCACAAATCATTCATAAAAATCATGTAGATGTACTTTTCAATGGATGTTTGTACTATTACAATGAAGGTAGTTCAAATATGATAACTAGAAAATTAAAAAATCGAATATCATGAACTTGTTGATGCTGCCAAACAGGAATGTGACCCAGTTGCAGATGATCAACATTTCCAAAAAGGTCACTAAAATGCATAGATAGATTGCACACAATATCCCCAAGAAATGAATTGTTGTTCCACCATAAGTCAAAGAAACATCCAAGAATAAGACCCTCAAGAATCATACGACTTGCATTATCATGGGCCTAACTGTGGACATCCTATTGTATTACACAATGGTCATATCGATTATCTGGTCAATGAGATGCTTCATTATCCTCATGATGGACATTGTGATAACCATGGGTTTCTGAATAGAATCACAGTACAATGATGATATTAATAATTATATAATTCAAAAATGTCATTAAGAAGTGTTGTCGAAATTGTAACTCATGTGGAGAGTTTTAGAAATGTTGATCTCTATTACTAAGGTGTTTATTTTCTGAGAATCACCATTCATAATGATGCTCCATAAGATGTAGACACAATTAATACATTTTTAGGCTAACAAAATCTATGCCCATCCACATGACCCTTGTGAATCCTATAAGACCTATCCACAAGAGGCTTAGCAGAATGTCAATCCTCCGAAATACTACGAAACTCACATTTTTAGACCAGCCTCCATAGTTACATCCAATTCAGCATTTTACACTAAAGCATTTTTCATCAAGTTTTGCGAAGAGGAAATTGAACTCAATGATATTTGCAATTTCAGAATTGAATTCGACGCAGGTCCTAAAAAGGAACAATCATTAATCATGTAAGTTGATTTAATGTTCTTTGATTGTTTGAATTCTTAAAAGGATCAACCAAAGCAAGAACCACTCTACACTAAATAAGATAAAGAAGATTACGCCATTCCGGATGGTAAAATTCAAGCCACTGCCAAATTTAAGATAAAAAATGTATTACTACCTAATCATTAATTTGTACCAATCATTTTTGAAGAACAAAACTTTTGTTAAGCCAACATGGTTGTACATACTATTACTTTGGATTATCGTTTTCGAACTCATCCCATTTAGTTATTTTAATTTGCAAGACTCAAGTTTGAAGAACGCAATCAATTGCTCGAAGGCAAAGTTCCAAACACTCTTGATAAAAACAAAAATCAATCCAAACCCTTAATAAATTCAGATCAAATCTCAATGTATGAAACCATATAAAAACAATACAAAGAGATGAAGGGACTAGATTATTACAGTATGCAATAAGAATTTGTTGAAAGCTTAAAAGGCTATTATGAATAACTTTACTAACACTATAATTTGATATATTCTAAATGCATTTTAGAGAAACAACGAAAACACTTCAAAAAGTATCTATACCCCCCTCTTAAATTAATTGTTCCTGAATACATCACAAGTGAAACCTATTAAAATATCAAGGGGTAACTAACCAGAAAGGAATTAAATTAAAGAATAGAGGAGAAATTCCATACTGCAGATCCTGAGACTATCATACATTCAATTCTAAATGAAACCAATTTGATCAGCTGTCAACTATTCTAAATGTGGATCAAAGTACTTGATTTATATCGAATCAGTCCAAGATTCTGTGTTGCATTATTGCAATTTGATTACTAAAAAATAATTAAGAATAGATGGCAACAATTTTGTATTAAACAACCACACCAATAGTTATTGGACAAGAATTTGGGAATTGAACATAAAGCCAAAAGTGACAAATTAAGGTAAGAAAGCAAAGTTCAAGAATTAGGAGTTGAAGACTTGAATTCCTTTCCTAAATTGGAAACATAACCAATCATCTTTGAAGAGTTTACTCCTAGAGAAGATAAAGATAAAAATGAAGAAAACATTGTAGATGCAGACATAACCAATAGCGAATATGATATAATGTCATATAGAGGCATTCATTTAATTGTGCTTGTTCATGGATTCCAAGGAAATTCATATGATATGAAATTATTTAAGAACTATATCTCATTAGCACATCCTGAAGCCATGTTTTTGTGTTCATCAATAAATGAGGAGAATACTGAGGGCAACATCCAAGAGATGGGAGAGAAGTTAGCCACTGAAGTGATTAATTTCATATCTGAAAATTGTCCAGAAAATACTTTAGGCAGATTGAGCTTTATCGGACATTCTTTAGGTGGAGTCATAATCAGAGCTTCAATGCCTTATCTTGATAAATATCAAGACAAAATGTACACTTATATTAGTCTTTCATCTCCACAATTAGGTTACTATTACAATGCTAGCAAAATTGTTGATGCTGGTATGTGGGTATTGAAACAATGGAGAAAAAGCAAATGCTTAGAATAGTTACAAATGACTGATAATCGTAATATTGAAGAAACATGTCTCTAAAAACTGGCGTAGGCTAAAGGTTTGGCTTGGTTTAAGAATGTGTGCTTTTTCAGTTGCATCTAAGATAGTTATGCTCCTTATGATTCTGCCAGAGTCCAACTCTCAAAAGAAGCACTTGAAGATCAGTATTTATTTATATATATAATCAATTTAAGGAGAAATAAACCATATGTGTAGATGGTCAAAGCATTGTTGAGACATCTTGAGAACACAAATGTTTATCGTATTGATGTTAATTTTGAGATTTAAGAAAAGTAACTTTATTTGAATAATATAGAAATCTTGATACATTGATCGGCAGAACTGCTCATATTTAATTCTTAGAATGTTAACCCTTGTTAAGAATGATTGTTAGTCTTTATGATTAATTCTTCTGTTGAACAATTTATCATTTATTAATAGTTAATTAATAGCGAATATTATCTATTATATAATGACATCAGTCTCAATTAATAATTCGCATTAATTTTAATGTAAAGAGTTCAAACCCTTTCCAATTAGTTCAATCAAACAATTGCTCCCCCTGCTGGCAATGTCACCTATCCTTGGGTTATGAAGTACCCCGACTGTTTTCCATTCGAATAGGTCGGCAATCTTAAAGGCAAAACTGTGATAATCAGTGGAGGATCAAGAGTATATCCAAATTTTTATTCCTCCTTTAGGGTATTGGATTGGCTATTGGAATAAGAGCTGCCAAGGATGGAGCTAATGTTGTCATTCTTGCCAAAACTGTAGACCCCCATCCTAAGTTACCAGGTACAATTGCTTCAGCTTGTGCAGAAATTGAAAAAGCTGGAGGTAAAGCATTGGGAATTCAATGTGATATCAGATTTGAAAAGGATATTTAGGCTGCTGTTAAAAAAACTGTTGAAACCTTTGGTGGAATTGACATAGTTGTGAATAGTGCAAGTGCAATATCACTTACAGATACAGAATCTACAGACATGAAGAAATACGACTTAATGCATCAAATCAATACAAGAGGAACATATTTAATGAGCAAGACTTGTATCCCTTATCTCAAGAAATCCTCTAATCCTCACATTCTTAATTTATCACCACCTCTCACTATGTAATCCAAATGGTTTGCTCCACATTTAGCCTATACAATGGCTAAGTATGGAATGAGTATGTGTGTTTTAGGAATGAGTGAAGAATTCAAGGGTTAGATAGGAGTGAATGCCTTGTGGCCACGAACTTCGATTGCAACTGCAGCAGTTCAAAACGTCTTAGGAGGAGACTCTATGATGTAGGCATCTAGAAGTGTGGAAATTATGGCTGATTCTGCACATGTGATATTAACAAGTTGTCACAAAAAGACGACAGGAAACTTTTTCATTGATGATGAAGTTTTGGCCAGTGTAGGAGTAAAAGACTTTAGCATTTACAGATGTGATCCAAAGTTCACTGATTCATAATTAGCACCTGATTTCTTTATTTGAGATGATAACAATATTCACAAATCAATTTAATATTTTAATCAATTAATATATATTTTCTATAATAATTTACATTATTTAAATTTTTTTCTTTAATTAAAAGTTTTTATACATAATTTTATAGAATTATAGAGTCAAACAGGATTCTGTTTGTTGTTCCAGACTTAATCCTAGAAATATTGGAAATTGTGTTATGTGTGTGCAGTGCCCTGATTGCTCAGATGATTTTAAGTTAAATCTTCATTCTGCTTAATTCGTTGAAGAATCAATTATTTAAGTTCTAAAAAATTAAGACTTTTTTCATATTTTTAAATTAATAAACTTATGGAAACATTGCATAAACAACTAGATGTAATTAGTTTCTTTTAGAAAATAGGTCTCAGTCTTTTCATACAAGCCAGACTTCTCTGATAAATCAAAAATTATGTACAATATATCGATTACTTTTGAAAACCAGTCCTGGATAATTACTAAAAGGTTGTTGTCTTTATTGACTAATTTAGATATTCCGAGTTTGATGATCTTTAAAAATAATTAAAGGTCTGTTTTAAAAATTAGCTTCCAGAATTACCCAAAAAAACATACACATCCTTCTTGTTCTCAAAAACACATGACGATATTGAGTAAAGAAGAATTGGACTCGACAAATTCATGAAGGTTTGTAATCCTATCTATCATTAGTTGTTAACCTCAAAATAGGAGATTCTTTCCTCGAATCAACTGAAAGAATTCCTAAAATTAGAAGAACATGCCAAAACCTTGGTTGTAAATTAACCACAAATTGTACACGAATTTTGTGGTTTCTTACATGGAGTCAGAGACTTCAACCTTTGTATTGGATAGGGAATATTGTTTGTTGTGAATTCAGATTATTCCATATTCAATCGTCTTGATGCCTATCTGACAAATATGAAGGGACCTTGGGAAAAGGAAGATGGGTAGCAGGCAGTAATGCCAGTGGGATGCATAGAGTGTTGGATTCAATAATAGGATGGACTCTATACACGTTAATGGGCGAAGATGTATAATTCGTAGGCAATCTGTTGTTTTTGGGATCCATCCTCCTTCGTCCTGTTAGTAGGGTAATTCTATCAATTAAAACCCATTTAGCCTTGATAGTGGTTCGATAAATTATCTTGAAGTACCATATAGTTAGGGTTTCAAGAAATGTGAAACTGACGCAGAGATTCAGCAGCACTCCAGCAAGGTGACAGGACTATACTATGACAATGAAAGATGCTTAATCCATTCCGTATCCAAAGATAAAAGATATAAAATAAGAAATGCCGTTAAATCAATACTCATCTATGGTACTGTACCCTAGTTATATGTAGACAATGAAATAAGTCCATACGAATTAACTGATTTGGTGGTCAGCAAGTCTCGCAGAAAGTCATTCATTTCTGACAAGAACGGATTCATTTATATGTTTGATATTAATGAAGTACTAAAAACTTAAACCTTAGGATAAAGTAGCTTAGTTGAATTTCATAAATACTAACATAAGACTACTAAGATCTTTGAAACTAGATTCAAGTCAAAATCTTTTGATGGCCGTTGGTCAAGAGACTGGAGAGATTGTAATGGTGGACATAGGAACAATTAAATGTGAAAAACAGCTCAGATGGATAGGTCAAATAAACACCAAGGTAAAAGGATATAAATTTTGTTGGTCCTAAAAACGTAAGGAGCTCTTTGTTGGCACTAGCGACGGTACAGTTTAGTTTTGGGATTATGATACAAAATAATTAATATTTGTAATGAAAGCACATGATTCAGAGATCACATAAATGTAATGGATCGAAGAGGATCAGCATTTATTGACTTCAAGTAGAGATAAGGAAATCAAAACATGGTTATTACCTTTACATTGGAGGAATCAATAAGTAAAATGAAATTAATTCTCATTAACTTTAATAACAAATTATTATTATCATGTATATCTATATGTAAATGAGTGTCCATTACTAGAATAATTTTTATACTTACTTAATAATATTATTATATGTCTAAATTATAATCAAAATATCATATTAATTCAATGCTTTATTTCTTTTTTTGTACTCAGAATGGTATTACGAAGGTGAATACCAGAGAATGTCTTTAAATAACAAGTTTAAATCATTCTTTTGGAGAAATTTCTTTGAGTCAATACTTGGATTTCTTATTTTATATTCTAATTGGATTGTCCTCGTCTGGGACTACTATGTTTGGATGAATAATCAAATGTTTCTAAATTAGGGGCAGAGGCTCTGAGTGATATGGGTCTCAAAATCAATTGGGTTGAGTCTGTTTGGAGATGTTGGTTCGCTTATTTTTAAGGTGATTGTTCCCAAGCTTGTTTTTAAGGTGATTGTTCCCAAAGATATGGTTTCAAATTTAAAGAGGGCGTGCAAATTAATTTATAGTTTGGGTTCAATCTCTTTTAAATAGGACTTTCGATCTTGGATCTGATTTTATGAGGACTCATATCAATAGAGAGGAGAGTTGTAGTAGACTTTAATGATTTTGTTGAGGTTGTGAGTAAAGATTATTATTATGGTTGTAAATTTGAACTGGACCAGAATTCTTTAATGGATTTTTCTGATTTCGGTAATATATTGTGAAATTTATTCATTTTCTTTGATCTTTTTCCACATTCATTGCAATGACAGCTAAGTCTCCGTTACTGGGATTCCTTCAATTCATACATTTTATTCCTAGAAACTCGTTACTTTTGGGATTTCTTATCCCTCTAAACGAGTTTGTCTATCAGCATTGTTCTATGATGAAAGAGCAATCTCCTCGATTTCTCTTAGCCGTCTGTTTTTATGACTGTAGCTTAAGAGAGTCGACTTTTAGGTACTTAAGCAAATTCGTAATAATACGACGCATTCAAACTACGAGCTTTGAAATCTATTTTACATCATACCTCTTAATCTTCCCTCAATAGAACAACTCTAACTAAAGGCTTTAGATTTCATCTACAAATCAAATATTATTATTTTTTATTATCTCAATTTTATGGATATTATATACAAGAATAAAGCCATCAATTCTCATGTTAAATCATCAAGTAACTCGAACATGATGGCAAGTCCTTTTTCAACTAATACACCATTAACTTGTAGGTCAATTATTTAATTTGTTCCTTTAATCAAATCATCTGTTAAGAAATAAGAAATGAATAAATTTATTTTAAAGGAAAGAAGAGAATATGAAAAGAGGAAGCAAATTGTAGAATCAGGATAGTTAACTTAGAGAGGCATGACCAAATATCTCAAACCGAATAGTAATTCAATATATCATTAAAGGGTTGAAATGGTAAAAAAATGAACTTAAGCTTTGTGATACAATAATTGAAACTAAATTGAAAATTGCTGATTTGATATTAAATAGTAAAGGAGGACAATCTCGGAAGGATATTTTAATCGAAAAAATCTAGACTCAGATCGAAAGCCCAAGACAAATCATGAGCACAAGAACAATTAAGAGTGAACACAATGTTCAATAGTTCATGGATAGAATAAAGTTTTAGACTATCCCTTTTAAATTAAGATCAGATCCCAAATCTCCCTCGAAAATTAATCCATCTCAAAAAATCATCTAGAATTTCACCACTACATATTAAACAGAATGATTTTATTATACAATAATTTGATATCATTATTTAAATTGCTTCAACTTAGCAATTTATTTTTCATTGTTTTTTGTAACTGTGCATCCACACTCCTTGCAATACATTATGAGTTTTTTAATATCCAATTTCAAATGTTTTGCTAATGGAATAATGTCAAATTGAAATTTATGTATGAATAAATGCAATACTATGATGTAACATATATACTTATCCTTCAGAAAGTTTGATCTGCTAAAATTAAATACATTTTCTCCTTGTCCAGGTGTTGCCTAATAAAATTTCTCCAAAATCGGAGTCACCAATTTATGATTATAAATCCCAAGTTCATGAGCAATATTTTAAGCATTTTTATTTTAGAACTATTATTTGAATTAAAACTTAAACAAAATGTTTAAATATTCCAAGTATTTCAAAATCGTCAATTTTGTTTTGTTGTCAAATATTAATCCCTATGCTATCTATATGACTTAAGGATGATAGTGATGTAAGGTATCTTCCCTTTTTGTGCTTACAAATACCTGTAATTTTGAAGTGTCCAATAACTCCATGTCTTCCTCTGATACGATTGACCTAACATTGTATATTTAGAAAACTGGGACATTTCCCTTAACGAATTCAGGAAGTAACTCTTCTTTAATTGCAGCCTCCTCCATTTAATGGATTTCTTTCTCTACTTCCAATTGCTCCTAAATTTCCTATTATTTCTGATTAAACTTTTCTTTTATTGATTCTGCTTGAACAATATTCTCCTCCTCAACCTTATTTGTTTCCATCTACCTCATTTTTCTTCTGCTTTTATTAGTACCCATTTCTTCAGCAACCATTTTCCTTTGTTCAAAATAAGTTAATCCGTCTTCAAGTGCTGAATTTCTAGATTATAATTGCTTATTTTATTTGTGTATTTATTATTAAAGAGTAGCTTGTAGTAATACAGGATGTAATGAGATTGTGTTGCCTTAGTGTACACCTGTGTTTATGTTTAATTATTACCAACAAAATTATTAGATGATATATGATTTTGTCTTCCAATCCAAGTCATTTGATCATTGGATAATTTAATCACTTTTCTAGTTTAAGGTTCACTTATATCTTCGCCATTCTTAGTAAGTATCTAAATATTAGAATAGTTTGGGAACCCTTATGGACACCCTATAACCACTGGGTTTGGCTCTTCTGTAAAATTTAATGAGACTTCCATAAATATTTATAATTAAAATGAGATTAAATTTCAAGACTTTTAATTTTTTATCACTCAAAAATTTATATTTATTTATTTTTCAAATTAAAGTTATTACTACATACGTAGAAAGTAGGGATATCAATTTAAATTTTACTTATAAGAAAACAATATCAATTTTTATCTATTTCTTAGGGATTCTGTTTTAACATCTTTTCTACTTGTAAATCCTGAATCTAAGAATTATTGTTCTCCTGAATATTTTATTCCTTCTAACTTTCATCTGGATTTTTTGATTATTTCAAACCTTCATCAGATATTTTATTTTACTCATTTCCATCACCTTTAGTTATATCTACTATTTCCTTATTATTCAATTGACTTTATTTTAAAGGATCATTATTATCAATATGTTGAGATCTTTATTTGGTCAAAGCAATATCATTTTATTCTTAGTTTAAATTATGATTCTAAGATGGTTCAATTGCTGTAACTTCTTATTTCTATAGTTTTTCATTGCTTTATTGTTTTCTGTTATTTTGAGAAGAGGACATTTAATTTGTGACCTAATTATTTTATTCATTCTTTTTATTGTTATTTAATAATTGCAGAAATTCTTCATCAAATTTTTGATTATCATTTAAGATTTAACTTTTGATATTCTTATTTTAATTGTTATCCTCCTAATTGCATCCTACTATTTATAGTGATTTTTGGGTTTTGTAATTCTTAGTTTTTGGAATACCTTAATCAGATATTTATTGATGTTGATTTTATTTATCATCATCATTAACTTTATCTTTATTTTTATATTTATCTTTATCAAATATAATTTAATAAGCTCCACTTTATTACAAACTCCTTGGCTAAAACTTGAATCCTGTTTAAGTAAGCTTTACTTAATTTGATTAATTGTCTTAGAATTATGTCTTAGCCAAGTTATCTTTTTTCTCAACTTTATTTTCAGGTTAAATTTCATGAATTAATTATGATTTCCCAAGATCTTCATTGCTTTTTAGATTTAATTGTTGATTAGATAATTTATCTTTAATTTGTTCGTCCTAATTATTTTGTAATTTTGTATTTTACGATTTATTTAACGATTTATTTTACTATTTTTATTAATCATTTATTTCTTCATTTTAAGCTAATTAAATTACCAAATCATTTGGTTTAACATAAATACTCTTCACAATTGAATTAACCTCAGATTATTCATCAAGACTTTTATTTAAATTCTATTTCTAAGAAGCTAAATCTTTAGAGTTTTATTAATCCTTAATTTGAGTTAAATTTGATTTATTTAATTACTAATTATCCTATTAGATTTCTATTTAATTTTAATTTTTTTAAGATTTTTAAGAAATTTGTGATTTTTCCAATTTTTCATCATTCTACTTAATATCTGGTTATTTATTAGAACTTTCTTTCTTAGTTATCTCAATATCCATGTTATTTTTTTATTGGTTCATTTTATCTTCTTCTTTTTGATGTTCATTCTATTAATGAATATCTACTTCTACTCTCTAATTTTATTGATTTATCTTATCTTCTTGATGCATTTAATCTTTTTTATCCGAGTTTTATATTTGATTTTATTGCTTTTTTTTATCCTCTTCTTTTGAATTTTAATGTTAATTTTATTGAAGTGTTTAGATTTCTGCTTTGGAATTTTAATTTTAATTTTATTGATTTATTTTATCCTCTTCTTTTGGATTTTATTAAGGAACTTCATTTTATTTATTATTATGTTGTTTTTCTTATTTTTAAGCATTATCTGGATAAAATTCAGGATTTGGATTAATTTAAAGAATATTTTTTGAAGAATTTTGTTTTTGTGATAATTTATTTGTTTATTGTTTATTTTATGTATTTGAACTATTTTTGGTCAATTATTTTGTTTATTCTGATAAAAATTCATTTGAAAATTCATAATCCCCTTCGTTTGAATTAGATTACAACTGTTATGGTTTACTAGATTATTCATTGTTATTTTATCTCATTTCTATAGTTTTTTGATCAAATTATTTAGGTTGATCATTATTATTAACTTCATTTTAATTTGTATTTTTAATTTAAATAGGTCTTTTTTTAACTTTTGGAGTTTTCTATGCGTTGACTTGCTTTTTCTAACTCATTTATTAATCCTAAAAAGAGCTTTTGCTTAATAGGATTTCTGGATCGCCATCTTCGAAATCACTTAATGAATATCGATTTGAGCTTATCTATTATATAGATTAATTTCCTTCTTGTTTATTTTAATGCTAAATAATCATTGCATTATGATTGGTCTTTTATAATTAATGTGAACTATTAGTTGGTGATCTCTATTATTTTTTTTGAGTTTCTACTAAGTATGTTTATTATTTATTATTTTATGGAGTGACATGACGTTTATTTTTGAGGTCTGTATGGTTTTGTGTTTAATTTTATTAAGAGGATTCATAAATAATATTGGATTAATCACTGTTTTATTGTGTTTAATTATTACTAATTTATTTATTGGTATTTTCTTTTTAGATTAATTCGTCCAACTTTTAATTGGCATAACTAAATGATATTACTTGGGATTGTACTCTGTTTTTTCTATTTTAAGGGAGTATTTTATCAAGCTTTTATTTTTGAGAGGACTAAACAATATTAGGAAATCTTGTTGGTCTTTTTTCAGTGCCATCACTTTCTTCTGTAAATTCAGTTTTAATTTTGGTTGTTTTTTTATTAATGTAATGTTATTCTACTATTTGGGAATTTGCTCTCATCTATTTATTTGGGGTTTGGGTTTTTTTGTTGACTTTGTTGACATATTGTTGCTTGCTTTTCAATTAAGATTGAATATACGAGTGATCAGTTTATTATTCTTGTGTAATTTTAAATTTTGCCATTTGTCTGACTGGCTATGATTGGTAAATTTCGCTAGGAGGATTTTCATATTATGATACAATGTATTATACATTTTCAACAGCGAACATTATTTAGTCTAGGAATTGTAATAATTGCTCTCTGGTGACTGGCTTTTAGAGGTTGCTGTTAGTGGAATCTAATTTTGGTAACGATACGCCACCTTCCCTTTTATTTTTGGGTGTATTCTATAACCTGGTTTGCATATGTGGGGACATTGATTTGTCAGGATATTGATTTTGAGTGTAAACTCGATTAAGTTGATTTTGTCTAATACTAGGTCGTTGATGCAGTTGCTTCATAAAATTTATAATTTTATATTTACGATGCTTTAATTTAATGATAAAACTGAAGAGTTGTTTGGCTGTCGATTGCTCTCCGTATGAAATCTTGAAGTTCCTTTGTCCTTTTGCTTTTTGAGCACATTTTAATAGTAATCCTTCAAGTACTTGTCTTTTTTTGAATCATATTATTTCACACCTCCTTGACGAGCCATCTATATTCCATCAAGTAAAAATGCCGGACGTCTACACTGTTATTCTATAAGTGTACTTTTAAGGATTCATCTAGAAATTATAAAAAATTAAAAAATTTAAGCAATTTACTTAACAAATAATAAAATGAATTAAAATTTTTTCGACAGTGCTAACCTAAAATAAGTATAGCTATATTATCTACTCTATTTAAGCAACTCTATAAGGCATTATCAAAATACAATGGGCCGACCACCTCGACTCCGAGTATACTGTCAGAATATTTGTCTTCTGCAAAAACATAAACATCAAATAATAAATACAACTCTAATAAAGTGAAACCTTTACTAAGTCCATAAAATATTAATAAGCCTATTTAAAATGAATCCCTGAGAATCAAGACTTCTACACTTCACTTCCCCCAGAAATAACTGGCTTCACATCACATGAAAAGTCTATCTTCCGATATCAAACAGTAACCACAACCTCCAATAAGAAGGAGAGGCAGATAAGAAAAAATGATATTTTAATCTGATTCTTCGTAAGCTCCCTTCTTGATCATCTAAAATAAAGTCAGAGATACAAGAAGATTGGATACTTTAAGAAAGAGTACTTTGCCTTCATTGCAATTAGAATCTCAAAGAAGTATCTAAAACACGTCTCCTCGAATTACAGATATTCCTTTGGTCCCTATTTAATAAGTAACAGAAATTTAGGATTCAAAAAGCCAACTTTTTCAAGAACCAGAAAAAATATGTTTTGATTAAGGAAACGCTCCAATTGAAAACCAATTTGTAGATGAAAACTAAAAAGCCTCTGAACTATTCAATTTGTTAAAGAGAAAGGTGAGCATTACTGAGCCAAATGACTTAAATGGCCCACAAATTCCTACTGAACAACATGAAGAAATCTTAAAGAGTGACAAAGAAGTCACCTGGGACGAAGACGAATTACAATCATCAAATGCTATGAAAAAAATGAGTGTAAAAATGAAATTCAAAAATGTCGTCTCGTAATAAGTGCAGAATATGTTTAAAAATAGAGAAGTACTATATTTGTATTAAGCTAGTTAAAATCATTATTTACAGTCATAATTTCACCTGAATTCAGTTCAAAACATGAGGAGGAAAGACAAAAAATCAGCGATTAATTTGAATAAGGAAATGTTATTTTAGCAAAGAATTTGTAACCAACCAAAGATAACTTTAAGTCTAAACAAACTATAAAATGTATTAAGGAAAAATATAATTTAAAACATAGCCATAAAATAAATACTATTGTTTAAAATCAATTACAAAAACTACATACTACAAATAAAGCATTTTAACGAAAAATTTAAATGATTAAGGCCACTTAATGGACAACTAAGGAGTGTGATTAACCATAATTATAATAGTTTTCTTTATTGAACAAATTTAAAAAACAATCCGTATTCTCAAATCAAATTGGATTAGGCCCAGCATTACAAAGTAATTAAGATAACATTTTACCTAATTTAATGGATGATACCAATAAAATTACTATCACAATTACTAATGCTTTGTCGTAGGATACAATTTTGGAATTTAATAAACCTAAATTCCTTATTCATATGGATACAATCATAGATGAATAAGTAATTCAACCAATCTCACCTCCTAAAAAAGGCATCTAGCATTCTTCCTCCTTACACTCATCCTTCAAATTGTAAAAAGTATAAAATTCAGCCTCTTAATCTGTTATTATCAATAAAGATCATATCTCAAATCATAATGCATATAATAGTATTCATAATACAAATGCTATTGATGATAACAGCAATTTAGATTTTAATTAAGAATATTCTAAAGTAAGAATGAAAAATATTATAATTAGTCAAATTTATATGTGAGACTATATTATCAAAATAGATTGCATAAAATGCCTTAAAAGATTTCTTATACTTAACATAATTTAAAGGAGATTGAAGATGTGTTTTACTAATATGTCTCTATGATAACTGGTTCTTAAATGTAAGTGTTATTCTTTAGAATTAGTTCTTTCTAAGCAAGTCAGCACTTCATAAAATATTATAAATGCCTTGAAATATTTAATTTGATTTAAGAAGTGCAAATAGTTCTTGAGAGATATGATGTTCCCTAGATAACAAGGAAGTTCTCTTTCGACTTCGATAATTCAATTAGTCTATTATCTAGTTAATCAGATTAGAGTGCTTCCTTTGATAAAATTTTAGAAGAGCCAAATCAAAGTAAATGATTTCATAAAACCAGATTAGGACTGTAAATAGATGACAGACATGAGAGCAAAATGTAAAACATTATTCAATCAATGAAAAATCTGAGTGACGAATCTTAATCATTAATCTTCCTTGAGGATGTCGTCAAGAATCAAAAATGTAAGTTATCCATCTTAAATTTAGAAATCTCAACTGGATTGTTGAATACTATTAAGAAGGTGAAGAATAAATTCCACACTCCAATCAATGGATAGGCTATTCTGAGTATTTTAGAATAAAGCACTAAGAATGATCTATTAACATTTCATATGATGGAATAATCTGAAGAGCAGATTCAAAAACTGATTCATGGAGATTATGATACTAATGCATTAAAGAATTTAGACTATTTCTATAAGTAATCAGCACTACGCAAGATGATCTACAATGGCGTCGAATTGAGATATGAAAAGATACTCATAGGTAGGTACTAGAGTTAGTAAAGAATGATTGATGTAGAGCATTCCGATCTTGTTTAATCATCTATTCTGGAAGCGCCATAACAACACATTTCTTCATCCTAACAATCTCAATAATCTCAATAATCTTAAGAACTCCTACTCCTTCAAAAGTAAAAATTAATCAGTCTAAAACAGTAAGGTCGAAGCAGAAATTTATAAAGGGATAGTTTGACTGTCATCATTAAACCAAAACTCAATTCCAGACAGACTGCAAATTCACCAGATATCACAAATGTCCATAGCAAACCAACATCACAATATACAAATCAATTAACTTATAACATTTTCACTCAAGCTTCAACTCAATATCTCACAAAGCCAACCAATCAATCGCAATAATCGGTCAAAGTCTCTAGTGTATAAAATTTAGAAGAAAATCTGTCGCATTTAGAAATGAGTCCATAATCATCCTTAAAATCGATTAAATCTAAATCAGCAGTAGATTCTTCCAATATTATATCCTAAACAAATCCTCCCAACATTAGAAAAAGCTAAAATATTAAGGATTTTGATAAAATTGCCAAAGACAAAATTAGCCTACCTAAAGAATAAATCGAAATAAAAGAAGAGATAATACCTTCAAAAAGATAAAAGTCATCCAATGTTTCATTGCTTTAATAACCAATTTTAGAAAATAAAGTATTCTATCAATCAATTTAGACTTTGAGTATGTTTTCCTATTCTTTGCGTATGAGAAACCAAGCTCTCGGTCACAGTAGGAGATAAAACCTCGATTAATATAAAATATTAGAATAACTAATTTATGACAATGATGTCCAAGAGGTAATCTTCATATTCAGAAATAGTTTTTGGAACATATTCAATAAGTGCCATCAATGTACCTAGACAAAAGATTAGAGAATAATGACACGCTATTGACTTTGGCTTCAAAAAGTGGGTGTAAAGACATAGTAAAGGAACTGGTTAAGAAGGGAGCAGACATTAACATTTAAAATGTATTTTTTTACTTAAGCAGGATGATGGAAATACAGCTGTCCATTTAGCTCTTTCGTATGGCCATTATAAAATTGCAGACATACTAATTGGAGCAGGGGCCAACACTAATATTCTAAATAAAATTGGTAAAAATGCTTGGAGTATATTATGATGATGAATAATCTCTACTATCAAATTCGTTTTATCTACTAACTTTAAGTATGCAAAAAATCTTTATAGGAGATTGGTTTGTCTCCTCTGACTTCTGAATTGCAAACATTGAGTGTGAATGTATAATCTGAACCACTTATTGAAGGTCTTGGAGATTACGAACTCTCCTCTTTTAGAATAAGTAATCCTTGTATTTATTTTTTGAGTAATTCAACTTCTTAATGCAAAGAATTGATTTTCTCATCTCTTTGTTTGTTCTCTTAAACTATTTAGTCAACCTTCTTTTGGAGTTATTCTTTCTCATTCAGAGTTTAGGTGTATAACTTTTTGTAGTCCTATCTATTTTCATACAAATATTCATGATTTTCATCATCTTCTGTCAATAGATTCTTATACTTTAATGTCATATTGTTTCTACACTCTTTTTTGTTTTATAAATTTATGATTTTGTGCTCTAACTAATTCAAACCCTACTTTGCCTCGTTTATCATGATCCCAAACTTTTTTCTGTCATTCTCATCCTGAACTGTCCTAAGCATTGGCGATGTACTTTTTCGAGCCTATTAATCACGTTGAGCATCTAAAAATTTAAGGAGTCCATTTATATTGTCAAATCCTTATTATTTAAAAAGGGAATATAACTAATTTATAGTCTTCTCATCAGGCTTTGTCTTTTGATTCGACTCAGCATAAGATGAATTGGATGAATAAACAGCTGACTATCTTTTAGATGAACCTTAAGATATTATACTACTTGTACATGAAGAAATATAGGGACTATTACATCTAGTTTTGTTTGTTTTATTCAATATGTCTTGGAAAGGGACAGAATTCATGTTAACTGATAAATTAATAATAATTTATAAGGAATTAAGTGTAAATGTATTTTATATAGAATAATAATGAGGTTTAATGAATTGTTTATTTGATTTGCCCATCTTTGAAGAAAAGGTTAAGACAAAAAAATAGGTCTCTCATAAATTGGCTAAACAAAACCTAAATAAATTATTTGTCTAACATTATTATTAATTAAAATTATAAATTACTTAATTATTCTATATATATATATAATTGAAGTATATTCAAATATAACATTAACTGAATTCTGACCCTTATCAAAATTGAACATGTTCATGTAATTGTCAATTCAAAATAGATTGTTATACGTTTTTTGTTTTTTTTAACTTTTTTAATGAATAAAAACTTCAAATCATTAAAACTTAAAGGGATAGAGAGGAGTTTTGGTATGGTAATTAGAAAATAGTTCAATTTACGAATTCTCAATTAAAATTATTAATTTATTTAATTATTATGGATCCCTCAAAAACACAAATGTTAAAGTTGTCATAGTCAACAAAAGAAAGGGTGGAGGCTGCGAAATAATATATTGAGAAGAAATATTAAAAGCTTCTTTATGAGTAAAAAGAGAAAAGGGAAAAATGGGAATAATTAATTCAAAAATTGACAAATTTGAATTATACTTAAATTGAACAATAAGTGATAAAATAGGACTTATTTCATAAAGAAGCTGAAATATTGAGATTATAAAGATAAAAGTTGAGCATAAAAGATTTCGAATCGGTAGAAATAATTGGAAGAGGAGCATTTGGTGAAGTGAGATTATGCCGTAATAAGTTGACAAATGAGATTGTGGCAGTGAAGAAAATGAAAAAGTCTGAGATGCTTTATAAAAATCAGGTATTGAATATCTAACCAAGGTATGTCATGTAAGAGCCGAAAGAGATTTATTAGCAGCATCAGACAATACTTGGATAGTTCAATTGAAATGCTCATTCTAAGATGAGAAGTACAAAATTCTCTCGATTGTAGATACTTGTATTTGGTGATGGAATATTTGCCAGGAGGAGATTTAATGACTTTACTAATGAAGAAGGACATTTTCACCGAAAAAGAGTCTTAGTTTTACATGGCCGAATCAATAATGTAATTTAGAATTCAAAATAACAAGGGCAGTTGATTAAGTGCATAAATTGAAATACATCCACAGAGATTTGAAACCCGACAATATTTTACTCTAAGCAGATGGCCATATTAAGTTAAGTGATTTTGGACTATGTAAATATGTAGAATCTCGCGGAACCAGATTGGATGAGCGAATAAGTGTGCATAAACCTGAGGACAAAGGTAGTAACACTACAACCTTTAAAAGAAATAGAATCAAAGCATATAGTACAGTTGGAACACCTGATTACATAGCTCCTGAAGTTTTTGGGAAATCTGGTTATAGTGAGACTGCAGATTGGTGGTCTTTGGGAGCAATTCTTTTCGAAATGCTTGTAGGATACCCTCCCTTTTTTTCAGATGATCCTTCATCCACATGTTAGAAGATCATCAATTGGAGGAAAACTCTTGTCATCCCTCCTGAAGCCAAATTGTCCCCAGCCGCAACTGATCTTATCCTTAGACTAATGACTGATGCCTCAAATAGACTGGGTTTAAATGGAGTGAATGAAATAAAGGCACATCCATTCTTTGCCGGCATTGATTGGAAGAGTTTGAGAACTAAAGTGTCACCTTACATCCCAGAGATCAAATCTGAATTGGATACTAGAAATTTTGATAAATTTGAAGAGCAAGAACCTTGGGTTCCATAGGAGTAAACTATTCATATGATAATCTAAGTTCTGGCAAGTCTATAAGAAAAGACGTTAACTTTATAGGTTATACTTTTAATCGAGAAGTAGAAGTTTAAAGATCCTATCTCTTATAGGCTTTATTAGATCTTGATGCTTTGCAAGCCTAAAAAACAGTAAGTTCATTTGTTTGTATTTAGGTTCCCACTGAGTCTACGTTGAGTAAATCTTAAGAGAAGAAGGAACCTTTTGCTATTCAGTAGATGCCCATCAATTTGTAATTGGATTCTGATTTACAAAGCAAATTACTCAAAACCTAGAAGTAATTGTAAAATAATTCATCCAAGTAAATATCTCATTTGAATTTAGACCTGTTCTAACTACTAAATAGTAGACACCCGCTTCAAAATTGCAATAATAATTAAGTTTAAGTCCGACTCATTAGAACTTCAATTAACAAAATTACCTTAAATAATTGATAAGTCCGTAAAATAAAAAAATGGCTATTTCACCACAATCTAAACCTGTAAGCGAGCACCAAAACCCTCCTTTAGCATAATTATACAAATAATTTGAATTATAGAAATAAGCTAGCAATACACAAAGGGCCCAACCAAAATCATAGATTCAAATTCCAATAAATAATAATATTATTAGCAAGAAATGAGTCCTTAAATAACATATATGATATTATATTTTAAATAAATAATAACTTTATTTATAAGAGTTTCCTTAAAATCATAAAATCAATGTACTTAATTCCTTGGAGTGTTTGATTAGAGTAATTGCTAGGATTCAAATATTGATGAAGTAAAATTCTGTTGTTTAAAATGTATGGATGACTATAACATACTTTCAGCTCTTTGATACTGATTTCTTAATATGTTTTTTAAGTAAGCCTTCTTTGCCAGATCAAAGATTGATTAACCATTTTTCACTCCAGTCTAAATGGCCATCATTGCAAAAACTGATTCTTTATCAATTCCCACAGCCGTTTTAGTGTTGGTGGCTAACAATTCAAATGGATGACCGCATTCTAAGACCTTGCCTTCTTCAAGCACTAAAATCTTATCATAATCAGCGATAGTGTTGAGTCTATGAGCAATTGTGATTATTGTGCAATCATTGAATTTCTCTTTTATGGTATTCTGAATGAATGCATCAGTTGCCATATCAACATTAGCAGTTGCCTCATCAAGAATGAGAATCTTCTTTTTGTTTAGCAACACCCTTGATAAACAAATAAGTTATTTTTATCCAATAGAAAACAATTCTGGTTGAACCTCTGCTTATAATTAATTTGGTAATTCTAAAACATATTCTACCAATCCAGTATCCTTGAGCACCTTCCAGATTTTTGAATCATCAAATAAATTTAGAGGATCTAAGTTTTGTCTTATAGTCGCTTTGAATAAGAATGGCACTTATGGTATTATGGCTACTTCCTATCTTAGTTTGGCCAAGCCGACTTCCCTGATATCTTATCCATCTATGAAAATATTACTAAATTATAATGACATTCAATACCCACTAGGAGATATTTCAGTAATTCTTAATAAAGTTTGAATAATTGATGATTTCCCAGCACCAGTCCTTCCAACTACTCCAACTTTTTCTCCTCCTTCAATTGTGAAGCTCATTCCTTTTAAGATAAATGGCATATCTGTTCTGTATTGCATTTCTACATTTTAAAATTATATCCTGCCACGTTCAGGCCACCCAGTCACCATTAGATCCTCATCTATAGGCTGAGTCACTTAAGCCTCATTTACTATGTCACAAATTTCAAACATTCTATTTACACTATTCATAATTGAATCAAAAGCCATAAATTATCTTAAAGTACCTGCTTATGTATTAAAAGTTGAAAGTAGTAAAAGAGCTTATGAAAATAAAGTTGGGTCTTCAATCATGGCGATGATTAAGAAGATTCCTACAATATTGGTGAACTAACCAAATATATCAATATAGAAACCAAAGCATCGTTGAGAATAAGAAAAAATTAGATTGGCTTGCATTGATTGATTACACAAATGATTAAACTAATCTCTTATCCATTCCTTATTATTGTTGATTCTTATTTAAGTAATTCCATATAAGCAAACCTTAAACTAATCAAATAAGGGAGATCTCTAAATAAGATCGCAAACCTTCAATTGTGACACAACTTATCTTGTAATTGAAAAGATTACTATAGTCATTGTTATAGTAAAGACCAAAGGAAATGAAAAGAATGGTTGTAAGATGGCTATGGTAACTAAGGATACTAAAAATTGAGATCCTTACTCAAAGATATCTGTAATTATCTATTAGATTTGATTGTCAGCCAAAGATAAATCAGTTGAGAATCTATTGATTAATCTCCCTGATGGATTTGTATCAAAATAACTGATAGGTGCCCTTATGAGTCTACTCAACATTTGATTATGAATTTGGTTATTGGATGTAAGTACACCAACAATATTCAAGAAATACTTGATGATGTTATTGCAATAGGCAGCTAATACTAATAGTCCAGCATTATAAAATAATTCAGTATTAGCAGATCTATTAGTCTCATCATACAAAGCCATTGCTCTGTAATAGTAATTATTGATGATTTCTGTTGCTACATTTTGTCCTAATATAATAACTATCATAAAAACTGGTTTCCAATATGAAAAATATCGTTTATATGTTTTCCAACCTGCATCTGTCTAATTTAATTCTTCTTTTGAAAATAATTGAACAGTTTCTTTTTTTTCCACTTTTTCCTATTATTTATTAAGTAGAGTAGCCAATCTCGTTTATTTTCTGACTAATTGCTTCTTAACAGGCTCTACAATCGTAGAATTAAATAAGGCTAAACTTTCTTTGACTTACTTGTAAGTACCTTGAGTAATAATCGTGCCTTTGTCCAATATGATTACGTAGTCACATTCCAAAGCAAATTAGATTTAGTGAGTAGACAGAATCACAGCAGGAACTGACAATTGGAATGCTTAATGGTGCTTAGAGTGTTTTTCCTATTAGTATTATGGTTAAAATTTGAATATAAATTCTTTTATGGCATATGTAAAGATCTTTCTAGCTACTTTGGAATCTACTGCTGACAATGGATCATCAAATAAATAGAGGTCAGCCAATGAATATAAAGCTCTTGCCAAACTTAATCTAGCTCTTTATCCTCCTGATAAATTAGCACCTTTTTCACCAATTTAAGTTTTGTCACCATCTTAAAATGATAACACATCTTAATCTAAACATGAGACCTGCATCACTTTCCTGTACAATTCAAGTTCAAATACCTTTCCAAATAATATATTGTCTCTCACTGTCCCCGTATAAATAAATGGATCTTATTCCACAAATGCTATACTAGTATTCTTTTTAACTGAAAATTCTCCATCAATTTATGGTAATTCTTCCAATATTCCTAATAGAAGAGTAGACTTTCCAGATCCAACCCTCCCTATCAATCCTATCAATTAACCAGGAATCACTTCCATGTTCAAATCTGACAAAACTGGAAATGACCTTGCCTTCCATCTCAAACCTACTTCTGCCATTGTTACATATGGTGTCCTTTTTATCACAGAACTCTACATCTTTACTTAACTCCTTTCAGATTGCTTCCCTTTTACATGGATTGTATTTGCTTTTCTTATTACGTTTCCATTTTCAATGCTTGTTAATATGTGCCTTTTCTTCTCGCTCATAGATGAAGGTGAAGTCATTATTTGCACCACTCTTTAAAATATAACATTTAAAGTCATAAATGCTTAGAATGCATAAGAAACCTAAAATACACAATAATATTTGATCATAGACATCAACTGAATTGTTCCAATTATTGATGATACATCGATATATATATCATTAAAGTAGATTATCAATAGAAATAGAAAGGATCCCCAAATATGAACACTGTAATTGAACGATCTATCAATAAGATTCAAAAAGTGGATCTTGAAATAGCAAATTACCTCCTCCTTTCTCAGTAACTGTATCTTATCTGAAAATGCCTTCTCCCATACATACATCTTGATCAATCTTATTCCCTCTATCAATTGATTTTACGAGGATATTCTGTTGTCTTATTTTTACTTTGCCCGAGTCAAAACCCTTTAAACTTGCTTCTGAATGAAAACTTACAACGGATATATTACGATACATATCAAAATGGCAATTAACCCTATTGGACCATCAAATCTTAGCTAAATTAATATATTAGATATACCCACAAAATTACTGATGCAAATATTATTGAACCTGGTATGATGGCTAAAGAATAAACAAAGTTCAATTAGAATTCAATTGCATTAATGTCTCCACTTACCAAGTTCATAATTTTACCCATATTAAGCTCATTAATTTAATACCCTTTTAACTCTAAAATTCTATCAAATACAAAATTAGTTAAAATCATTCTCATTTTAGTCGAAAAATTATTAATTATATACAATTAATAATGCTTACTTATTAAAGCTATCAATGACAATAGGGCCAATACCATTGCCTAAATAAAGGCATCTTATCTGTCTCCATTTTTTACGGCTGCAATTAGAGTTTGAGTCAGAATGGACATTACAAACCTAGAATATGTTTCACTCATGGCTAGAAGTACAATTTTTAAGGTTAGCCATTTGTTATCGTGAAAAAAGAATGTTCTAAATAAAGAAAATGAAGTTAGTTATTCTGAAATCTATGTTAGTTATATTATTACTTTTAAATTAAATAATTTCTTAGCCTTTGAAAAATTAGGCTAAATTGTATCGTCTTCATCTTATTTTGGAAGATGATTTAGATTGAGTTTAATTCCCTGTTATTAAATTAGTTTTTAAGCTGCCTTCATGTAATTAAAAATGTGAATCAGAAATATTTAGGAAAGAGATGAATAGTTTTAATATATTGTATGAGGGTAAAATTCTTATTGTTTCAGAGATGATTACTTATTTTGTGGTTCAGGAATAATTTTGTTACTTTTATTTTTAAAAATTTCTAATAAACCTTGTTCTGTTCTTTAAGTTTGTTCTACGCTTGTTAATTAGGTTGTTTAAGGGAGTTATTTTAATATGGCTTGGTTTTCTTATTTTTAATAAGTGGTGTCTTTGCTCATCATGAACTGATTCTCTTGGTAATTCTCTTCAATTTATTCAGACGGTTATGAAATTGGTACATTTTATTCAGCAGCCACCATTTCGTTTCTGTAAATTTGAGTAAAATCTATGTTATTGGAGGGGGAATCATCATCAGAGAGATCTTCCTTATCGTTATCGTCTTGAAAGTTTTCTATTTCCATTTACAATGTTTAAACTACAGTTTTAGAATCATTATCTTGCTGCTGCTAAATTAAAAAACAATTTTAACTTGGTCTTCTATAATGGAGTTATCAATTTTGGCAAATACAGATTTTTTGGCAAATTGAGATAAATTATCTTTATTTTTCATTTATTGGATTTTTCAAATTTATCTAATTCCTTAATTTAATTAACAAAACTAAATTGTTTCTACGTTGATATTGCACTGTTTTATTAATTATCCTTAAGTACAACAAAATTGTATATTAACCAAATAAGATGAAAATCAAAAAAATCGACTTTTATAAGTTAGGAAAAATATTAATTTATAGATTAATAAAATAAAATTTAAGTCTCTATCTCAATAACGTCTCATCAGTATAAATAATATTTAATGACTATATTCAAAATATACAAATATCTAAAGTCAATTAGAATATAAGTTGAGCTTGGTAATTTTTGGACTTAACTATATTTGATTATAACAAATAAAAGAGCTTTTGAGGTGATTTTGTTATTAAATCCTAAATTTATTGATGCTTTGCTTAGGCTATTTGAGAATTGTTCTCTGACTACTCGATGTTTTTAATATGCTATGTCTTACGCCATCATTCTTTAGAGGAGGACTACCACATCTGTAAGTGATAAATGGGTTAATGGACATCTCTTCTGAATTTGCAAAATGACTCTTGCTTCCAAATTATCTATTTTGACCCTCAAGAACAGAAGGACTCTTCTATTGTAAACTTAAAGTTGAATCTTTTAATCCCCTGTGAGATTTGAGGAAAATCTGAAATAACCCATTTGTTTGTGGTGTAATCTATTAGTTATTTTATTTTCTTCTTTGTTACTCAATGAGATTATCCATTTTCTATTATATCATTTGATTCCTAGTCTTGTTATCAAAGTTCTTCCATTTTTTATTTTTACTAAATTTGGTTGAAACCTAATCTTATTGGTTTTCTAATTCTTCATCAATTTCTGTTTTATTTTAGAAAAATCGTGGATATTTGAGGTGAGTTGATTGCTCCTAACTTACTTTGTAATTGGCATAAAAATTAATTTCATTTTTGTGTTTGTCAAGATCTTAGGAATAGGATTCAAATATTTTTTCAATCAGTGAATTTCTGTGTATTTTATAAATCCAACCTTTAGAAGATAAGCAAATAATGGAATATTCATATGGGATCTTATTATAGAGATGATAAAATCCAAAAACCTACATTTCTCCGATCTCAAATAACTAGGATTTATAGGGAATTATTACAACTAATGGTTGGGACTTGTTCGTCTATTTTCTAACTTAAAATAACCCTTATTTGACAATCAGAAAACTATCCGACTTTTCACCTTCTTGAACGACTACTTGGTTTTTTTCATATTCGTACAAAAATGAGTTCAAATATATTGAGGTTAATTACGTTCGATTCAGTTAATTAAAAATTGAAATTTGAGAAAAGAAATCAATATTCTAAATTGTTTAAGATTCTTACTTGTTCTATCTTTTTAGTTTATTCATAATGTAATATCTTTTAAAATTATTATTTATCCAAAATAGCAAAAGTACAATCAGTGACACATCTTATAGTCGCCAACCGAGGTTGTTTATGAATAAGTGCTAATTCACCGAAGGATTCTCCTTTTTTGAGGATTCTAACAGATTCCAATTCATCAAATCCTCTCCTTCTTATTAACACTTCTACCTGTCCATCTAAAATGACATAAAATTTTGTTCCAATTGTATCTAATGGATGTAAATTTTAATACCTAAATGAAAGACAACTTCAGTTGATTAGAATTTTTCTATAAACATGTATTTGCAGCACTCACGATGAATAATTAATCCATTTTCTTGCTTCTAATACTACTTAAAAAATGGTAGTTCTTGGGTCAGTTGGACCAATAGGTCAATTTCTGCCTTGCATCTGTGTTGTGGTTACTTTCTAAGCAATTGCAAAGTGTCTGTAAGGTGAGAATCTAGCATTTTACAAAATTTAGTTTATTTATTGAATTAATTAAATCAAGTTATACTGCAAAGTTATTTTTCAAAGTATATGTCTTAACTAAGAATATTCATTATTTTTGTATTAATACCCACATTGATTGTAATATATAAACGCATAATAATAATCATCACACATTTTTAACTGCAGATCTTTAATTATTTTCCATTCTATAAACACTATCACTAACCTTTCCGAATTTGGCATCATACTCATTCAAAAGAGCATGAATTCTTAAAGGTAGATTTTTCATTGTGCCTAATTACTTGATTTATTTATATTTGGGCTATCTGTCTATTATATAATAATCTGAAGTACCAATTTTTTTGAACCATTCAAGTGCATCAATCACTTTTTCTTCGTCTGCCAATAATATTGCAGTATCAAGATAATTTGAAACACTTTAGAATGTAGGTTTCATTGTAGTAGTGACAGTATCAAATATTCTATACAAATCTAATAGTCTTTTTTCGTTAAACAATATTTCTATGTAAATACAATTGATAAAATTACTAATAATCTATTCATAAGTGAATTGATCCTTTTGAATTTGATACTAGTCAAACAACGGTAGAACTTAACCTTCAAGATCAGGCAATCGATTGGCTGCTACCATTAATTCACACATAGAATTAAGAGTTCTTTGAGATATCATTTATTTTGAGGCTGCTTCATTGAATATCTTCCAAGCATCTTTAATGTATTCCTCAACGATTTTGCCGTCTAAATTTGGCAAGGAACAGGCTCCAATGTAGACTCTAATAATTTGAGTGTAGATGTATTTATTTGGCGTGATTTAGTACTATTTCATTAGTTTGATGACTTCGTGAGCAATTTTGACATCGCCACACTGTGAACATGCCTTTAAAGTGCAAACAATAGTATCGGAATCTATTTGAACAGATGTTAGGATCATTTTTCGATAGAACTCCAAGGCTTTTTCAGCGTACTAAGAAGGGAGGAGTAAATTTTACATCTTTTCTTGAACCCAAGGCCTTGATGATTGAATTGTAGATGTAGGTGGTGTCTCTAAATTCCATGTCATTCATTTAGTCGTAGAGTTGGATTGCCTTTTCAGCTTCGTGTGTCTATAATAGGAGATATTGAGAAGTATTTACATCTGCGCAGATTTCGATCATCAAGCCAATGAGATTTTCATCAGGTTTTAAGTGGGATTCTAATCTGGCCTCGTCAAATAGATCCCAGCATTTCTTCCATTGTTTGACTCTATAGAATGAGTTAATGAGGGTTGTGTAGATTGGGATGTCTGGCTCGAATCCATCTCTTTTGAGATCATTAAATATTCTCAAAGCATTTTCAGATTAAAGGTTCTTGCAATACACGTTAATCAATGTATTATAGAGATGCAAGGAGGATCCAAATTCTCAATAATATTAAGTTATACATTTTTGTGCTATATGATAACAAGCTTCTGCTTTGTGGACATTTCTGAACTTACCATATGCATTGATTAAGCACATGTATGTTTATTGATTGGGTTTAATTTTGAGATTGTCCATGAATTGTTGTATTTCATCAATTTGATCAAATTTGTTTTATGCAACTACAGCTTGTAAGAGGAAATTAATGGATTTGATGTCTACAGCACGTTTTCGGAAATAGTTGGTCAGATTGGTGTCGATTTGTTTGAGGATGTGTTGAGGCTAATAGCTCTCGAGGATGCTTTATTTGATGTTGTCTTCGTCGTTGATTTTGGAGAAGAGTTTCTTGACTTCCTTGAATTCTTCGCTCTCTTTAATTGGTTGAGACTTTTGAATGGGTGCAAACATTGATTTGAGGGCTTGTTTCTTAGCGAATTAGGCAATTAGTTTTGTATGAATTATAAACATAAATTAAAATAAATTATAAATGCTCAGAAATCTTTAATTTCCAATCTTGTTTATATGAATTAAGATATCACTATATAAGCAGAGGATTATTAAAATGAAATAAATACTTGATTATACTTTAAATAAAAATAAATAATTAATTAATGGAGCAGCTCAAAAAACAAATCCAAGAACAAGTGGAGGAACAAGATATAGTGGAGGATTTAAATATCGACGGTGTGAAAATCACAAAATTCACTGAGGAAATGGCTGCTCTCTTCACTCAGCATCAATAGCTGGTGAGTTTGTCATTTGAAAAATGCGGATTGACAACTCTTGACGGATTCCCTAAATTAAAGTAATTGTAAAATTTGGAGTTTGAAAACAATTCATTAACAGGAACAGCAATTAAATTTATAGCAGATAATTTCAAAGAGTTGATCAACTTGAATCTATCACAAAATAATATTAAGTCAGTTGATGTAATCATGACCAATATCCTGATAGGATTTGAAGCCCTTAGCCTCTCTCACCAAATTAGATTCATTAGAGTTGAAGGATAACCCCCTCACCAAAGAAGCGGGATATCATAAAAAGGTGTTCCAACTTCTCCCATCCCTCAAATCCTTGGACAACAAAAATGAGAAGGGCGAGGAAGTTCTCGATGTATGACATAATATTCTAACCATTAGGATGAAGGGGATGAAGATTTAGACGATGACGAATTCGATTAAGATGATTCATACGATGAAAGCGAAGAAGATGATGAAGAATCCGAAGAGCCTGTTAAGCCAACAAAGAAAACAAAAAAATGACATTCTTTTGTTTTGCCCATTAAAACATATAAAAATCCCGCCAATAATCATTTCAATATTCCCTCCCGTATTAACACATCAACATTCCTGATACCAAACTACTTACAAATCTCATCCCTATGTTCATTCAAATAAGGCGCCTATTTTGGATAATCCAAATTTATATTACTAAAACTAAGCGGATTTCTAATTACTTTCTCTCCATTCTCAAGTTCCATCACCATATTCAATGACTTCGTATGTGAACTCTCCAAACATTGTCCCACTGATTTAACCTCCCCCACTGGAATCTTATTCTTTTTCATTTCCTCTATTAAATCTTCTACATCCCAATTCTCCAAAGCCTCCTCTATGATTCTCTTTAATTTCTCGCTATTCTAAACCCTACTTTTATTCTCCTTGAATTGTTCATCACTTGTTAAATGATTAAGATTCAAAATCTTACACAAAGATTAGAATTAATTATCTTGAGCCACTCCTATTACAATATATTTGTTTTTTATCTTGAAAGTCCCGTAAGGTGAAATTGACGGATGTTGATTCCCCATTCTATGCATGTCCTTCTATCCATTCAAATACATTCCACTCACATTCACAAGACTAGCTATTGCACTCTCGTATAAAGATGTCTAAATGTGACATCCTCTATCTGTCTCAATTCTTTGGTATAGAGCTCCCTAAATTCCATTGCAGAGGTTTAAGGCTGTCAGTACATCAATTATGGCAACACCAACTTTCATGGGTTCTCTCTCCTTTTCCCCTGTGATATGCATAAATCCAGTTTCTGCCTACATTATGTAATCGAATCCTGGCTGATTATTATTCAATCCAAAACCATTAACAGAAGCATATATTAATCTTGGGTTTATTTTCGATAACTCTTCATAACCTAGACCCAATCGATCCATGACTCCTGAAGTGAAGTTTTCGACTAACACATCAGATTGTTGAGCTAATTATTTGATGAACGAACTTCCCTTCTTGAGATCCACACAGATTGATTATTTGCTTCTGTTGATCGACAAGAAGTAAGTGCTTTGATTATTAAAGAATGGAGGTCCCCATTTCCTAGTTTCATCTCCTTCAAATGATTCAACCTTTATAACTTAAGCACCTAAATCTGACAGAAGCATAGTAGCATATGGTCCAACTAAAATTCTAGACAAATCCAAGACTTTAAGCTATTTATACATATACTAAAAATAAAATTATATTATATCTCAATAGTCTTAAATACCAATCATTGTCATCAAAATAATTCTCTTGATCATCCCAAAATATCCACTATCCACTTAGAGTATCTATATTGAAGTAATGATACTAAGTGCGGAGCAGTTTAATTTGAACGATTAAATCTATCAATCACAAAAAAAATATCCTTCTTTTATATTTTAGACTGTTTAGATTAATTTAAATTATCAATATAGAGTAATCATATTTATTCTCTATTCTAGTTTTTATTTTTGTTCATCATCCTTTTAATCTTTTGGAATGGAGAATATAAAATGCTGATTAATTTTGTTCTTTTTACTACCTACTTTTTATATCCAGATTAGATTCTTGATTTCTTGGTTTTTAATGTCTCGAAACAATTTCAGAACTGTAATCAAAGAAAAAAATTGCAGTGTTGATGACCCATACAAATATATGAGTTGTCCAAGAGGATTTCTTATTAAATCAGTCAACAGTACTGTTATACTCAAGGCTCCGAATAAGATTTCTAAGATAATTCCAAAATACACCAATAATTATATCTTAAATAAGATCTGTCTATCTACTACCAAATTAGCTGATTTGTTATTGTACTTTTCTTGGTACTCGTCAGATTGATAGCGAAGTTACTAAGTCTTTTAGTCTTGAATGCTATTAGTGATGTAACTTAATTGTTTATTTGCATTTTTTGATTTTTGTTTCGGAGTCAATGTTTCCTATTATTTTCGTTTTTCAGCCATTTGTTTGGTTTCTTTCACAGCTTTAATCTACAATTTGATTGTTTCTTAATAGGTTTATCTATCATCATCATTTTCCCATTTGAGATCAGTCTATTGATCCTCCTTTAGACAACAACTATTCATGTCTTCCCCCTGTTACTCTTCTCGGAATTCATTTTCGAATTGATTTAGATTGGGATCAAGTTTTTTATCTTTTTTTTAAAGTGATTTCAATTGCTTTTGACTTTCCTACCTAAAAAAGGTTGAACCACGCATTCCTTTAATGAATGTTGTAGCAAATGAAACCGATTTAATTTTTGTAACTCCTAATTTTGGTTTGACCTGTTCAATCTATTTAACCTCATCTTTTATTTCATCTCTTATCTCGTTTTTCTTATCCTCATTACTTGCTTGCATGGACATCCGGAGATACCTTTGCAATGTTTCTGGAGACTTACAAATACTATCGTTTTAGGGGACTTATTCAATTTGATCAATATTATTCTTTTGCTGTTCGAGGTATTATCTTTTGCAATTGTGAATCTATTCCCTGATGCACTTCTGAAGAGATTGCCCGTAAATCAGAAACTCAAAGATAAAGAAGAAGAAATTGACCAAGAGGAATATATAACAGAACATTAAAAACGCAGGGTATTAAACTCCTTTCCTTAGCCCTAGTTTAGTACTTTAAGATAGATACCATTCATGGTACTGACTGCGATCTGCACCAAGAAGACTACGAAAAGTCTGAACTTCAATGTTTCCTTGTAATATTTGAAGATGAACTTCCTCCTCTCCTTGTCCTGATAAACATTGAAGGAGATCTCGTCATACATTGTGTACCACACGATCAACAGACATCCGTAGATGTAAAATAACAATGTGTAAACCACCTCTGATAACAACCTCTCGATTACTATGGTCCTCCCTTTCTAATATAGGTTTACAATCTTGCATTTACATATATTTCAAAGGGATCCAGGATTAGCCAAATCAGTTTACATGTCGACATTATGATTGTCAGAACAAGGATAAAATTCTAAGGCGACCCTATTAAAGCTAAGGCGTACTGTAAACAACTACAATTTGTTCAGACCAATTACGTGTAATAAGAGGGGATTTTGGATGTCTTCAAAGAGGCCTAGAATTGACGAATTGTTATAAAGAGTATAAAAACAAAAGCTGCGCAGTATACACCTTAGAATGTGTAATAGGGAGCTTTGTAAATGTCTTATAAATTATCAAAGCACTCATCACCAAATGCCCCTATATCGCAACGGCATTTTCCATCAATCACTATCCCTTTGTCACAACACTCAATCTCACATTTAGACATTATAAATTTATACAGTAAAATATTTAAGACTATTATATAATGTACTTATACACATATAAATATAAATATCTTATACATTAGTTTTTCAGATTTTCAATTCTAAAGTAATAATTATTCTAAAAATAACAAACACATTTTCAAATTTAATAAATGATCGAAGAAGAAGATGTAGTTAATACTTCATAGTTCAACAAAATCATATAAATTTCTTACATGGGAGGGAAATTGTCAAAATTACAACTCCAACAGATGAATCTGGAGAAAATTATTAATCAATGCATAGCCTTTATTTAGGATGGCGCTTCCTTTAGAGAATGTACAAATTACTTACATGGGTTGGCCATGGTTTACTTAAAATAATATTAGCTTTTGAGACAAGAAATACTCAGTCTACAGAATTCAATGATGAATAAAGAAAATTTTGTCGAAGTCGAAAAAAAAGATGCGCGTTCAAAAAATAAATAAACAAAATCAAGACCAAACTAATAAAAGGAGGCAATCACTGAATTATAAGAACATTCTAATAGTTCAAGGGACAATCCAAGAAACATAGCAAGTGCTGAGCGCTTGTAATTAGATTCATAGAAAACTCCATTTGACATTAATCTTTATTTAAGAAAGGAAGACTCAGATAGTTCAAATGGTTTTGGAACCGCCAACTTCATTCTTAAGGATGTTTAATCAATTGAGAAACAATCTTTAAAAGAAATTTTAAATAATAGAAGAAATCAAAAGGATTAATCCCAAGCCTCTTCAAAATAGACTCCATTGCTTCCATAAATCATTATCAATGATGCAGACAATGAAATATAGGAAGAATAGTTTTAATTTCAAAATGAAGAGGAAGACGACGAAATCATGGATACAAGAGTTGAAGTGAGACATGGAAACATCATGAGAGCATTAGAAGAATTTGGAATTAGTTTTGATAACAATCAATAAGCAATGAACCAAACCAAAATAACAGATAAGGGTAGGAGATAAACTAAAAAATAATAAACAACCCTTTCTAAATAACTAGATCATTAAGATAAAGACAGAGTGCTTCAGGAAAATTATCAAAGAAATTTAGAAGAATTCATTAAATATCAAGATAAGATGGACGATCTTCAGATGAAAATGGATCTCATGAACCTTCAACCTGAGTTTTGGTCTAAACAAGATGATTTAATACATATGATTAATCAATATGAAATACCCCTTAACCAAACTGTCATCAATAAGTAAATCATATGAATACATATTTAGTAAAAATTTGCCACTCTCTTCTTATTCCAAAATGTAAGGGATGACAACAATTGAGAACTCCAACAATCAATTCTAGGGAATCAATAGTTTTGATGATTAAGAGGAAATTCCTGAATTTTAATCCATGGATTCAAATAGACACTCAAAGAGTATCGATGTAGATAGCAACGAATATCAAGTTTATAAGAGATTGATCTAAGATTTAAGAAGTGAATTTTCTAAAGAAAAAGTTATTAGTTCAATTAATGTTATTATTTATTTTGATTATGTTTTAGTATTTCAAATTTAGATCGGAAGAAAACAAAGCCAAGAGCTTCTATGATTTGTTATTGATGAGTCGACTAGGTTTCTGTTAAATTAAAAAAGAACAGCAAATAGGAAACTATACAAACATGTTAATAGAATTATGACATAATTAGAATTTATTATATACATTTTCCTTAATTATATTATTATTCAAGGTGGTTTTATATTATAATAATAAATGAGTATGATTTTTATTAATTAATCTAATAGTTGTATTGAAATAAATGGATTATGATTACGGAAATTTGTGATAACCATTTCTACAATCAGGACAATTAATATTACTTATTCTAAATAAATTTCATAATTTAGCAATTTATAATTTTAACAAAGATATAAATAAAAATGTAAACTTATTAACATATATATTTGACATAATAATCAATATAAAATCATGATGAAACTTGAATGTGAACCTCTTGATCCTTTTATTGCAAATCTTGCTTTGCAAAAATGTTAAATATCTATTCAATAGAAGCTTGCTTAATAGAATACTGGGAAATTGTCAATTGTTATTTATTCTTTTCAAAAGCTGAGAATAACCTCCCCGCTGTAATATTAGAAAGCAATCTAATCCTAAAAAATGTTTAGAAATGCTCAATAACTTAGAATTGTCCAAGTTGCTACTAAATAAAATTTAGTAATTCTCTTCCATTTGATTCGACAAGTACATACTCTGCTAATGTTTCCACACTTATTCCATGTCTATTTAAATCATTGTACAAGTGTGATCCTGACTCCTTTGGTTGTATAAAATTCATTAATTGAGTCTAATTAATCTTTTATAGTGCACTGAGAGTGGCTGATTGATTCAGTTTGATACCTTTGCTTAATCCCATCTAATTAATAACTGCATCAAGTAGATTGGCATGTGGTTTCTATAATTTGATTTCAACTTCATATCCTTGGCCATACTTATTCTTAACATGCTAGACAGATCCAAAGCATCTCAAATTACCATCTACTTGAATGGCAATTTTGGTGGACAATGCCTCAGCTTCTTCCATTGAATGGGTAGTTAAAATGATTGAACTTTGTTTTCTTTAAGTGGAAATTCTTGAAATAACATTCCACATGAATCTTCTGGCTTCTGGATCCATACCAGTAGACGGTTCATCAAGAAATACTATAGGAGGATTACCTATCATAGCAATGGCAACTGATAACTTTCTTTTGTTACCACCTGATAATTAACCTGCTTCTACAGATTCAAACCTCTTAAGATCCATTTCAACCATCTTTTTTTCTACCAACTCAGCAAGATGAAAATGAGAAATTCCCTTAATTTTAGCAAACAATTCCAAATGTTCTCTCACTGTAAGATTTTCTAATAAAGCATCAAATTATGGACAATATCCAATGTTTTTCCTGGCATCTTAAATTTGATCAATAACACTATGTCCAGAAACATAGGCAACTCCAGAAGTGGGTTTCAATTCTCCAGATAATATTTTGAAGGTAGTTGTTTTACCAGCTCCATTGACACCCAATAAACTAAAGACTTCTCCATTGCCAACTGAGAATGAAATATTGTCAACTGCAACCTTATGTTATTTCTTTTCTAACATAAACACCTTTCTCAAATTCTTAACCAAAATGGCTTGGTCATATGGTTTATAATTTTAACAGAGTTATTGTTCTCTCTCCACATCATCATCCAATACTTTAGGTTTATAGGGAATGGATGCTTCATTTGACCCTAACTTTTATAATGAACCATTGTCCTCGAAGAATTCCAAAATGAAGACTATTATCATATATCCAACTCCACTTATTGCAAGTACAATTAAATCTTCCCCTGCTACTCTCATTGCAAAAGTATTAGGTGGAGTAATAGAGTTCTAAAATATCAATTCAAAGAATTGCTTCATGCTTGTCCTCAGCAATCCCAATGCAAAGGAGAATGACGGAAGTGGTCTAAATATCCATACCATATAGGAAGCAGCATCTCTAGTAGTTTCAATTAGGAAGAACACATAAATGACAATACTGATGATTGATCCAAACACAAGGTGAATGAAGAATGATGATAACAATGAATTTCCTGGCACTTTGAAAAAGAAGCTCAATGCATAACTAAATGGTATGATGGCCCATCCATATAGTATGAAGAATAGAAATACTGCTCCGTAATTACCATCCAAAATTAATGCATCTATATCAAATGCTAACACCATTAAAGCACTTATGATTGCAGGTATTAAATGCTTGACAATATCTATTATCCAATTACTTGCCCAATAAGCTAGAACTGATACACCTGAAACGAGTTGTTGATGCTTAATATTTATTTCCCTTTCTTTTACTATGAATGAAATAATAGAGGCAGGTATGAATGCAAAACCAATCGAAAATATAAAGGCTGATAGATATCCAGCTACTGATTAATCAATACTCTTTTCATTATGAGTTTAGGGGAATGGATAAAATGATAGTTGAAGAGTAGCTGAAGCAGTATTTGTGACTTTCCTTAGGATTGCCTAGTTCATTTGATTTAAAAGTAGTGGAGAGCTTTGAACAAACACTGAATTCTGTAAAAACCAATAGGAATAAGTGGATCCAATAATTTAATTAAAGAAATACCAGCCTGGACTTTCCCTTAATTCAAATTAATCAAAATATTCCTTATCTGCTTATTCTAAATTTGTGGATAATTGTGAAATGGTCCAATCGTTATTTGAAAAATATTGCATTAACTCTTGTCCTGCTTAATCTCCTCCCCAAAACGTTTATAATTTCAAATCACCATAAAGACCTCCTGGTGTAATGATAGCTAAATCGTCGTCTTTGATCCATTTCACAGTCATTATAGCCAATCCAGAAATAACCACTAAAATAGGCACGAAAATTTCACAAACCAATCCTCTAATATCTCTTTTGAAAATTCTGAATCTTTTTTCCATCAATGCAAACAAATGTAAAAAGAAAGTGGAACAGAACCCTTCAATTCTTTGAATATTTAAATCTACATTCTAATTAATCTGATCTTTCTTCTCTTTATTTTGTACATCCTCTACTTATTCATGACCAGCTCCAATTTTAGCCACTTTTAAGAAGACTTCTTCCAAAGTAGTAATGCTGATTCCATAAGTGGCAATGTGTAATGATTTCAAGTTACCATCTAGGAATTCAAACAAGTTTGGGAATTTGTCAACTGCATCAATAGGCAATTGCATTACTACTTCAGCAGAAACATTAGATAGAACAGTAGCTGAACTAACATATTTAATAACATTGTCTATGATTGGTTAAGAATCAATTGATGTACTGTCCTTAACTAAAGTCAAATTGTATCCAACTCCAAATCTATTCTTTAAAAATACACTGCTTCCAGAACACAATAATTTACCTTCACCCATAATTCCAATTCTATCTCCCAAGAAATCAGCTTCATCCATAAAATGGGTTGTTAAAACTATGATTCTATTGTCTTTGTAATTCTTTAACATTTCCCAAATGTATCTTCTTGCACTTGTATCCATTCCTGAGGTAGGCTCATCTAGATAGACTAATTTTGAATTTCCAATAAATGCAATAGCAACTGACAATCTTCTTTTTTAACCACCTGATAGATTCTTACTGAGATAATCTGTTTTATCAGTCAAGTCAACATCAGCTATTATTTTAGTTATTTAATCTTAAATCTCACTAGATTTCATTCCTTTGAATTAAGCAAACAATTCTAAATGTTCTTTTACAGTCAGATTATCAAATAAAATATCATGTTAAGGACAAACACCCATTATCTTTCTTAGCTCTGATAATTAAGTTTTGACATCCAAACCATATCCAACTACATCTCCTTTTGTAATTTCCAGTAATCCTGTCAGCATTGAAATTGTAGAAGTCTTACCAGCTCCATTATGTCCTAATAGTGCAAAGATCTATCCTTAATACATGGATAAATTGAGGTTACTAACTGCCTATTTTCCATTGGGATATGTTCTATACAATCCTTTGATAATAAGGGCCTCATTTTTTTATTCTTATTCTTTCAAAGCCTATTCTACCTCCTCAAATTTATCATCATGAGTATTCATTCTTTCAATTGACATTGATTTATGACTTACTCTATCCGTTCTGTTATTTTCCCAGATCCAACTAATGAAGAACAATGGATGTTTCTTAACACCCCATTCATTTGGAAATACTTAGTCTAAATATACGGCTAAAATAAAATAGACTATAATGTTGATGATGTGCCAAGTCCAAGCTATGGAAATACTGTAATTGTTAATGGTAGTTGTCAAATTGGACTCATTAAATCCATTGCCTTGTGATTCCATAAGAGTGATCACGCCAGTTGAAAATGCTAATGAAGCTTGACTTGAAAATGACACTCCCCAATACTGACTTCTACTTGGAATAGCATTAGCAGGTACCAAGTTCAGCATTAAAAACATTAGTAAATACCAAACAATTGAAACTATGAGTCCTGTTAAGGCTTATGAGAAAAACACTGATAAAAAGAGCGATTGCACTATCAGAACCACGCAAAACAGATAGTAATTTAGGAATACAAATCCCCAATTAGACTCTGGGAATATCATGCTTTCTAAGATAATATATTTAAGGACTTACTTAGAATAACTGTTGCCAAGGCTGCTATAATTCCATAGATTAACAAGTACTGAATTATCCAGGACAAGTAAAATTGAGTGTTGCTTAATCCCATTATCTTCATGCCTTCTCTCAACTTCTTCTCTTTCTCATAAATAATTCCATGTGTCATTCTTAAAAACACAATCATCAAAGGTAGTGCCAGATAGATTCCATAGGCTTCGTTTACAAAATCTGGGAACTTATCTTCAATGTGATCTCTTGATCTAACATGACTGAGTGTAGGCTCTATTGTTGCAGATGTATCATATTGTTGAATAATTAAATTATCAATCCAATTTTAAATAGTTAAGAATCCATTTTCATAAAATAAGTAAGTAATTTCTTGGTCCTCACTAAAATATATAAAAAAGATAATTACTATTTAAATGAGTTAATCTTGTCCTTTCTATTCAATGGGTATTCTATGTAATCTGTTGAATCTGAAGTGTTGAATCTTAAGGAGTAACTAAAATTCTTAAGATTTATGTCATTTGTTTCAAACATTATTGCCAAGCAGAGTCCTTTTGTCTCTTCTAACTTATTGTATCCTTCCGATCTCACATAGTCGTCAATTTCATCATTAGTATTGAACCACTTAACTTGGTACCCATAATAATCAACGAAGTAAGTTGATAATTTTTAGGCCAAACTATTCTCTTCTGGACCTATGCCTATCAATCCATTTCGGTAGGAGGCTCCTTTATAGTTTGTATTGTCTATGCAGTTCCTAACATATAATCATGTCTTTACTTTAATTAAGGCAGTGATTTCAACAATTCTTCACTGTCTTGATTTGGATTCTATGGAAAGTTATTCAAGTTTGGGGCTAAAATCCTAGGCAGATCTGAGTCTTTGGTGACTTTTAGGTAAGATGTTTCAGAAATATCATCTATTTCAACTTAAGCTCTAGTCTTCAAAATAAATTGTTACCTAATTGTTATCAATAACCCAATGAAAAACAAAGGGAGCAAAATTTCACAAACAGAACAACAACAATTCCTCTTCCACAATATGTAGTTCTTTCTTAGTAAGGCTGTTAAGTGAGACATGATTTAGTAATTTATTTAATACAGACTTTCTATAAAATCAAACTCTTAAATGGGAGCGTTCTATAAAAAACTTTCTTTTTTATGGAATATTTTAAATTTTCCCTATTTATAGTATATTCAATAAAAACAAAAAATGTATTCTGCATAATATTTATTAAATAATAATAAATTATTTAATTAAAATTATTTAAAACTTGAGTCTATATTTCTTAAATTTCTAAGTCGAAATCCAAATGTTTCCCCACATAATTTCTTATAATACATTCATATTATAGTGTTTTATTTTAAGGTTTTAAGACAAATTTGGATGGTAATTTAGATTATAGATTTAACTGATTAGTATTGAAATTTGATTTAGAGCTTTTCACTTTGTGGAATTTCAAAAGGGTAACTAATTTTCAACGGTAGAATGTTGGAAACAAAAGAAATTAAGAATATTTACTACTATAAAATATAATTGGGGAATGAATTAAAAATTGAATATTTTTTATTAAAGAGAAGAGGGGGGTTTATAAACTTGGTAACTCTTAACTAAATTTGAATTTTTTATTTATTTTTTGAGATGAGCAGCAGAGACGAATTGCTTTATATGGCCAGACTCACAGAGTAAACAGAGAGATTCGAGGACATGGTTAACTACATCAAACAATTAGTTAGTGTAGGATAAGAATTGTCAGTAGAGGAGAGAAACTTACTCTCTGTTGCTTACAAAAACAGCATTGGAGGAAGAAGAACAGCATGGAGAGTCCTATCTAGCATTGAGAACAAGGAAGAAGGAAAGGTATAGAAATCTCGATATTTATTAATTCAAAAACTTATACCTTATATTAAATCATCTTTATATCATTATTGTAGGCTCAAACAAATCCAGCAAGTCAAAGAAACCTCACATTAATTAGATCTTACAAGAAAAAAATTGAATAAGAATTGAACGGATTTTGCAATGATGTCCTCAACCTCATCGACACATCCCTCATCAGGACAGCTACAAATTCAGAAGCTAAAGTCTTCTATTACAAGATGAAGGGAGACTATCATAGATATATCTCAGAATATTCAAGCGGAGACCAACATAAGCAAGCTGCTGATGGAGCATTGGAAGCTTACCAATAAGCTTCAAATGTTGCTAATTCAGAGCTCAAAACCACAAATCCAATTAGATTAGGTCTTGCTCTCAACTTCTCAGTTTTCTACTATGAAGTCTTGAACGACCCAACAAAGGCATGCAGCTTAGCTAAACAAGTATATAAATTTTCAAAATATCTTAAAGGCTTTCGATGATGCTATCGCTGATATCGAATAAATCGAAGAATCATAATATAAGGATGCCACCACAATTATGCAATTAATTAGAGACAACCTCACTCTTTGGACTTCTGAATTAGAAGATGAAGAAGGACCCAAATGATAGAGGTATATGATATATATATATATATAAAATATAAAAATATATAAACAAACATCATTAAATTAATCTAACCTTTTATCATAAAGGTAGATTCTTCAATCAAGTCTAGCTAAAGTTTTGGCTTAGTAAATATTTATGAAGTAAAATTTACTATATAAAAATTAATATGAAATGACAAAATCTATTTTTCTATTTCCAAATAACCATATTGATATATATAAAGAGTTTCCAACCTCGAAAAAATAATGTAATTTTATTATCACTCATTTTTTTGATTTTAACCATTATAGATTAATATTTTGAAGAATCTTTATTTAGATTAAATTGTTTGAATCAAACATATTCAAATCAATAATTTTGTCTAATATAATATGTTAAAAGAATCTTGAAGAATAATCTAAATTGAATAATAATAAGTAACTTAACAATTTTAGTGTTATTTACTAATTTTAGTAAAGATTTAACTAAAATACCATTCCAAATATTAATGAAATATTATTATATAAGATGTGATTAAGGAATTAATGATAAATAATAATACAAATCATGAATGAATGTAAAAGCATATTGGAATAGATAAATCTCCAACATTTTGAATAGTTACTTATTTTTTAATGATATTTAAGGTTTTTGGTTTAAGAATTCTTTAAGAATGGGTTGATGTACACAAGATACTATGATATTGATGTCTGATTGCAAATTTTAACTCGCAATCTTAGTTCAGAATTAATTAAATAGATTAATTTTGCTGCAATCTTATTATGAATGCAAATCCTGATTATAAAATTCTATATTTGGTAATAAAATTAACAATGCTTGGATTCGTTAAGTATTTATTGAGTTCTTATGTTATCTCTTTTTTTTAATAATTAATTAGTTAGCTTAGGGATTCATTCATTTGTATCTCTGAGATTGAAGATTCAAATAAATGTAGAGGATTAATTAGTTTTTCAATGTTTAAATTCGAAATTTCTTAAAATGAATTAATTTGATTGATGATCTCCATTTGTGATTCTTCCTATTATTTTTTAACAGGAGTCTAGAGACAAGAGGGAGTGAGGATTTGCTAATTGAACACATCCTTTTATTGATGTTCAAGTATTATTTGATAGAGATTCTTGGATCTTGGTTGTAGCCAAGTTGTAGTGTATTTATATTCGGTTGACTTCATAAATTATAAAATAATAATCAATCATTTAGTAATGCAATTCTGACATTATTTCTACAGGATGGACATAAAGGTTTAGTGTTTAGCCATTCATCAATACAAGTATCATGGAAATAATGATTACATTTAGGCAATTACACTACAATATCCTGTTATTCTAATTAGCATAAACAAATTGGGCAGTCTTCTGGTTATGGTGCTTGGTATTCAACCCATGGTTTTCTAGTCAGCTTCAATAATTCTTCTGGTGATAATCCACGATTAACTACAGGGAAGTCTCCTCTAATAAGTCCAAAAATCACGATAAGGACAAAAATTATTATAATGCAAAAGGAAAAAGCATAGCAAAGTGCATTACAGAGTAAAAACAAATCGAAAACCCATTAACAAATCTATTAATTGTGTATTGTACTATAATGTAGATTGATCCACTGGGAGTTTAGGCTTGGAATGAATTAACAACCTTCACAGTTGCTAAAAATATTGTCATTTCATATTCAAATCTGCTTTTTTTTTTATAGAATCTACATACAATAAATAGAAGACCTATAAAATGCAAAACAATTTTCGATTCTTACAAACAACACCACATTAATGCTCATCAATATTCTTGCTTAATTAGCATTCAAATTAGGCCACTCATAAATAATAAACAAAGTAAAGAGGATAGGCAGTACATAATTGAAAACTCCTTTTATTAAAAGTCTTATGATATTTAAGATCATTTTCAAAGTTGTATAGGTATATATTTTCCTAAATTATAATTTTAATTTAAAGAAATTCATTAAGGAATTAGAAACCAATGTATTTTTATGTAATTAATCTAATCGTATGAATAATATTTAGAAGACATAAAAATACCAAAATATCATATCATTCTGTCATTAATTATTTTTCTTTTTTATTTAACATCAATGGTTTTTTAACCTTATTTTGGTATAATAATCCAAGTTAAAATACTCCGAACATAATCCCTAATGTAATTACACTTATAATGTATGAAATTCCATTTCGCCAATTGATTCCTGGATATATCTCAATTCCTGTCACTAAAACGTAGAACATATTTACAATTAAATAGATAATTGCAATCACTATCAACACAACAGATTATCTATATCTATAATATTATTTTACTTCAATTAAAATTAAATATCATTGAGTATAAAGTCCACAAAGATGAGAATGCAGCTAACACAATGCACATCAACATTCACCAACCATGAATTAAGTGTGTGAACATCGTCTTATGGAAATATATAGCTCCAATAAATAACCAAAATAGGTAATTCAAAGCAAAATGCTACAATAAACAAAATATGACACAATTTCCACAAACTCTCATCAAAAAATTATTTATTAAACTTATAAAACGATACGTTCTCAATACTAACCAATCCAAAATAAAAATAAGTAGTATAACCTCCCCATAAAGTTAAATAGAGGAAATTTTGTGAAAATGTGGGAGCCACAACACTTACTTAAATTAGAGCATAAGTCATGAAAATAGAAGCAAAAAGTCTAAAGATCATTAAGTATTTAAATTAGACTCTATGAGATTAATTCATTTCATTAACAATGCCCTCATATAGTAGTTGTTCTAATTATTTCATTTAATATAAATTATATATAGAATTAATCAATCAATGCTTCTCTATCTTATTAGCATATGATATTTAGGAACCATAGTAGATAATGTTTTATCCTCCTCAATACAATCATCATCAATCTCAAAATAATCATTTTAAGATTAAATTAAACTTTTGAAGTATTTAGATTCAAATTAATTTTCTTCATATTAATTTTGTTTTTATAAGAGTGGAGAATCACAAAAACTTCCATTTTAGCCCCACAAAGGAGTACTGCTTTTAATAACATTATCTTAGTTTTTACGAATGCACATTGAGGGAACTAAATTGACTGGCAGATTACAAAAAGTTTCTGTTTTTGGATTAGTAAACCATTCATGCAATAAAGCTTCCTCAGCTGTAGGTCTTTTAGATACATTTTCTTCTAAAAGCAATTTCACCAAACTCTATGCTTATTCACTAATATTTTTATTGTTAAACTTATCGTAATCAATTTGACAAAAATAATTACTCTTTACTAATTCTTCACTATTTTCATAATTAGCAAATGGCATTTACCCAGTAAGTAAAATAAATAAGATCACACCTACTGAAAAAATGTCTACTTTATGGTTATAAGCTTAATCCTTCAAAACCTCTGGGGCAACATAACCAACTGTGCCACATTTTTAAAATAAATAGATATCATTTTCATTGTAAATATCAGAAAGACCGAAGTCTGCAATTACAATATCTATCATATTTGATTTAGATCTAAAAATCATATTTTCTGGCTTGATATCTCTATGAATTATATTTTTAGCATGCAGATATTTTAAGGAATTTAAAATATTATTCATTAGATTCTGAACAACATGCTCAGAATAATCTTCCAAGGAGTTTTAAACCTTCTAAAAAAGATCCCCTCCACGCAGATGATCTATAATTAAATAAACTTTTTCTGAATCCTCAAAAACTTCATAAAGTTGAATAACGTTCTCATGATCAAGCTTTCTCATCACATCTATTTCCAAAACTAAGCTTGCCTAAAGATTAATGATATCATACCACTCCTTTCTCTTTTTATAATACTTTCATTTTTTTAAAAATTTTGACAGCAAAAATGCTTGAATCTTATTTCCTTTAGATTTTGTACACTTTTGCGTGTGATCCCTATCCAATAAGTTTAAGTATCTTATAGTGCTTCAAAAAATTCCTTTGGATTGTATATTTAGCGATGTAGGATTTCCATTTCTAAATTACATGTTCTTCTCCAAATAACTAAAAAAATTCATTTTTTCCTGACAATTACAAACCTTGTACCTATTGTTGAAATGAAATTCATACTTCGTTATGAGTAACACTCTTTAAATATAGATTACTCAAATTCACAAAACAATTAGTTGACACCAAGTATTAATTTACCAACTAGTATTAAGGTCTGGCAATAAATTGATCACACTGATCCTTTATGTAGATTGGGCTATCATTAGGAGATTGTCGTAATTCATGATCTATCTCCAAGTATGTTGGCTAGCCTTAATTCCACAAAGAACTTGTTCTTGTTGGGTATTGTTCAAAGATTGAATAGTCAGATGAATTCATAATATGAGAATAATATTGATTTCAAATACAATAATTGTCGAATATTTATAGACAGAATTAGGAATTATTTGGATTTTTTATATTCTGCATATATGAATATATGAAAATTAATTTTAATTTAATCAAAAGGCTATTCATTTATTAATAAGGATTTTGTTATTCATATATTATAAAATGCATTATTACCAAAAGTAGATATTTTAGAATTCCTAGAACAGGATTAAACTAGATTATGTATAAGACCATTATTTTCTTAAATGAAATATTGTCATTTTGATGAATATTATTGTTGTTTTATATTTTATTTAAAATAATTTCAGAATTATTGACGAACTTTTGTAAATTTGAAGTATATAATTAATTTTAATCCACTAAATGATGAAATCCCTTTTTTTCTAACTTTTTTCTAATATGTACTATAATAATAAAAGACAATAGTTTAGATTAACTTCTCCAAAATATATACTGGAATCGAAAGTAGTTATCTTCTTAGATTTTAAACTATGCTTCAAGATATTATAATTTTTATTTTAATTGGTTTTTTAGCAAAATTGGAAAGTAAGAATAAAATCTGAAAAATCATATTCTAAAAGAACTAAAATTTTTCCCTCATATATATTAATATAAATATTTATAGAAGCTGTAATTTAATTTTAATGTCAGTTATGGATTAATTTAAATTATCTATAGAAAAGAAATTGGTCTTTAGAAAAGTGTCTGAAAGTCCATATATAAAAATTTAAAATAAGAACTTCATTAATTAAGATTTTTTATTTATAAGGGTTTGATTGAATTAGATGAAGGAATGATTTTAGAGAATAATTTAGTTTAAAATTTGAGTGGATTATAATATTCACCCATAAGAAATCAGATTTAAAAATAGGAATTATAAAAAAAGCAATTACTACAATCATTTGAAGAGTAAATTGTAGTAAAAATATTTGATTCAGGCAACGAAGATTATTCATTATAGATATGCTCAAGATACTCCAATTGTAAAATGAATAATATATATTTTAATAAATCAATTAGCAATTGCTTATCAATATAAAAATCTTAATAATATAATTAAAACCTATTTAAGAAATTAATTTTATCATTAGGTATAAAAACTTGAATATCATAAATTGAAATAAAAAATTTATTCTGTCAAGAAAAGGATAAAATCAAAATATAAAAATGAAATATGATACTCAATAAGATGAATCAAATGAAGTTAAAATAAATGGCCATAAAAATTAAGTTGAAATTAATATTTTTGATAATACATTAATTAATCCTGTTTGTCGTCTTTTTACCATGAAGGGAAGGTTTATTTTATTGAATAAGAAATGAGTTCTAAATATTGTACTTTAAATGATAAAATAAATAAGAAAAGACCATAAACAAACCATACAGAGAATTAACTATTTATTTATTGATATTTTTGTTTATTCATATTACTTTTATAGATAAAACTATGAATATTAAAATAATCACTAAAACTCCTTACAAACAGTTGGATACAATGTTTTATATTATTCTAAATGAGCTATTGAAAGAGGTGGAACTTCAGGATACTTGGCTGCCAATTTTTGTAACCATTTAGGATCTGTTGGATCTATTAAGAATTCATAATATATTCTTGCTAAACATAATTCTATTTAAATTAGGGTATTTAATTACTTTTAAAGGCATCTAATTAAAAATAGACAGCTGCTTGAATTAGTTATTTGAGTAGTTCACCAATAAATGGATTCACTGAGAGCATTAATTCTTTATCATGCTAATTTAAAAATAATTAATCTGCATTTAAAGCTCCTCCCATTATCTTTTATGGTTCAAATTTATTATGTTCATAATATTTCTTTATGTAAACAAATGCTTTGTATGTTACACAACTTTATGGGATTTCAATGATCTTATTTAAATTTTGAATAAATTACTTCATCAGGATCATGTTCTTTCTCAAAGATTTCTTTAAAAAAACTGCTTACATTTGCAAACCTTTGATCTATTTATTCAATCTCCTTTTCTATCTTCAACTTAATAATTCTTAGCTCTGCTTATGGTTGATTCATTAATTAAATGATTAATCGATAAACCCTTTTTTAAGAATGCTATCTTTTATTCCCAAAATGTACATAATATTTTGTAATATCATTTAGAGGAAGATATTTGTTATATAGTGGATAAAATAAAGGTTAGGAAAATATTTGAAGGCTAAGTTGAGTTCGATTAGCACGAAATGGAAATCTTAAAATAATTCGAAGCTTATCTAATATCTAAGCGCTTTATGCCCAAGTTCTCACTCAATTAATTTTAGGTGGACTGAGTCTTAATTGCTGAGGATGCTTTATGCTACTAAATTTAAGTTTGAAAAGACATATGCAGCCATATAGGCCTATATATAATGGAGAAATCAAGCATTTCCACTCAAAGAAAATTAGGAAACAATAAAATTCTTAGTAACAATTGATGATATATATATATATTAGTCAAGCGGTTCAATTTATCTTCATGGAAGAGACAACAGATTTAGACCAATAATAGTGGTCAATGCTATTAAATTGGCAGCACAAAAAAATATCGACATCACCTTAGATTCCATGACAATATTTCTCGAACATGTGTTATCAAATTACATGTTACCTGGGTAGATAGAAAATTGGTAAAATATAAATTCCTATCTCTAAATAGGGTTGTCGTAATGGATTTAGGAGGTTTGGGAATTACAAGTTTGCCCAGATTACAACTCTAAAGGGTATTAGATTATCTTCAAAATAACTATCGTTCTAGAATGCATAAATGTTATGTAATCAACTGTCCTAGTACAATCACCTTCTCTTGGAATATTGTCAAAGGATTTTTGGAAGAAATTACTGTTAGAAAAATCTCGTTTGAAAAATCTTCAATTCCAACCGGATTGTTTGAACATTGTCATAAATCATAAGTGGAATAAAAATATGGTGGAATTTCTTTAAATATTGATAATAACTTTTGGTATTGAAATTGTTTATTTACTTAAGGCCTCCTCATGAGATTAGTCAATAGTATTTTTTACCAACTGATAATATCACTGATATACTCATTTCAAAACAACAATATAATCAATTATATCAATTTGGTAAATTGTCAAAGAATCGACTTTGTAAGGAGCTTCTTGAAGACATGAGATAATCTTTACAAAATACTAATACAGAATAGCATTTAGACAAAAAAATCAAAGAAGAGGTACCTGATCCAGAGGAGGAACAATTAGTTATTAATGATCTCATTTAGAATAATTAAGATTTTTACAAGCCTAGAGTTGAAGAGTCATTCGATATGCCTCTTAGTGAAACTAAAATTTAATTACCTTTCAATTTTATTGCTCATAAAAAAATGCTGAAAAATTGAAAGGAAATTATTATATATATATATATTTCTATATTTAACATAGTAATATCATCGGCTAATCATTTGAATCTTAATTATTTATAATTTATCAACAAATTTAACAAGTATTAACATGAAATATATGACTAATATATTAATATTATATATTTCTAATTTAAATTAAATGGGGAATGATTGTTCAAGTGCATGCAACGTATGTAAAAATTCAGAAACTGTTATTGATGCTACTTCTTTTCCTAACGATTTAAAATAATATGAGAACACAAAGAATTTAGATTATACAAATGTTTCTAATTAACAATAATAACAATCACTGTAATAACAGAACTTTAGTTAATTCTAACATTAACCTCTCGTGACAGAAGAAATGCATTCTCCACATCCAGAATAGTTTAGATCAAATTCATAATTGCAATAATACTTCTCATAAGCTGACAAGTAGGAAACAACCAATTATCAAAATGATCTAAATGCATACCCTGAAAGAAGACCACCATTTACATTTAGAAGTGGAGCTATATATGATGGAGAATGGAGAGGTTAAGTACGAGAGGGTTTTGGACTTTAAATATGTAATCCTTTGATCTGAAGCTAGGGCCTGATGGAGCTAGATATGAGGGATAATGGAAAGATAATAAAGCTTGTGGTTAAGGAAAATTTTGGCATGTGGATGGTGATATTTATGAAGGGGAATGGAAAGAAGATAAGGCAAATGGCTTTGGTGTTTACATACATGTGAATGGGGCTAAATATGAAGGATAATGGAAAGAAGATTTATAAGATGGAAATGGAGTTGAAACTTGGGCTGATGGCTCTAAGTATGAAGGTAGTTATAAAGAAGGGAAAAAACATGGGTTTGGTAGATATACATGGAATGATGGATCATCATACGAGGGTAATTGGATTGATAATAAAATCTGTGGTAGAGGAACTTATTGTTGGACAGATGGCAGAGTATTAAATTATTTAATTATAAGAAATATGATGGGGAATGGTTAAATAATAACATGCATGGAAGAGGAGTTTACACTTGGAGAGATGGGAGAAGATATGAAGGGGAATATTAATATGATAAGAAACATGGTCAAGGAGTATATATATGGGCAGATGGAAGAAGTAATTAAATATGATAAATCTAAGAATATGATGGATAATGGGCTTATGGAAAATAAAGTGGGTAAGGAAGGTATCATCTTCCTGATGGAACTATTCGTCTGGGTTTATGGGAAGATGGAAAAAGGGTTAGATGGCTGGATGATGATGCACCAGTAAGTAAAAGTAATTAATAACGTTACTGATCTAATCAATTTAATTTTATTCCATCAAATTTTATTTTTTCAACTTCTACAAACTTAAATTAAAATGTTGAAATTCTTATTCTAGGGATGATAAAGTCATTCTAAATGATATTATTTTAAAATAAGAAGTAGGTATGGAAAAATATTGTACATCAGAGATATATGATTTCCTAATAAATGTAATCATTAGGCCAATAAACAAAAACTTTAAAAAGTTGAGAGTATATTAGGAGCTATTGATGGCAATTATTATGAAGACTAATAATTAATTATAATCCTAGATAATAGTCTTATTCTTAAGAGCATAAGTTTTATGAAGACGATAAATGGAATTTATTTTTTATTCTTATCACTTTACTTACCTTATCTAAATCTTATCGAAAGAGTTTCGATTAACTTAAAAAGTTATTTGATCTGAAAAAAAATTTATAATCAAATAATATAAATTACTTGAAACATAATTTTTAAGCACATTTGATGATAAGACTATTGGAAATTTATACTATTCAATGACTAAATTCTTAAAGAAATTATTATATAAGGTTGAGTTTTTAATAGTCGATATCTATATATATATCATTTAATTAGTAATAAACATTTCTTATTCTTCTCTTAATTTGTTATATTCTGATGGAGAAAATTGAAAGACAATGTATTCGTTGATAATGCGTTTATAAATATAGACTAATCTGTAATTTGAGCTTAGATTGGTAATTAATTATTTTGAATTCAAGCTTCTTTCTAAAGTATATTTGGCTTGAGACTGAAAATTAAGGCAACAAAGTAAGTGATAAGTTTATTACCCAAGCTACTTAGCCAATAAAATTAATGAAATTATAGTTGCTATAGATTATGATGAAAAGTTACAATGAGTTCTTAATATTATTTATTTTGCACTACTCAAGTGTGCAACATAATCTTAATGAACTTATATTTAACCTACCAATTTTTTAATTCTTAAATATCCTGTTAAGATTGCAGGTCTTAGAATTCCATAATTCTAAAGTTTAGATTAAAATATATTTGCTTTCTAAGGTTTTTGATCATTTTTATTAGCATCTTTATTTTTATAATTCTTTCTTATATTTTTTTTAATTACGTCATCCAAAGTCATTACATTTTTAGCATTTCCATTTCTTATCTTCAAAATAATACTCTGTTCTATATCTTGATTTTTTTGATACTATTTTTTCAAATAATTATTCTGTTTATTTTATTTGCAGGTGGTGCTAGTTTTCTGTCCTTTCATATGATCTTTGATTTCGTTTTATTAGAAGCTTGCTACTAATTTACTTTTTCTGCCTTGATTTTTTACTTAGCCACTTAAAATTCTAATTCCAAAATTGTTTTTAATTTTTCAAACGAATAAAACAATCTGCTTTTATTTTCAATTACCGATACTACACTGTCGGCGATATTGGCCAGATATAAATCGTTCAACTGCTAACTTTCAGGTTCTATATCTTTATACGCTATGTTATAGTTCTTAGAGAGTGAGATGCAAAATTTTCAATAATATTATGCAAATTTCAACCTTTTCACTTTATCAAGAACTTATTCTCACCATTAGCAGAAATATATTTAAACATTATGCTAAAATAATTTCAGAAGCTCCTTTGCTAAATATTTAATAGTTTAATTATTAGGATTAAAAATAGCAGTAACCATCATCTTTCTTTTACTACTGAAAGGGATTTGTCTAAGAATCCTGTCATTTAATCCTATTATTAGAGTATTAATCCAAAGTTATCAGCTAATTAACTGAAAAACTGCTTAAATTTTATTAATATCCAAAAGGGAATATATAATATCCATCTTTAATCTAAATAGTATTTGATAGCAGAAATATTTACAATTAATTTATTTCACCTGATGGGATTAACTAAATTAACTTCAGAGTATCATAACCTAATAGTCTTCTTATTAGATAGAAAATATAAATTCCTGTTTAATAAAATCACATAGATCATTTATAAAATAATTGATTAGATAAAAATAAATTGATTAGATCAGTAACGTTATTAATTACTTTTACTTAATGGTGCATCATCTTCCAGCCATCTAAACCCTTCTCCATCTTCCCATAAACCCAGACGAACGGTTCCATCAAGAAGATGACACTTTCCTTACCCACTTTATTTTCCATAAGCCCATTATCCATCATATTCTTAGATTTATAATATTTAATTACTTCTTCCATCTGCCCATATATATACTCCTTGACCATGTTTCTTATCATATTAATATTCCCCTTCATATCTTGCTCCATCTCCCCAAGTGGAAAGTCCTCTACCATGCATTTAATTATTTAACCATTCACCATCATATTTCTTATAATTAAATAATTTGATACTTTGCCATCTGCCCAACAATAAATTCCACTTCCACTCTTTTTTCCATCAATCCAATTACCCTCGTATGATGATCCATCATTCCATGTCAATCTACCAAACCCATGTTTTTTCCCTTCTTTAAAACTACCTTCATACTTAGAGCCATTAGCCCAAGTTTCAACTCCATTTCCATCTTATAAATCGTCTTTCCATAATCCTTTATATATAGCTCCATTCACATTTAAATAAACACCAAAGCCATTTTTCTAATCTTCTTTCCATTCCCCTTCATAAATCTCACCATCCACATGCCAAAATTTTCCTTAACCACAAGCTTTATTATCTTTCCATTATCCATCATATCTAACTCCATCAGGCCCTAACTTCANTTTTTATTCTTATCACTTTACTTACCTTATCTAAATCTTATCGAAAGAGTTTCGATTAACTTAAAAAGTTATTTGATCTGAAAAAAAATTTATAATCAAATAATATAAATTACTTGAAACATAATTTTTAAGCACATTTGATGATAAGACTATTGGAAATTTATACTATTCAATGACTAAATTCTTAAAGAAATTATTATATAAGGTTGAGTTTTTAATAGTCGATATCTATATATATATCATTTAATTAGTAATAAACATTTCTTATTCTTCTCTTAATTTGTTATATTCTGATGGAGAAAATTGAAAGACAATGTATTCGTTGATAATGCGTTTATAAATATAGACTAATCTGTAATTTGAGCTTAGATTGGTAATTAATTATTTTGAATTCAAGCTTCTTTCTAAAGTATATTTGGCTTGAGACTGAAAATTAAGGCAACAAAGTAAGTGATAAGTTTATTACCCAAGCTACTTAGCCAATAAAATTAATGAAATTATAGTTGCTATAGATTATGATGAAAAGTTACAATGAGTTCTTAATATTATTTATTTTGCACTACTCAAGTGTGCAACATAATCTTAATGAACTTATATTTAACCTACCAATTTTTTAATTCTTAAATATCCTGTTAAGATTGCAGGTCTTAGAATTCCATAATTCTAAAGTTTAGATTAAAATATATTTGCTTTCTAAGGTTTTTGATCATTTTTATTAGCATCTTTATTTTTATAATTCTTTCTTATATTTTTTTTAATTACGTCATCCAAAGTCATTACATTTTTAGCATTTCCATTTCTTATCTTCAAAATAATACTCTGTTCTATATCTTGATTTTTTTGATACTATTTTTTCAAATAATTATTCTGTTTATTTTATTTGCAGGTGGTGCTAGTTTTCTGTCCTTTCATATGATCTTTGATTTCGTTTTATTAGAAGCTTGCTACTAATTTACTTTTTCTGCCTTGATTTTTTACTTAGCCACTTAAAATTCTAATTCCAAAATTGTTTTTAATTTTTCAAACGAATAAAACAATCTGCTTTTATTTTCAATTACCGATACTACACTGTCGGCGATATTGGCCAGATATAAATCGTTCAACTGCTAACTTTCAGGTTCTATATCTTTATACGCTATGTTATAGTTCTTAGAGAGTGAGATGCAAAATTTTCAATAATATTATGCAAATTTCAACCTTTTCACTTTATCAAGAACTTATTCTCACCATTAGCAGAAATATATTTAAACATTATGCTAAAATAATTTCAGAAGCTCCTTTGCTAAATATTTAATAGTTTAATTATTAGGATTAAAAATAGCAGTAACCATCATCTTTCTTTTACTACTGAAAGGGATTTGTCTAAGAATCCTGTCATTTAATCCTATTATTAGAGTATTAATCCAAAGTTATCAGCTAATTAACTGAAAAACTGCTTAAATTTTATTAATATCCAAAAGGGAATATATAATATCCATCTTTAATCTAAATAGTATTTGATAGCAGAAATATTTACAATTAATTTATTTCACCTGATGGGATTAACTAAATTAACTTCAGAGTATCATAACCTAATAGTCTTCTTATTAGATAGAAAATATAAATTCCTGTTTAATAAAATCACATAGATCATTTATAAAATAATTGATTAGATAAAAATAAATTGATTAGATCAGTAACGTTATTAATTACTTTTACTTAATGGTGCATCATCTTCCAGCCATCTAAACCCTTCTCCATCTTCCCATAAACCCAGACGAACGGTTCCATCAAGAAGATGACACTTTCCTTACCCACTTTATTTTCCATAAGCCCATTATCCATCATATTCTTAGATTTATAATATTTAATTACTTCTTCCATCTGCCCATATATATACTCCTTGACCATGTTTCTTATCATATTAATATTCCCCTTCATATCTTGCTCCATCTCCCCAAGTGGAAAGTCCTCTACCATGCATTTAATTATTTAACCATTCACCATCATATTTCTTATAATTAAATAATTTGATACTTTGCCATCTGCCCAACAATAAATTCCACTTCCACTCTTTTTTCCATCAATCCAATTACCCTCGTATGATGATCCATCATTCCATGTCAATCTACCAAACCCATGTTTTTTCCCTTCTTTAAAACTACCTTCATACTTAGAGCCATTAGCCCAAGTTTCAACTCCATTTCCATCTTATAAATCGTCTTTCCATAATCCTTTATATATAGCTCCATTCACATTTAAATAAACACCAAAGCCATTTTTCTAATCTTCTTTCCATTCCCCTTCATAAATCTCACCATCCACATGCCAAAATTTTCCTTAACCACAAGCTTTATTATCTTTCCATTATCCATCATATCTAACTCCATCAGGCCCTAACTTCAGAATAAGGATTACATGTTTACATTCCAAAACCCTCTCGTACTTATCCTCTCCATTCTCCATCATATATAGCTCCACTTCTAAATGTAAATGGTGGTCTTCTTTCAGGGTATGCATTTTGATCATTTTGATAATTGATTGTTTCCTATCTGTCAGCTAATGAGAAGTATTATTGTAATTATGAATTTGATCTAAACTATTCCGATTGTGCAGACTGTGCAACTTCTGTTTCGAAAGTTTAATTTTAAACTTAACTAAAGTTCTGTTATTATAGATTATCAGCTTCTTTCGTTTAATCATAATTTATTGAATCTTCTTTTTTCTGCATTTTTATTGATTTTATTAATTAATAATAACTTAAGATCTCAACAAAATCATTTAAAAATAATATATATATAACTTTTAAAATCAACAATTACATTCTTTATTTATCTCAATATCATTTACAATTTGTGGTTTACTTGGGTTGCCAATATGATAAAAATTACATAATTAAGAAGCTATGCTCTAAGTTTATTTGCAGATCATTTTCAAACTCTGCAATTATAGAATGACAAAAATATTCGAAAATATTAACCATTAATTGATTTAAGATAGTTATCAATAAAACCTAGAATATATCTCTAAATACAAAAAAGATTTTAAAATTTAAATTTACTCTTTTAGTATTATGCATAATGCAAGTTATATAATTGTTTAATTAACTGTGACCAATGAGTGAATAATTTATCCTTACAAACTCAGAATGTTAAATAAATGATCATTAACCATATATTAATACTCCACAACCCATTCAACGTACATCCCCTCTAGATATTGGCTCAAGAATAATGAAATGTGTAACATTAATACATACCATAGAAGACCATTTTGCATAAAATTTTTGTAAAATATTTTAGAAAAAAATCTTCAATTCCTTTATCATTAGCATAAATGAATAACTCAAAATCTAATCTTTGAAACAGAATTAAATCATTGAAGATGTTGTTAATAATAAAAAACCACATAATAAAAATAAAACACCAAGCCGTTATTTAAATCAAATCTAATAATATTATAAGAAGAATCCTTCAGACTTATAAACTGTTTAAAAAATATTTTTTGATAATGCTGAAAGTTTTACTATAAAAAATGTATAAAAATTTATCCTATGGCTACTCCAACCCAAAATGTTTTAATTTGCAGGTGATCATTATAAAGTTTAATTTATCGTTTATAATGCTCACAAGAAGAGATTATAGATATGGCCATTAATCCCATATATAAAATACTTTATTTTTCAAAAAACTACTAATACAGAAGAAAAATAGATTAAAAATCCTTAATAACAATTGAATTCTGTTAAAAAATAACCCTTAAGAATAGACAATTTATGGAAGAACTTTGGTCTCTAACCTACGGCTTTGATGAAATAAACAGAAGAATAAATCGTTAGATTACTCAAATATAAAAAATAAGGAAATAGTGATATTTTTAAAAGCTAAATTGATGAGAAAGTCCTTGCTATGCAATCGTAAGGTCTGAATTATCTGCAGAAGCGGACAGACTTAGACAAGAAGATAACTTGATTATCTAATCCTTTGGCTTCTCACTTAACTTTTCACATAAAATGAAATATCTGCCAGCTTTTGGCTATCTTGATAGATATAAACATAGCTGGAATTAATATAATCTCTGTGGCGTTTAATGGTCTTTCGAACATGAGGAGATTCATGATCCTTTGCTGTATTAAGACTATTTAGCAATTTCTGCTAACTTAATAAGCGCTTTGACAGTAAAATAGCAAAGCGTACATTAAATAAATGTGGATGACATTGATAAAAGACATAACTTTAATTGCCATTGAAGGTAAGATAATGCACTAAGTCTGTGGCAAATTTGGAAGAATTATACTGAGATCAATTTAGAGAGTCTGGCTCTTGAGTGATGTCAATTCTCATTACATAACCAGAGCTTCCTTGCTTTAAGACCATACAAATCGTTTGATATTGAAAACCCACTTTAGGATTAGAATGAAAAACAAAAACATTACTTTATGCGAACTACTCAATTTAACTTATTATGAATACATATATTCATATACAAACAAAAATTTGGCCATTGGGTAATAAAATTTATAGGACATTCTTTACAATTATTTAATTTAAAAGTATCTTTGACTTAAGAGATAGCATTAAAAATAAAATGTTTCCAGATAGAAGTTTAATTTAGGAAAAATGCAAATGTTTGGATTTAATAAAGAGAATAATGCTGAATAGCTTTAAAAAAATAGTTGATATTATAATTAACAGAACAGTACTGTATGATTTCAAAAGAAATTTTTGAATTCCTATTAGTAAAATAAGGAACCAAAAGTTTTTGATGTGTCAATTAAGTTGTAAATTGGAAAAAACTTTTTTACAGAAATTTTCTGAAATTTTAATTGGATAGTTTTTTGGCAACCAAATTTCAAAATTTTGAATATATACAGTTCACTGAGGTTGTACACTTGCATTATGTGAAGTTGAAAATTTGCACCAAGAATTATTCGCCAACTTTCATATTTAGGATAGACCGGAGTAAAATTAATTATGAATTATTGGAAGGCATGTAACTAGTGTTAATGGTTCGCTTTAATAATTAAGAGAAAAGAGATTCTAGATTTACATGATTGATCAAACCTATCATAAATAATAGAAAATTAGTTTAATCAGGCAAATCCCCCTCTCCTATCGATATACAAAGTGTATGAAGAAATACTAAAGAAACAGAAACAGATTCAGTACTCATAATCTTAATAACAACATTTATCATGAGAAATAAAAAAATAATACTTTTCCCTAACTGAAGATTTGATAATAACAAAAAGTTTCTTATAATTTTGAGAAAAGAGCCTAGAGGAAGTACTAGCTATATTATGAAAGTTATAAGAATAAAGTATAAAATTTTGAAAATATAGGAGTTAGAATTGAAGGATTAGAGCTTCATTAAATGAAAAAATAATTCACCAGTTATAATTATAAAATTTTAGAATACCCTTTGGCTTCACAGTAGAATTTAAGAAGTATAAGTCATTACTGATAAAATTTCTAAATTAAATTCTCTTTAATACTCTTATTAGTAAATATAGGGTCCAAAATTAAAGGATAGTAATGATAATTACAATAAGAAAAATCAATAAATTTAGAAAGGATTATGGGAAAATGGAAATTTATTTTAATTCGTATTTCAATTGCTAACTCAAGATAAAGAAGCTAGTAAAAATTAAGGTTCTAAATAATAATAAAATCATAAGTTATTCTATTTAACCCTATTCCAAAAAAAAAGTTAAGAATTTTCATAAATTCTAGGATTTTCTCTTTTGATTCATAATCTAAATTATTCATAATTTTAAAAGAATAATTTATATTGGAAAATCTATTTTGTATATAGAGATAAATTCTAGGTTTAATTAACAACTATCTTAAATCAATTAATGGTTAATATTTTCGAATATTTTTGTCATTCTATAATTGCAGAGTTTGAAAATGATCTGCAAATAAACTTAGAGC